ATTAAAATCATCCCAATTAAGGTTTTTTAAATTCATTTTTAATCTATTTTCCGAATATCTACTCCAATCACGAATTTTTTTTTCTATTTTATCTATATTTTTATATTTTTTCATTAGGTTAATATTTATTAAATTATGATCGGCTATATTGTTTGTATTAATTATTTCACAAGACGCACTTTTTCTTGACGACAAAAACCAATCAATGATCGTAGAAGAATGAACCGTTTCTCTTGTAACGTCTTTTACTAGCTGTGTTAAATTATATTGTTTAGTTATTTTTATTACTTTTTTTGCATTTTTATCTTTAAGTAAATCAATGTTGAAATCTCCCACTACATGTAAATGATCCGCTTTGTCGATTATTTCTTCTAGGAAGTTGTCAAGGAATTCTGAAAATTGTATAATATTTGATTGATGTCCTCTGTATATAACACAAAATGAATCATTAATATATCCTTTAATAATTTTTATACAAAGAGCCCATATATGATTTTCTTTGTATTCATTTACTATATATGCATCGATTGATTCTTGTAGGTATATGGCAACTCCACCTGTATGTCTATTGAGTGCATCACATCTGAAGAGTTTATATCCTTGTATTGATAATTCTTGATCATCCATATCAGAAATTGTTCTTGTTTCACTTAAAAGCATAATTTTAGGTTCATTTTCTAACATAAAACACCGAATTAAATTTAAATTAGAATAGAGACTTTGAGCGTTTGTATACCATATAGAACTTTTCTTTATTTGCGCCTTTCTTGTGATTTTATTTTATGTTTTTTTTCTTCTTTCGTTCTCTGTTGTTTTCATAATGAAGAGTCATAAAATATTTATATAAAACCTAACAGCTACGAGGCGATGAAGAGTNGGTGACTTTGTGGCTGATGAAGCAATTGTAGACATCGAAGCGCCACCACAATTTAAACTCAATTTATTGCTATTATTCATTAAAGTCGTCGTCGATTGCGTTGGTGGTAGTAGCTGATGTGTTGCGACCAATGCATTCGTGGTCGTAGAGGAATTTTTCTGGTTCATTAGAGTCTGATTTGAGGAGCTTACACAGCAATTGTCAAGAAGTAAACTATTCAGTGCCATTTTATTGGTATTGTTTGTATTATGCTGGTTATTATTGCACTCTAAATCATCATTTTTGTCAATCAAAATCTTCTTAATTCCATGCGCCATATTTTTTCACATACGCACACACAGTTGCAACGTCAATTATCTATTTTATTTCGTTTCTTAATTTTTCTGATATTTTTTAACAGTGCACAATTATTATTATTTTTTTTTATGTCACAAATCCACCAAAACGAATTGCTACCAGTTCATCACGAAGAATTGATATGCAAAATTAAATATTTTTTGAGTATTTTAAATGTGAATACAAAAATACACTTAAATTTTATGTTTAAATAAACTGAAGCTTCAAATTAAAAAGAGAACTTATGCAAACGTATTTTTATCTACTGCATTTCTTTTCACTCGCTTTACAAAAAATGACTTTTTATCTAATTTCCCATAAAGAAAAAGAAAATGAAATAATCATTGAGTAGCAGTTTTCACGCGAAGAGTTTCTTTCACACTGAAGCACATTTTCTGTTTCAGTTTTGTTTTATTCATGTTAAAAATGTGAAAACATCTTTCTGTGCTTCTCTAACACATGAGATTTTCATAACGAAACTGTGTGGAGTGAGAGGCGAGAAGTAACGCGATTTTGTGCACAGGTTGAAGACATATCGGCAGCACAATACATGCACGCTCATACAGACTATAAGAAGCACAAAGGAAAAATATCGAGTCAGGTATTTTTTTATAACTCGACATCTTAGTCATCTTTCTATATGATGAAATAAAATCATGCCTCAACAAGTTATATGCTTTTATCTTGTTATCAACGCGATTAAGTGTGATTAGAGTTGCGCATTTCAATGTGAGACTCGATCCAATTAACTAGAAATAATTGATTTCTCGATTTCACAACACGACGCCTACCTGTATCATGCATAAAAATGTTGCTAATTTTTAATGAATAACCAGATAAATATATCCGTTTAACTATTTTACTGATTCGCATATTAAACTAGTTTATACCCTCCAGGAATCAAAAAAATATTGCCAACGTCAACGATTTTCGATTGATTTGTAGGGCAACAACTTATCGGCTTGTCTTGATCATCTCTGTTGAGCGATAGTCTAAAAAAAGCTCACTCGAAGTTCAATATCGTTCAGTTGTCAAAAACCATCAGCTTCAAATACGTAAACGTTTTAAAAGCCAAAATATCAATTTTTTCGTGAGAATGGAAAATTTTCAAGGTGGTGAGCGCTGGCAATAAGAACATTCAGCAGAGAAAATGTGTTTTTGAAAAAAAAATGACTCCAAAGCAGCAGACAAGCCGTCGCCAGCGTTATTTCTTTTTGTCGAAGCATGTATACAGTTTTTTCATCGCAATATTTTATATTCCTACATGATGCTTGTGTATTGAGTCTTTTTTCATGTTGCTTGTTTATATTTCACTTCGCTCTTTTACAGGAAAAAAAAATGAAAACGAAGGAAGAATTCTTTATATAACTCAGCTAGTGCGCTCTCACACACACTCAACTCTAAACTGAGAATGAAATAAGAAACATTTTTCTTCTTTTCCTGCTTCTTCCTCCTCGTTTTGTTGCTTTTTTTGGTTTAGAATTTAAGACCAGACTTCTCGTCGACTTTTGTACAATTTTCCAAACTTGAATAATTTTCTTTTGAATTTCGACGTTCTTCGCTTCATTATTTCTTCTGTTCCTTTATTTCTTTTTTTTTCCTTTGCTTTCATCCTCTTCTTCTCCATCCACCGATCCCCGTCATTTCCAAATAATTTTAAAGATTTTTTAGAACGAATTTAGATAAGTGCATGGCGAGAATTTTTATTAATGTAGATTCTTAGGAATTTGATTATTAAGCTGCATTAAGAGACAGAGAGAAGCTTAATGAATGACTCGCCAGACTAGAGGGCGCTTAAAAGGTGCTTAAGCTGACGGAGACGTCTTTGGGTTGGAGTTGGGAAGGTAAAAAGTTTTGAAGAATATTTTTAAGGAGTAAAAAATGAATTTTCGGTGTCTTTGATATTGACGATAGGTTTCTTTTAAATGGCTTAAGCGGTAAGTTTCCTTTGAAAACGTGGCTTCAAACTGCCTGAATCTGTTTTACAGTGAAGGCTCATGTCATTCCCATAGCATTGTCTTGGCTTTCAATGTTCGATCGTTTCTTTCCTATATTCGATTCATTCACTGTATGCTTGATTCTAAAATCAACACACAAAAAGATTCTCATTTCAAGAACCTGATTTTTTGGCAAAGAGATCTTTTTGGTACCTTGCGCCTTTCTTGTGATTTTATTTTATGTTTTTTTTCTTCTTTCGTTCTCTGTTGTTTTCATAATGAAGAGTCATAAAATATTTATATAAAACCTAACAGCTACGAGGCGATGAAGAGTAAAAAAGTTTCTTACGAAAAGCATTCCGCTGTGGAATGAATTGATTACCGTGAGATTTCTGTAGCGAGATATTAATCGGCTTTAGGTGTTTCAAGCACGACGATTCTTCTATCACCTGCCCAATTTTACAGACGCAACGGTAATTAAAGAAGATTAATTTGTCTAATCGCGAGACGCACCTCAAAGCCATTTTATTCATCAATGAAAAATTTAAATTTTGGTTTTTTTTCTTCATCTTCTTGAGAGTTTAATTCGTTGGCAGCTCGTTCAGAAAATTTTACATTTCATTAAGGCTTTTTTTGATTATCTCGCAGAAACTGTTGAAGATATAAAAACTTAATTGGAATTCCTTTCTTAAAGTCCGGAAAGACATAAAGACATTTGTAGTTAGATAGATTGAAAGCAAAAAATTAACAAAAAAACACACAATAATAAATAAAATATTTCAAAAAATAACAAACAAGTAAGCAAACAAACTGTTTGTGGTTCCATGGTGTCTAGAGGGGAAAAAAGCTGCTGACATCATTGATATATCACTCAATTTCAGCCGAAAATCATGTAATAAAATCATACATTCGACACACAACGCATTACCTCTTATCAGCCAAGGTTCTCGTTTGTTCGTTTATTTCTAACATTTCGAGAGCGGTACACTTTTATTATCACACATGTTTATTTTCAATTGATTGATAAGCGGAGAAGTTTCAAGCAACGTCTGTTCAGTATTTTGATCGTAAAGAAACCTAATTCCTAGTCATCGGCACTATTTTTAAAACATTATTTTCAATAAGCAAACATTCGGTGAAGTTTTTTTTTCTTTCCATTTTTTTATCACAATTACAACAGTTATGTGTTGTCTTAGTTTATCATGTTTGTTTAACTTATTTTTTTTCCTCCGTGATAGATTATGTAGAGCGCCAACGATGAGAAAATTTCTGTTTTCATTGTTTCTATTCACATTTATTTAATCTTGTGACAAACAAAGAAATTTGTTATTAAAATGATGTCAGTTATGTTGAAACTAACGATGATCATTTTATAAGAGATTTGAATCTGTTTTTGACGCGATCGTTTGTCAGATGAAGCATTATTTACGATTATAGGAAGCAACGACATTGGAAAGTTGTTCATTTGCTTTTCATAAGTTGATATTTATGTTTCAAAGCAACGATCACTAATCGGTGAGTCGATGGCGGCATTTTCTCAAAACGCAATAAAATGTCGCGGTTATTCAATTGTTTAAAGCTTTAAAGTTTGCTTTTGTGGATACTTCAAAGCGACAAAACATTCGTTGTTGCCGACAAAAAAGACTCAACACAAGCAGCAAACGACATTTAATTCAATATTTAAACTTGATTTGCTTATTAAAACAAAGAAAAGACAAAAAATAATATCTATAATGAAATGGAATTAATAAATCAATTGTTCAAAAATATTATTGTCATTGTCGCAAAGCTTGTCGTTTTATGCTTTCTCAACGATGAGCATGTGTCTTGTTGAAACAATAAAAAGAAAAGAAGAAGAAGAAGAGAGACAACAAAGTTGAAAGCCAATATGTAAGCCAATTAATGAAAATAAAAAAAAAGTTTGAGGGCTGACGTCATGTCAAGTACTTATGAGCTGTAAGTTTATTGTTGTGAAATTCAATCACTCGTCAAAGTCATAAATGGTCATAAGGTTCGACGTCGACTTCAATAGTTTCTTGACTTTTAATTGCAGTTTTTTTTCTGTAGGTTTAACAAGCAGGCGTTAACAATGTGCGATTTTAATGAGTTAATATGCCTGTGCAATTGCAGTTACTAAGCATTCACGAGCAAATCACGACATCATCAAACAAAAAAAAGCTCACATAAACAAAAATGATTATAATCAGAACAGATCTCAACTACTTCTCTGACCTCGTGTGCACTACACTGTTTGATTATTCATTATTGAATAATGATCTAAGCTTTATTACAGTTTAGTTCGTGATGAAATAGTTTCGTTTTTAATTTATAAATATCAGCGTTGTTCCCCAAGACAGAACAAAAACAAGCAAAAGTGTCGAATACGATCTCTAAACAGGACGCTCGGTAATTACAATGACAAGATCGACGACAGATTTAAGTTACAGAATGTGCGTTTGGTTGCAAAAGTCGAGATAAAAAGAAAACAATCGAAGTGATGATCGCATTTCACGACACTCATATGACACTCTGCTGCTGTCTCGTTCATTTCTTCTCCCACATTACATTTTAAATTTTCATTAATTAAATTAAAACGCTTTGATGAATGAAATTTCAATGTCCTATATCTTCTTCTTCTTTTTTATTTTAATTTAAAAGCATTTGAATCTACAAGCAATTTCGTAGCGTGCCAAAAAAAAAAAAGAGTCGCAATGAAAAATTAAAACTTCTACCGAATTATTTATCATCATGACATGACCATGTAAAGGTAATTACCATGAGAGAGTTACGTTTGTCAAGAAACAGTCGACATATTTAACTGCATTCAGGGCAATGAAAGAAGCCTCACACTTGGTCGCCAGTGTGTCTGGTGAATTCTATTTAACAGAATGTTTTTCATGTTTCTTTCTTTCATGCTGTTCTTTCATTTCAGTGTCAAAAGTGAAGCCAATTTAATGTGTACACAATAAAAGCGAATATAAAAGGGCAAAAAAGCATAAAAAACAGAGAGAAATAAAAGAAGAATTTCTATCACATCGTTCTTCGCTTCTCTACTTCTTTTTCTTCATCTTGTTCAATTCCACTTTGGGATTTTTTTAACAACAAAACGCGATCTTCCCATTTTTTTATGCTGGGGCTTGCGGATCCAATGGTGAAATCGTTTCACATTCTACACTCGTTAAATTTCTTTTCTCTGTTGCATTTGTTCTCGTAGTTTGAAGTTTAATCCTGAAAAATTCTTTTTTTTTTCACTTTAAATTTCTTCTGAAAAGAGAAGACGAAGAGGCAACAAAAGCAAAGATGAAAATCAGTTTCTCATTTTGGCATTTTTTTTTCTTTCCTCTTTTCTTCCAGCATCAGCTTTTGCCTTTGCCATCGTCTTCGCAATATTCGTAAGAAATTCTTAAGAAATATACGAAAGAGTGATTGAAATCTTACGGCGTTCTGCTTAATCGGGCAAGAATTAAAGTCTTGTATATAATTGACATGGTCTCAGACTGTTCGTTTGTATGAGTTTTTGAATCTTTTTTCTTTCTTTCTTCTCTTCTGTATGTTCTGACTGAAGTGGAATTTTCAAACAACACGAAAATTCAACGTCGAAAGGAAGCAAGCAACGACGTCTTGAAGAAAAATTGTATACACAATCTTGGCACACCGTGGAAACGGGGGAGAATGTGAAAGAGCGATAAAGACAGAAAGAAGCACATACTCGGTTTGTTTCTCACTCTGACTCGCACACACTTTCGACAGAGGCTTCTACTTCGCTAGACACTTCGTCGCCTTATAATAATTGTTATTTCTTATTATTTCTTTCGACTCTCCAAATCGAGTGGCAAACAGAAAATCGTAAACTTTATGTCGTTTTGCTGTAATTGTGAAAAGAAGACGCATTTGAATTTGCTGTTGCTGTCAACACAGAGAACTCTTCTCATCAGAGTTGCAATTTTTTCTTTCTTTTTTGCTACCGAATGATGGCAACAAGCGATAATAAGAAGATCGAGCGAATTTTAACGAAAAATGAGACGCGCTAGCCACAATGGAGTCTTTTCTGTTATTTATGTTAAACAGTCCCAACTTCTCAGCACAGACACGTAGCAGCATGGAGAATTTTATTTGAAGAAATTTAATTCACGACAAGCAAGTAGCCAGAAGCTCCTTAAAAAGCAACATAAATATCACGATCGTCATAAATTCATGAGTTTCAGCTGAAATTGCGCGCTAAAAATTTTTCTTTCTGATGGGTACGATTCGGTTGGTTTGTTGTTTTGTTTTTTTCGCGAACAAAAGTTTTATTTGATGGGAATATAAAAGTTAGGGTGCGATGTTCGACGATCCATTAATCTTAGTTCAGCTTGAAACATCCTCAATGCGATACTGGAGAGACAACGTCTTCATACTTGACCCTCGTTTGATATATTTAAATGGATAACCAACTAATGTTCTGAATTGCACTGAAATATTTCTGACAAAGATTAATTGAAAACGCAAGTCGATCGTTGCCAATTTCCGTTGAAAACCCTTTTAATATTTTGTTATTCAAGTGGGAGTGACGATTCACAATAAATATACCATCAAAAAAAAAAACAATTTAATTTGACCTCTTTGATTATCTTTTTATTAAGCTTTTTTATTTTAATTTTATTTCCTTTTTAATACTAAAAAAGAACGCAAAGTAAATTCATGACACTGAGAATGTGATGAGACAAGAAAAATTCCACAAAAATTTGTTTATTCATAGATCAAAACCAAGTGCAGAAAGTTGTCAGGATAACTAAGCGTCTCGCTGAGCCATTGAAGCTGTAAATGAAAGAGAAAGAAATGCGTAATTCAAGCGTAAAATTCAATTATCTTTTCTCACAATCTTCACTTTTGTGGGATTAAATAAATGCATAAAGAAATAACTAAGTGGAGAAGAAATGAAGAGGAAAAAATATATAAATAAATATAAAAACTTACCTCCGTGTCTATTGGAATTTCAATGCCATGTGATTTAGCGCCAACTATTCAATGAATAAAAAAAACGGAAAAAAGAAGAAGAAAGAATAAGTAAAATTAACTTCTTTGGCATGAATACATAAAGAATCTTCTGCACCATGAAAAGATGATTTGAGAAATAGCTTCTCTTAATTCTTCTCCGCTTTATGAATAGAACAACATGTGAGCGACAAATGAAAGGAATTTCGGGTCGAAAGAAGCATGAAGCATCAACACGCATAAAAAATGCTATCGAGGAATTATTAGGGCCAAGTGAATAACAACACCATCTTAAGTATCATCAAGATTTCACATTTTCCTTCCCATTTTCGAATATTTTTAAATAAAATCTCCTTTTTTTCTTCCTTAGCCTTTTGCCCGTTTGTGTTTGTTAAAGAAAAAAGAAATATTGAAAAGATCGCTTTACAACCAAAATTCCTGGTCCAATGAGCGATTTTCTTGAGAGAATTTTTTTCTTTCTTTATTTCTGTCTTAAATTCAATTCTTAGAAACCAAGAACTTAAACTCTTCGTCTTCTTGCTCTTACATCTTCGTCGTATGCTTTTGTTTCATCTGAAGTCTTCTTTTTCATCATTTAAGGCGATTCTTTTATAAACTCTCATAAACTCTTGTTGTTTGGAAACCGAAATAAATTATCATTACAATCGAGTGGAGGAAGAAGGAGGAACATTGCAAAATGAGTCAGACGAGTGTGTATGGAAATATTTTTTGTAGTTTGGCGGATTCGCAAGAGAAAAATTATTTCCGTTACTTCATCAAGCGCACTTACTTAATTGCCAGTATCAGTAAATTAAAATTAAATCTTATGACTCAAATGATCCCACGACGCTGAAGGCAACTTTTGTCTTTTCTTAATTCCTTCTCGTTTTTGGAATTCAAGCTACACTTTGAAATTCTCATTTATCACCTTTTTAATCAATTGAACATGTTTCATTGTAGGATAAATCATTCAGTTACAGTGTTAAATTCTCCTTTTTCTGCTCGATACTTAATTTATTGCATATAATTCACGTAACTTTGAGTTACAACCAAAAAATTAAAAAATTATAGTTGCATTGCTGTAAAAATTAAATGTTTTATTTATTTATATTTTTTATACGATCGCCCGTTCAAGTCAACATGCCTTTTAAGCTGGTATTGTCGCTTGAAACTCGTTTAATTACAGGCGCCTGCAGTAACAATCATTTTAAGGTGGGAACAAAATAAAATAAAATCGTAATCGGATACTTCAGCTGGTTTTATCTGCGACAATTGATGAACGAAACGAATCTTAAAGAGATCTCTTTAAAAGCAATCAAATTATGCAAAATGAATTTTGCTAATCGCCAACAGTTCACATTCATAATTTATTCTTAAATGTTTTGTAAGATGAAAGAAAAAATGTTACGATGGCACAAGAATATTTAGAGAAAGAGAAACAAAAATCTCGAATTGATCTGAAGAAATTTAAAATGATTTCAGTAGAAAAGAATTTGCGCCCGAACAAGTCGAAAAAAATGTAAATTTGTTTTCGTTTTCCCCCATCACAAGACGCTGATCGCGTTTTGTGTTCGGTTTTCATCTCGTTTGAAATTTTATAACTTCATACACTGACAAAAAAAAATTAGTTTCAATAAAGTTTTATTTCATTTATTTATAAATATTTTAATGTCCATATGTAGACATTTTAATAATGCAGCAGTTCAATAAAAGCAAAAGTTTTATTGGGTCAGACTTTATTACTGCAATTAATATTTTTACCTCAGTGTAGTCACAATGTGATTTTGGCTAAGAAGTCATTCGCTCTCTAAAGCGAGATAAATGAACGGATTTCAGGGTAGAGGATCTTAAAATGGAAACTTTTAAAAACTACTCACCGGAAATTCCAATCGAACGACCCTATTTGAAAGAACGAATAGACAAAACACCAACCAACTGATTGATGTCAAACGATTCGTTTGATGTGTTGTTTCGTGATGGTTTTCTTACGAAGTTAGCCACTAATAGCCGCAATCACGTTTCTTTTTCGTATATTTTTTTCACTCGTTCAAGCAAATTAAATTTGATGCTAAATATAGAACATTCCGAGAATCAAGAATGTCACACAAAAGACGAGTGACTTGTTTCTTTTTTTCTGCTAAAAATTCGCATGTAATCGACAACCACACCCCCCGTTATGATCAAAATAACTTCACATTCTCTTCTACCTCCCCTTTTCTCAAGTTTGGGCAATCAGAAAATTAATTTCGATCTGATCAATCATCAATTTGAGATAAATTATTTATCGAGATGTTCGTTTGAAACCTCTTGTGTGTGAAAAGAATCGTTTGTCTAATTGTTGCGCCCATCTCGCTTTCGCTTGTTTTTATCTTCACATCATCAATCACGAGATTTTTCTGCTTCTCAAAAATAATTTTTTTTATCCTAAACTTTTTTCCTTCTTCTTTTAACATCCAAGCAAACAATTTTTTTCTCTTTTCGTTTTCCAAATGAATTGAACAGAAATCATTTTCATCGTTTCGCTTTAAAATATTTGTTGTTGTGTGATTTCTGCCTTTTAAACGATCATCAATCAGCGTGCGTCTTTCTGTTGAGCTCACAGAGCAAATTGTTCTTCTTATTTTAAGTCTCAGGGTGAGATTGTGATTAATTGGTATGACTTAAGAATGTCTTACAATGACCTGAAGTTCCTTCGATTAATTGATTATAACTTCAATATAAAATCAGCCGCGAAAAGGGTTCTTCCTTTGACTTTTCATTAAAATCATCGTTCGATCACAAAACGCAATACGAAGACCCTTTTTAAATGATTCGTTTTACCGTCACTTCAATGGAATTTTCTTGTCTAATGAATTTATTTCTTCTCTTGAAACTTTTCTAGGTCTCACAAGAGGCAATATTTAAACTTAAGCTTACTTTTATTCATATTGAATCCTTTACAATTAATCTCGTTTCTATTCATTAACGTGAATTTGAATGGGAAGATTTAAAAGTAATGTTTAATTTTTCTTCTCTTCTCTTACTAATCTTCTAAATATTTCTTATGACGTTAATCAAGATAATTCCTTCTACATATTCATTTATGAATATTTTTTATTTGTAAGGAAGGAAAAAACAATTTTTAAAGAGTAAAAGCAAGAAGTAGCCAAAAATATTATGAATGATGAAGAATAAGAAGAATAATGACAACCAAAAATATCTCCTCGCGCGTTTGACAACAATTATAAAAATATCAAAGCAAAAATAAAGAAGAAAAATAAAATCGCACGAAGAAAAGAAACAGTCAAAGCATGACATCATTCATTAGACTAACTAATCGGCGTTGTTTCTGTTGATGAAACTAGAGAAACATGTTGTGGAAGAAAAAGAATCTTACACGCGCATCATCATTAAGCGTCGATTTTTGCTCGTTCAATGCCGTACATAATACTCGACAGACATCAAGACGAAGCCGATTGTTAAGTGGAAATTAATCATCGTTGATATTTCGCACCTCTTCTGGAAGATTACATTTCGGTCGTGTCAATATTTTTCATTGTTTAATACAAAAAACAAAAACCGGCAAGCATAACACGAATTAGCCCCTCAAAACGCCGCCAAAAAAATGTTTACCCGCTTGACAGGCTGTCAAACTTTTGCCTCATCGCCCACAATCTCTTTCTAGAGAAATCAGCATCGCTTGTGGCATGTTTAGCAAACGTTAATGTTTGCAAAGCAATAAAAGGTGAAGAAACTAATTCTCGGGGATGAAAGAAATGGTCCGCAAAATAAAAACGAGAGGCCTCAATTTTCACACCTTCCAGGGTGAAAAAGGAAATTTACATAAGACGCTTTAGATGGAGTGAAATCTTCCGAGAATTGTTTCTTTACTTTTCCCTTCTTACAATGATTATTTAGACAATTTAGCAATAAAAACTTTACAGCTTGTTAAGCTGGTGCAAGGATAAGAACTCGTAAAATGTAAATTATCTAAACTTTGAGGTGCAAACGTGAGAATGAGATTGAAGATGGTGCAAAAGACAAAAAAATAAATGTTCCTTACCTGCTTTTCTGGCAGGTGTCGAAAACTCTGATAGCAAGTCCTGAAGCGTCTTTTTTTGACCCGTTTCCGTTATTGGCACAATTAATTTTTGGATATATGTGCTGGATCCATCCTGAGCGAAAAAGTTATTAAAACAATTGATTTATAATTAAAAAACAATGGAAATGCTTACATCACTGTAGCACCTCAAAGGAATGTGCTTGAATCCTTCTTGTTCTGCTGACTCCATTAATCGACGATTCACTGCCCAAAATTGATCAAACTTATCTGTGGAGTTAATAATGAAGTTATTTGTCAAAGAAAATTTTTATTTAATTAAAATAAAGAAAATATTTCAACTTACCATTTAATAATCCCAAGAACAAAGTTTTGTGATCTTTTTTTTGCATTTGCGAAATTACCTGACCCTTATGTTTAAGGGCATCGGCTTCTTTCAAGCATGACATGAAGTGACTCTCAACGACATCTCTGTAAAGCGAGGAAAAACTTTTTACTTCTTCTTGTTTCTTTAAGAGAAAGAAATATTTAAATATGTTTACTTGTTTGAACATTTAAAAAGAACATCTTCAGGAAATTTCTTAAAATTGACTTTGATTTGCCATGGTAGAGAGTCGTCAGTGGCTAGAAGATCGAATAACAATCCAATTGGGAAATGCCACTTTAATGGAATTTCGTTGTAACTCAACCAAACTTCATTTTCTTCATTTTCAATGTATCGTTGGAAGTGCTTTTTCACCTTAAGAGTTTAAATTTTAACACATTATATAGAAATGTTTAAAACAATTAAAAGTGCTTCTTACTTTATCTGTGACTAAAGGAAAATATGAGACTCGAGGAACCATTAAAAAATATGAATCTTGATCGTCATGATCATCTTCTGTAATGAATTTCACTGGAATTTTTCCTTCCCACATAACTTTTAACACTTCTCGATCATTTGCCATGATTGTTATCAAATATAAACTTCTTAAATCTTTAATAAACTCAGATCAAAAGTTTAAACACACAGTATCTATCTTTCAAAATCATTTGTTTATTTTTTCCATCATCGTATTTTAATCATTGAAATCATTGAACTGTAATTTAAATCTGAAATGTTCGTTAAATATTTTGAAATATTTATTAATATTTTTAATACATTTTTAATATTTTTATCTTTAGATTGGAAATATAAACCATGTCTTATCTATTGAAAGTTTTCCAAATATACCTCAATTAAGCATTTTCCAATTATCATCATTGATAACGTAATCCCTGAAGAGATTGTTATGAAAGTTAAAAAATAATTTATAAATTAGGTATTTAAAAATGAGATAAATATGTTTTACCTTTTCGCTAAAACCTTTTCCATAAAAACTTCATGAATGTCTTTAATAGGTCCAAGATCTCCACCATACTCTGACGGTAAAACATCTTTGTCAAAATGTTTATGTAATGATTGGATTCCTTCAGTATGAATATTCATGATTTCTATTAATTCTTTTTTTAAAAAAGGACGTAATAATGAAAACATTTTGTCAAAAACAGATGAACTGCTGATGAAATGTAATTGCTTGATGTTGAATGGAATTGCTTCTTGAAGGAATCGCATGTAAAGGCGAACAGTTGAGATATTCGTGGCAATTTTCAAAAAGTGTCTAAAACTCAATCCAGTCGTATCAATAACAAATCTTTCGCCTGAAGCAATTGTTTTATCATAGTCATCGTACATAATAAATCTAACGTCAAAGCACATCAAAACCATTTTAACAGTTTGAACATAGTCGAATACATTATGATCCAAATCGACAAGTCTGATTATTGTAACTTTATGATTTTCACTTGTAAGTTTGGGAAGTGGACAAAATTGGCTAAAATATATTATTTAAAATAATTAAAATCAGTGATATTATTCTACTGAAATAATTACTGACAATGTTCGCTTAGCCGATTGAAATTCGCTTGAAAGCACATCTCGATTAGTGAACAAATGAGGTCCACTTTTTCTAAGGGTCAAATTAAATTTTAATAAATCTTGAGCCTTTTCCAAATTGTCATACACTTTAAGATAACGTTCGAGTAGAATATCGTCTGATAAGAGATTAATTTTCAGTGTTTCGCTTTTAAAACTTTCAAATATCTTACCAATTTCCTTTAGCAATTTTTCTTGATCAATCCATGATTTGAATTGTTGAATTTGATTATTTTTTGTCTTCTCATCCATTGAAATACTAAATTACACGATGAGAGCTATTTGTGTTCTAACTCGTAGAGCTTGATCACTTGAATTATTATATTAAATTTGAAACAAAGAAGCATTCATAAAAACAATGAATTTAATGTTGGAAGCGGCTTTAGAAGCTGGAGCTAAGGAAGTTGGTAAAAACAATGAACTTCTGAAATTTTAAATCCAAGAAGATTTTATTCATTGATTTGTAAAAACTGAAGAACAGGCTCAAGTTTTTTTTAAATATTCTTTATTCATCTGAAAAGGTATTAAATAAAAGATTTAATTTAACATTTTCCGCTCTAATCATAATGGGAATAAGCAAACGTCATTTCAACAAATTTCCCACAAGAACAAATGTTTCGATCTGCTGAAATTGAAAAATATTAGAAAATTAAAAATTCTTTTTAATTTCGGTTTCTTAAGCTTTTTATTTTGATTTTTTTTCTCTCTTTTATATTTTTTTTATTATTTTTTTCCAACAGTTTTTTCTTCTATTTTAATTCTCCAATTCAAAATCTAAATATCTATCAAGATAGCTAAACAGAAAATTTAAAGATAAAAGAAAGAAAAATGATACTTTGAAATTCTTTGAAGGCAATATTGTACAAAAATATTTAGATATGTAGACAATCTATGTATCTTGATGCAAAAATATTATTTTTCTTCTCAATGAATCAAAAATCGTTAACAATTTACACAAATATATTAATGTGAAGTCTAACGACGGCACGTGAGCCTAAGGCAATAAATTGATTTGAGTTATTCTTCATTGTAAAAATAACCACCCCCTCTTCTCCTTAAGTCAGCTTAATTATGTTTAAAACGAACTTTAAGGCAAGCTAAGATATCTTTAAAATTTTTACAAAGTACCTAAATATTTAAAAGTTGTAAATATCCAAAATATTTGTTTCAAACTTATGTTCCGATAAAAGATACGAAAGTTCTGTTAAAGTACAAAAAAGTTTCATTGTTCTTTTTTCCATTTAAGTTTTAAACCATAAAAATTACATCTTAATCTTGATTACATTTTAAGATTAATTATATATGATTGATTGCTTTTTCATCAAATATTTATCTTTATGTTTTAAGAAAAAGTTTTGGAGTCTTCACTAAATATTTATTTTATTGCCTTACATCTTTGCTAGACTAGATAAAAGTTTACAAAAGAAAAGGAAAATGAAATGTTTCAAATATGCTGCTTCATGCAATCAGCACGAAGAGAACTAAAAGCGAATGAAAGAAATAAAATCAAATCAAAAAGAAGCTTAATTCATGTTGTCATCATTTGACACAAAACGGAGGATTAAAAAATTATATTTTCTTATAAAAATCTTGTAAATGGTAAATTAGAAATAAGCTTTAAGGTACGTAAAATTCACATAATTATTTTTTCACAACAATTGTTTCCTCAATTCATTCGCGCTTACTTCACTCATTCTACAGCAGTGAGAACACAAGCGATTCAAAAGATTCTGCTTCGATTCATGTTTCACATGAAATTCTTTGAGTTTCAATTGTGTGTGATTCATTAATTAAAATCCCTTGATTTGTTTCATTTAAAATTCGAACACTTTAAGTTGGTGGAGGTCCCTTGACATAACGAAGTTGTGGCGTAAAGCTCATCGAAAGGTTGTTTAAAGTATCGCAGCATCTAAAAATAGTAAAAAAAAGAGTGCGATAATAAAATATTAAGTTAATTCATAAAAAACTTATTAAGAGAAATTATAGAAAGTTCTAATCTTATGTACCTTGGTTCCAATAAGCACGCCAAACAAAAAAGAGTAACGATAGCAAGTTGAACTGGCACCGCCATCTTCACGATTCTCTTCACGAAACGCCAGCGTGATGAATGTTTGCTATCAACATCATCGACATCAGAATCACTCTTCGAGTTTATTTCATCGCATGACGCACGCGATTGCCCCTTCAATCCACCACCAGCAACGGCAGATGTCGTAGTAGTTGGCTTAACGGTTGATGGGTGAGGTGATTTCCTTTTCGCTGTTCTTTTCGGTGGTGAACGTTTCAATGATTTTCCCTTTATTGTTATGATGGGAATTTGAACATTGATTTGTGATTGTGCGTTTTTAAGAGATGGTGGAATGTCGATTCCTTGTTGTTGAAGTAATTGCGTCGATGTTCGAACGATAAGTTCACGGCAAGTATTTTGAAGGATCTTCAGTTCGTTTTCAGCTGCTTCCATTCGTTGTGTAATCGTTTTCAAAACTTCACTGCTTGGCGATAAAGCATTTTCCAATTGCTTTGCAATCTTCTTCAATGCTATTAATCTTCGTTCTCTTTCAGAGAGTTCTGAGAAGCCACCATCTGAGATTCCACTGTCTGACAATGATCCATTTGACGAAGCAATAAATTGTAAGGCAGCTTCAGGGTGCAACATTAAATCCTCATTTGTTGAGATGGTTTGTTGAATTTTGTTCTCGAGTTTTTCACTAAGAAGTTTAGAAACTTGTTGAACACTATCGACGAGATCTTCAGGTGGTGTTCCATCTTCAATTGCGCCTTTTAATCCAAACAAAGCTCCACGATCTTTCGAAAGATTTTCTTGGAATTCAACCAAACCATTCTCAAATTGCTTCCAGCATACAAGTGACATTGTCAAGTTCTCAAGCCGTGACGATATTCGGTCGTTAATTGAATCCCATTTAGCATAAAGTGATACAATTTCATCTTTCAAATGTCGATGAAGTTCGTCGTCGGCAAATGCCTGTAAATCTGATTGCGTTGTTCGATCATTGTCCGCCTCTTCAACAACTTTCGTTTCGTCATTTCGACTCATTTCTTGACGTGTTAACCAACTGTGAACTGATGCATTCAACTTCAACATATTCGATCGATGTTTGATCAAATCTTCTCGAGCATTCTACAAGAAAAAGAAACATGAAAACGAGATGACAAACAAAAATGGACATCAATTGATAGCCAATTATGGTAGAATCAATGGAATGCTGTCCAGAAGTTCTTCAACATTCAAAATTTAATTTGTTTTTCTTACATTCAAGTCGCGAATTCTTTCACGAATCGCTTCCTCTGTATCAAGACATTCCCCATTGTCGATGACAATCAAATCAAGCGATTGTTTTTGCAAAATGATTTCCTCTTGAAGTTTACGAGCAATTGCCGCATTTTCGCTCCAGTTGAGTAAATTGTTCCAGCTTGCGATCAGATCTTAAAATATTTATTTTTTGTTAATAAGAAAAATTTCAACATGAGATTTTGTGATTTGTTGAAGATGATGTGAAACTTTAATCTACAAGTTTGAATGAACTTAAATGACTATCTAATTAAAAAAACATGCAAAATGATTATTAATATCATATAATTATAGAAATAATTTCATAGAGTGAAATCTGTTGAAAAAATTAAAGAAAAACACATAGGAAGCTGCAATTACCATCTGTCTGCACTCCGATTTCTACTTTCATTATCGTTGTTCAAGTACTTGTTAATAAATAATTCATTGAATGCCTTTTTAAAGATCTCGAAGTGTTGGAGTTTCTGGTTTTCACTCATGAAATCATTAGATTGTTTCTCTTGCTTTCATCTCTTCTTATTCCCAAGATTCTTAAGTGTTTTTATTAAATATTTTATGATATTATTCACTAAACCAGAAACTTTCAATAAAACGATTTTATATTTCAACCCTTTTTATGTGTTGTTGCACTTCGTTGACTACAAATATTCAAATGAGAATGGAATAACTGAAATTGTCGTTGCGTAAATTAGAATTCAACCCACAAATGAACGTAGTGTTGTTGTTGGTTGAGTTTTATTGTCTTTCTATCTTCGTCTCTCTTTTCATAGCACAAATTGTGCTTTACATCACGATAATATTTCTACAGTTAATGATGTCACAATTCTATTCGCTAATGAAATGAAGTTTTAGTGTTTCTTCGTCTTCTTATTATCTACAAACGTACTCATATATGTATTTATATATCACATTAAATTAGACTTTGAAACAACCGAACACTCTGAAGCAACTCTGAATATCATACTTCTGACTTTGACATGAAGCATTCTTTACAACACTTAATTAGGCAACACAAGTCATAAGTCAAACAATTGAAAAAACATAAAAAATATCTTTATGTCAATGGAAGTGACGAATTATTTACGATGTAAGCATACAATGTCCAAAAATGAATTCTTTGATACTTGAACAGCGAGAAGGTAAACAAACATCAATCAGTACGAGATATTTTCTTGTTTTCTCGCCTCTTATTTTTATCTTCAAATTAAAATAAACACTTTTATTTTTGGGATTTTAGCAAAGTCGGTCGAACCACGCGAGAAATTTTGTGAAACCAGATTAATTTGAATATTCCGCTTTTTGTGGCTCATTAAGCTAATTTCAATTTCATGGTTTCCATTTCAGCTCGGTAACAAATAAAAATTATATATTCAGAAAGAAATTGTAGAAACAACTTCTTCTGACACTTGACATCGACCCGCGCAGTTAAATAATCACAAAAGTTAAATTTTCTTTTTCTTCAATTCTGTGGCAAATCAACGACACTAGGTAAATTAAGATCGATTTTCGTTTACACGCTCGCCTTTAGTTCCACAATATAAAACATAAACTGAGCTCGAGCTAATGGTTTGCTTGCAGCGTTTCATGGAAAAGCGAAACAAAGCATATTAACTACGGAAAAAATAAATCTTGTGAGAGAGACGAAAATATTTTATGAGAATCAAGAGAGCGTCGCGAGAGAGAAGCAGAGCGGAAAATCATGTTGCGTGATGATGTAGAAATCTTAAAAACCTTGTTAAAAACTAACGTAGAAAACTCAAATACAGTGAATGTAGAAAAATCACATGAAATCATAATTAATCGCATGTCGTATTCAGTCCACCAAATGGCGAAAATTACACACGTCATGTTAAGTTATAATTGAGTTAGTAACAATCAAACTAAAAGCAGTGGCAAAAAGGAACAAAAAAGTATTCGCCATTCCGCTTTTTTGCCATCACTCAAAATTGAATCAGCAAATGAAATGAATAGTGAAAAGAAATATTACACAAAAAAAGCTTTTTAATGTTAAAAAGCAAAAAATGAGAAATAAAACAAGAATAGGAGGGAAAAGTTTTTAATAACAATATTTTGGATAATAAACTACATGGTATAACAGTTAAAACATAATGACTGAAAATTATGGTTTATGATGAGAATTTTGCAATTATAATTCAGTTTCTTTCACTTCAACAATGTTGTGTGAGATTAGAGTTATTTTCATGTTAATTGAAAAAAATATAAACATAATAGATAATAATGATCAAGTTAAAGAAAAAAAATTGTCTTAAAATCCTACAAATCTTCTAGCAATGCGAATTAGATATTCTCTGGTGTTTCTTTGAACACGTCTTAACGTAAAACAAAGGCCAACCACGGAATCATATAAAATTCGCATTACTGTGATACTGAGAATTTTTTGAATAAAAATGTTAAATGAATTTGTTACAAAGCGAGTTAATTGCATACAATGACAGTCATGATAAGGTGAAATGAATTTTTTGTTGATTCGACGATCACTGCACTCACCCTTCAAAGTTTTCGGATCACCGCTTCCAGCTCGCAAAAATGCTTCCAAACACTCAACGCTCTTGCGACATGTAGCAATGATTTCATCCTAGAAATGGAATAAAAATCAATTTATTGATTTGTTGTTATTGGTATCAATTAATCAAAGAAGCGCTCCCCTTCCGAATAATTCCATTAACTATTTTTTATCAATTTGTGAAGGTGATAACATTATCAAGCATGTCATTAAATGTGTATGTGTAGGTGTGTGTATAGATAGCCCCAAAAAATCAACAAAAGTGATTTAATAATGTATCCCGTTATTTGTGAGTGATGTTTAAGTCTCTCGTGATAGTGAAAACTTTTAAAATTGTATCAAGTTACGTTATTTAATAATTAATCCCCGCCATCAATCACTTTTTTTACTTTTGCAATATTTATTAGAGAAACACTGAGAGAACCTCAGTCAGTTGCCTCCACATCATCAATAAACAAGAACAGAGAACGGAACGAGCAGAAGTGATTGTGGTTGCATAAAAATCAAATATTTTTGGTTAAACTTTGCTTTGTTAGATGTAGCGTGATATTAATAATTTTTAAATAAATAAATTATCCACATTGTTCATTTCTTTTCAACCTTTGTTGTTGTTGTTGTTATTTATGTAAATATTTGTTACACTTACATGTCACATTTATCGACAAAATAACGCTACAAATTCATTCATTTTTCATAAAGAAAAAAAAGAAAAATCATCGTCAGGAAAAAGGAAAAAATAAAAATATTATAAAGTAAGAAAAAAAATAAAGTTTTCGTCCAATGTTCTTCTGTTTCTATATTTTTTCGATTTGTGTTATCAGTAAAGTAACAATAAATAAAAAGATCACATAGCTAGTCACAAATGTTACATAGTGGCAAAAACCTTTTGTTTGTCTTTTCTTTTTCATTTTCATTAAACTTAAATTACTTCTGACACGGTCAGAAATATTACGACTGATAAACTTATCATTATCAAGACCACATCTACTAACATGTTTAACCATAAAATTCGATTGAGGGACTTCGGAATGGAATGATTGTAAGCTTACATAATCTTCAGGACGGAGAAGTTGTGGATTTGCCATTCGAAGGGCTTCGGTTCGTTCAAGATTTGCTTTACATTCGATGAGAATCTTCAAAGCTGAGATTCTCTCTTCATTCATCTCATTGTCGCTATGATCGGAAGACGATGATTTATATGATACGGGACGTGGATTGGAGTGAACTGAGCGACGTCGTGGAACAACTGCTTCAATATCTTGTGACTTTTGACGCAACTTTTCAACCATTAATGCTTTACGATCTAAGAAAAAAAAAGAGAAATGACAAAGAAAACATTTTTTTGTTTTAGAGAGAAAGAAAAAGAAAAAACGTGAAGAATTTACCTTCACCATTGCTCATTCGTCGTCTCTCCATCTCTGGTAATTCTTGAATCCTTCGTTGTCGCAAAATATTCAAAGAATTGTCATTGCTTGAAAGACTAACATTTTGATGTGGAACGCCATTGAAACTTTTTCTCGCTCTTGGTGGAGAAAGTGAGTCGATGTTAGCAGCTGACAATGATGAACAGCAATCCGATTGTGAATCAATGAAGTTGCGATAATCATCACCAAATTCCAACAAACGTCTCGCACCGTCAACATCGCGATCTTCACTGTAAGCTTCCGAATTGTATTTTTCCATGTAATTGTCCCACATTTGTTCTGAGAAACTACTCATGTTTTCTGTTCCTGTTTCATTCAATTCTTGTTCACCGCAATTATTCTCATTGTTGTAATTTGACAAAGCTGCAAGTGATCCTAAGTTGGTTGATGGATTTGCGTAGACATTCGTTAACGATCCGATTTTAAAATCAGGTTTCATCATTCTTTGTCCATGCTCGTCATCTGATTCCGGTTTCTGTGCTTGCGAATTCATTTGAGTGCTGTCCTTGACAATCGTCATCATTGATATCGCATCGGAAAGATCTTCCATTAATGATGTGCCCATTGAGAACGATTCAGATTTTGTCATTGAACGGAGGATGTTGCGAGAAACATCCGACGATGGAACTTCTGAGCCCGATTCGCTTCGTTTGTTGTTATTCGACGATGAATAAGATTTCTTCCGTAACTTTGCTCGTCGTCTTCTCAACGAATTTTTACTGCCAATGCTATTACCAGTTGATGGTCCACCATTCTTCAAACAATTCTTTGAATCTGATTCCGATGTTGTTTTATATTTTTGAGGTGTCAAATAATTTAACGCTGATTCGCTAATAGAAAAGCTTGCCAAAGCTGTGCTTGCTTCTCTTACTTTCGTTTCAATCAAACTTTGTTGAGAGTTTCTCGTCAATTGTGAAAGACATGACACCGACCATGGACGATCCGAGTTTCTCCGTCCCGTCGTTTTAGCACGCATAGTTATTTTATTATACATTGGTGCACTTTCAACGCCTGATCCAAGTCCCTCTGTTGATGTTTGAAGATGATCAGTGCCTTGAAGACATGTCGCAACTGAATCTGTTATCTCTTCAGACGTATCTGATTCATGTCCCGATTCTTCTGTTGTGTATTCACCAGATGCTTCGCAATCAGTTGTCGGCAAAGGTTGAGTGATAATTACATTACCATCTGACGTTTCTTGGTGTCGTTTCAACCATTCCTATGAATAAATGAAGAGAGAAGGAAAATTAAATTCAACAACTTCATCAAACATTCCCAACATTTTTCTCATCATTTGACTTACCTGAACGCGACTTATTTTCACCGTGTCTTTTTGACTCTTTTCCATCAATTTCTTCTGTCGTTGCTTATGCTGCTTTTGTTGTTGCGATTTTGCGATAATTTCATTAAAGAAATATTCCGTCTTTGATGTACGATCGTTAATCTTCTGACGAACAAATGATTCAGCCTCAAGCACCAACTCACGCAATGATTCTTTTGTGTTGATCAACTAAAGTTTTTGTGATAAAAATAAAGTAAGAAATGTGATTTGTTTGTAAAAGAAGATAAATGTGATTGTAAAAAATGTTATCACGATGTGATTATTTTATGTAAATAATTCTTTATTGCAATGATAAGCTTCGTGTGTAAGTATGACGGAAACTTCCATTATAATTGCAGATAAATGGAGAAGAAGTTTCAGAATGAAAATCAATTTCTCACCTTTGTTGTGTTCGATGCAAAACTCTCATTTTGTTGTTGCGAATTGATGTCATGTGAAGAAGTTTCACATTTTTGTTGTTGTTCGGGCGATAAATGTAACGGAAAACAATTAAATTCCTCGTGATTGAGACTTTCATGATGTTCTTTATCGGGTGTCAGTGGACTGATGTCATTGCTTGTATTATTCGTAAATTCCCAGACTTCTTCATCGCTTGGTTCACTTGATACCAAAGGTTTCTCAGCTCCACTCTCATCATTCAATTGATCTGTGTCGGTGTCGACATGTTTATAGTAAAATATGGCACAGTTCTTCGATTTTCTATTTGATCGATGAAACTTGGAAAAGTCCTTCGGTCTTACACGTTTAATGACTGTTCCTTTTGGTGTTTCAAACGGCGATTCATTCGGTGACGGTGTTTTGGGCGGAGTTGGTTGTTTGACCGGAACTATTGTTGTTCCATCAACACAATCACCACCAATCGCAAGACATTCCATTTCACCTTCAGAATCTTCTTCAGAGCCTTCCGAGTCAGCGTCGTTTACCTTTTCATCATCGCGTTGTTTGCATGATGTGAAACTTGATTCGTTATTGAACTTTAAAAGCTTCGCAGCGGGCTCCTCATCAGATGTATCGATAGGCGTGGGATGAAAATCTTCAGCAGCTTCCAAAAAACTTCGACGATCAACAAGACCTTCAAACATACATTGTATCTCAATAGCACGCAAATACAACAGATGATAACGTCTCTCAAGTGCTTTTAAAACATTTTCACCACGTTTACTACTCTCAGTTGACGTTGCTGTTGCAATCGTATCTAAGCTATCATGTTCGACTGACTCGAGAGACTTCGGCTGATCATCAACGACTTTACTCGAATTTTCCTTCTCCAAAGAACGAATACACGCGGCAACTGCACGACCATGGGCGACTATCTCACGATACAAATCCTATTATTAATGAAGGAAAATAATAAGAATTAAAGATACCTTTCCCTCAACGTATACTTTTAGTTTTATTTATTGGATTAAAAGACTTATTGTGTTCTAATTGGTAAGTATCTACATCGTCACACAAATTATTTAGAAAGGCTATAAATCAATGTCAAAAAGCCTGCATTTATGGGTCACAGTTAGGTTCGGACTCTGAACTGCTTTTATCTCTTGTCTTACAATTGCAAAGCTTGTATGCGACTTTTATCGTCGTCAAACTATCAGTCCGAGTAAATAGAAATTTACTTTTGACGTTTTTGAAACGAATAATTTTCCGTCCGACAAACTTGAAAGAAACACGAGTCGAACGAGATTAGTTAAGTATTTAAACTAAAAAAGAGAGAAAGAAAAACCAAGTCCCTCAACATGAGGCCGTTTATTCGATGATAAGCTTAACATGAATCATGAGAAATAATCTTCATACATAAGTTAAGTAAGTTATGTGAAGTAATTATAGATATTGTGCAAAACTCATGTCCACGACTTTTTTTTTAATATCTATTTCTTCACTCATTCACTTATTCATTAACTCATTTGTTGGCGTTTTGCGGAACGCCTCGATTTCGCATCTTACAACTACATAACAATAACAATGATCGTGATCGTTTCAATTTCAAACTTTACTTGTTCAACTTCTTCAATTTCAATGACGATGAAATGAACTCTTTAGACGATGATTCTTCTTTAAATCTTTTCTGTTTTTCTTCGTTTCTGATCATAACAACGAGTATCGAGATGAGGAAAAGAGAAAAGAAAAAGTTTGTCATCTTTTTTTATTTTATTTTTTTTGCTGTCATTCAATTAAGGTTTGGCCCGAGCTCGATCTTTACTAGACTTTTCAAGCCATCATCGCTTAAAAGGTCAATGCTTTTGCCACCCTCATTGTCATTTTATTGTTGGTGTTCTTCGTCGTCTAAATGTGCTTTAACATCTTTCACTTTATTCTCTTCATCATAATAATAATCATCAAAATTGATTCGTTCTCGATCTCAATTAAATGGAAATTTGATACGAGCTTAAGGTGAGATGAGGAAAGAAGAAAAGTTTTAATGTAGGCAAGAGACAAAAAGACAAAGGCAACATTAATCTTTTAATCGTTTAATCTATGATGCAACAACAAACAGAAATTCTTTTAATCATTTGAGCTGAATAGATATCTATGCAAGTGTAACAAAAGAGAATCGAGATCAACGTTTTTCATTGAACTAAAAATAGTTTTTCGATGTTTTCGATGAAGAAGGGAAGAGGAATGGACACTCGATTGTAATGAAAGAAAAATAAATTTTCTGGCAGCTTCATCGTTGAAATCGATTAGAAAGTAAAATGCAGAAATTTTTTCAATCTCAAAGGTCTGTTTTTTCATCAACTTTAATTGAAATCTCAATTTTTTGTCCGCGCACTGTCTTCGTTGTCGCTTTTCGATATTTTTTTACAAGACTCTCAAAACAGTTTTATTATTATTTTCTGCCTTTTCTATTTATGCTGCTGTTATTTTTGACATAAAAGAGGCATCGCAAACAATTGCATGCTCTTCATCTGCTGTGTAAATCTCTTTTTCCATTGCGCCATTATGCAAACAACGAACATTACATTTCAATACACTACACTGATACTCAACCATCCCATTCCAGAGCTGACTTGAGCTCAAAAACTTTTCATTTTATTTTATTTTTTTGAGGAGGGAATAGAAGAAATAACGAGGCCAACACAACTGATGTGCGCCTTCATCTCTATTGTTCCAATTAAACTTTCGAGGAAGTAACAACGCAAGAGCCTAATTTTGTTTCGATTGCTTCAAGACTCACTCACTCACTCACTCATTTACCACTTTTAATCATTTTAACGATAAACTGAGAAGTGAATTTTCTCCATTCATGTGAAGTGGCACTCTAATTTGATTTTCATTTGCAACCAAGCATCTATCTACATATTTTTTTATGTTGTATTTACACATCATAAGCTGTTGGATGGGAAACAAAGAAATAAGCATAAGAAATGCATGGCATTGCTAACTTTCAAACTGAACATTATTATTCATAATAATGATTGAATCGTGAGTTTTACAATCACACTAAAAAGCGCAGCAATGCTCCACGGGCGATCTTTTAATATTTTCTTTCTTTTTTGGACAATAACAAAAATTATGAGTTTTCAATAAATTGCGACTCTTTCATCACAACAATCACCGCATGAGTGAGAGAAGCAAAATTTCACGTAGATTTATACTTTTTACGCAACTCAATTTAATTTAATACGCTCTGGTTAGAGGGTAGAGGGGAGAGTAATGAAATTAAATCAGTATTAAATATTTGGAAGATATTACAACATAAAAAAATTATTACCTACATCCCCTTCGCAATGTATTCGGTCTCGATCTTTGAATATTGTTTTGTTGATTGGAAATTACCAATCGACGAAATCGAGATGTTAAAAGGATATCGTAAAATTATAATTTCATGCTTTTCTTATCTTAACGGAATTTTAAATGACTTTCATCAGACGTAAGAGATGAAGTCAAAGGGAAAGGTTTCTCAATTCCAATCTTAATTGTTTACACTTCACTTTCAATTTTCAAAACAAAACTAAACAAAGAAAAAAAAGTTTTTTTTGGGTATTCGTTTATGTTTTTACAATAGAAAATGAATTATTTGAGAAAACAGAGAAAATCGTATCAAAAATAAAGCGTCTTGAGTCGTTTTTTCTTTAAAGTTCACTAACCTTCTTTACTCATAAACAATGTGAACAAGGAAGATTGATGGAAAGAAATAAATTATTTACCATATGGAGATGGAAATGCACATGTCATGGCGCACGAGGTCAATTCGTAACCGCATCATCATCATCATCGTTGTTGTAGCTACAAAATTAACTGTTATATTAACAACAGTTTTCACTTCTTCTCCGGTCTACGATAAATTTCCAATTTATTTCAATCTCGTGATGTTTTATTTTCAGGTGCAATCGACATTCAAATTCAAATCAGCGTGGGATTAATAAATAATAAATTGAAAATGCGACCGCAGTCATAAATGAGTTTTTATATCACGTTTTAAATTCGAATGCTAAGCTCTGAAACATAATAAATATCTACATCAAGCGGTAAGCATAAGCGATCCTCCAATCTTTCAGACATATCATTGTTCGATCGAAATTAAGCGTCCGCCGTTCAAAAACGATGCCCAAATTGGAAATAAAATTTTCGATCGAAAACTTAGTCATGCGTATCGTTTATTTCGTTTCCCCTCGAAGGCCTTTTTTTCAGCTTTACTTCACGTCGATTTCCATGAAAATTTGTTTAGTTTTTGTGCATTTTCCCATAAACAAGCGGTTGCGTATTCCGTCGAGTTTGAGCTGGTGTTTTGTTAAGATAATAATCTATGCTCGTTTGGCCGCCCTTCTTCTTTTTCTGTGGGAAATTTACGTTATGGCAATTTAATTAGTGATTTCCCCCTTCAAAGTCTGTCGATATTTTGATCGTTTCAAGCACACAATGACAAATTGGTCTGTGCCGCTTTTCATATTTCAATGCTTTGAGTTATAATTCAGTGTGAATCAATTATCATGACAACGAACTGTTGTACAACAATCGCATGAATTTTTCAGACTTTCAGGTATCAAATCACCAAATGAATGGCATATTTAAAACTTCGTCACACTCAAATAACGCAACAAATGAAAGAAATGTTCAGTTTGACTCTAAATTACCATGTCGAGATCATCTTCATTCATGGATATTGAAACATGAACTCAAAAAAAGATGAAAAAAGCGACACAAACAAAATCAAGAACCAGCACATTGCATGTAGATTCAATCAAATGGTTTTTCAATTTCCCAACATTTCATTTCAGTTAACTGTTATTTAGACGAAAAATCAAAGAAAATTACTACTTCAAACTATAACTGAATCTAATTTGAGGCACACAAAATAAAATTAAATGTGAAATAGCACAGGAAGTGAAACAACATATACACAAAATAAAAGTAGAAAACGTTGTGTACTTCTACATATGATTAATTTTTATTTTTATTCTGCTTAGACTTGATCATTGCTTCTCTTTACTGTTTTCTTCCTTCTCTTCCCTTCAACAGCGTGTTGTTTATTGAATTTTTATTTGTGTAACAGCTATAATTAAAAATGTTAAGTATTTTCCACATTTTCTCTTTTATTTATTTCTCCTTGTAATGTTTAGGTTTCTGCCCAGAAACACCTGAAGCATAAAGGGCTTTCTCTTCTTTATTCTATTCTCAGCACGTGGGGCGACTGACAATTGTTGACAGCCATTGCCAGTATTATATTGTACTTAGTTAAGTTAATAATGCATCAATGCACAAGCTTCCATAAAAAAACACTCTCGAGTGAAAGAACGTAAACTAAAACACTGAATAATGCAAGGCAAGGCGCTTCAACGGTCATTAGAAGTCGCTTTTACTCATGCATAAATGTTTTTCACGCGCGACGGAAAGAAAATCTAAGCTCATTTGCATGTTTCGATAATCTCATCGACAAAACTTTTTGTATTTCTTTTGAATCAAAAAAACATAAGCAAACGCATGATTTGTTTCTTGTCTTTGCTCATATATGGAAGCGCTGACAATACAAAAGATTTTCTAGGCTCAGACAATTAGCAGGTCTTGCATTATAATTATTGACACATTATGTACATATGTTTTCAGATTTGATTCATCATAATAATCTTTCTTGCATAATTTATTCGATCTCACTGAATATAAGATGTTATAAATTGATCTCGAGTCGCTTAAATGACACTCTTCGCGCGTGTGTGTCCATCGATCAATTACAATCTGGCATCGGATTTTACATGTCTATGAAAAATGATCGCAGTTGGAGGCATTAATTAGCCACGGCTCAACGCAACACAAAACTTTTATTTTATATTATTTTTCTTTTAGCTGTTTTGAGGTCTCCATCACCAACGCTTAAAACGCCTATTGTAAGATTGCTTGCGTGTATGACAATGCAAGAAAGACATTAAACGAGGAAAGAAACTTAACACTTTAGACCACGGAAAGAAGCAGAAGGCATAAGGAAGAATTGAAAACAGCGAGAAAAACTAATTTAAGATATATGAAAAGAATAAATAAAGAAAAAGTAAATAAACTATCAGTAAACGAACGAACATACGAATGAATGAAGAAACAGGGAATTTCCTCAATATCATTGCATGTAGTGGAGCATTTGCATTGCTAGCAGTTTGGTTGTTGATGCCAAGCCTTAATATCCCAGCAGACAAACAATCTTATGCAATGAATGTTAATGCTGCACAGAGGCCAAAAAATATGTACAAGCAATATATTGAAATCTTTCTCGATGAAATCTTTAATTTCGTTTTCTTGTTCGAGAAGGAAAAATGTCGAAAAATAGCATAAGCATGGATTGACTTACGTAACTTGTGTCGAACAATAATCTTAATAAATACTTTTTCATGAACATTAACCAAGAGAGCTTTACAACCATTGATTGGTTGCATTATGCAAATGTTAAAGATTCAATTACTTCAGTCGATTGACGATGACGCTTTTAAGTCTTTTCATTCCCAGTTGATGTCTTGAACAATTCAAAAGTTTCCCTTCGCTCATTATTAGAATTAAATATTTAACCTTTAACCGAGTTGTTTTATTTGCTTCTACATCTGACTATTTAACAGAAAAAAAGGAATGAAAACGTCAATTACATATTATTTTTCGATAGATACATAAAAAATTATTATAATAACGAACGACGATGCCTAATGCGCTCTGAAACTTTAAATGTTTACCGTGCAAAATGCTTGCTAATTTTCCTGTCGTGAACATCGTTGGAATACAATAGAAGGAAAAAATAAGAAACATCATTAAGCAAAACAAAAAAAAAGACTTTGAATCTTATAGGGAAACCGCAACAAAACGAATCTCTTGTAATTATTAAAACACAAAAAATCATTTTTCTTCTTCGACTTTAAAGTCATTTAGAAATAAATGTGAAACTTATGCTTGTTTGGCTTCAGGAGGCAGCATTTACAAGCAATAATTTGAATTTATTAAAATAGAAAACCAGCTTGATATCTATTTGTCATAAAACATCGCTTAATGCTTTTCGAATGATGACACGGAAGTCTACTTCGTTACAAGAATGACGTAAATTTTCGATTAAAAATTTCAAAACCGTTTTTAGTACAAAATCATAATCGCTTAATTTATTATCTTTAGCGTTGATAACTTTATTGCTAAAAAGAAACTTTCGAATGTAAAACAACGTGAATAACAGTAAACCAGAAGCAGTTCAAGTTGTTGTTGTTGTCGATGAGAGAATTCTTGTCCATCAAATCAAACTTACATGATTCGAATGCCAAGTTGAATTATCGGCGTCTTTTTCATTTCTGATTTTTATTCAAATCTTCCATCAACTGTAACTCGATTAAAACATAAAATCTCAACCGAAAAGCATCTCATGAATCAATCTTCTCATCTAAATCGGAATTTTACGATTACGAAAAACGAATAAGTTTGATGGCACATCACATAACTCTTGTTCTTCAAGGAAAGGAAAAGCGCGCGATGCGGGAACGATTTTTTTCTGTTTTCTTCTTTCCCTTGCTCGACTCTATCGTCTCTCAAGAAACACATTAGATTGTTCGTTACTACGAATTATTTTTAACCATTGAATGAGTCTTGTTGTTGGTTTCAACTTCAATTTCCGCTTGTTGCTTCTGCTCACTTACTCTCGTCGATTGAGTGACAACAAAGTAAAGCCAGCGGTTACGTAGTTATGAGAGAATTTAGCGTTGCTAACAATCGTCATTTCTTTGTTTTTGCTAAAGCACCTTGAAGCCTCTTAGCGAGCCAGTACAAAAAATTTGTTAATAAAAGAAGCGTAGGAAAAAAACTACAAAAACTGAAGAAGCAGAAGGGAATGAAATCATCTTTTAAAGCAAACATAAACTTAGAGAAACTAAAAAGAAAGATAAATGATCTTTTTCTCTCCATTTTCTGTTGATTTTTTTTATTTCGCCAGAAGAATTCTCATCTCTGAGCAAAATGATCCGTAAAAAATTCATCTCAAATAATTCTCCAACGATCACACATCGAAAGTGTGTTGTTTAAAACACTAAACACCCATAAATCTACAAGAAGGTAACTGAAGAGACGACAACAACAAGCAGGTGACCATCGAACATTGTAAAGGAAAGAACATTTGAAACTTCCCTTGATGTGTGTATAAAATTTTATTATTTAATGAAAACATATGCAGCGTGTAGCATGTTTGTGAAGCGTTGTAACATGAAATTCTTTCTCAATTTCTCTCTCCTTCCCCTTACAGAAGATAAAAATTCTTTAGTACGAAAAATATTCCGCTGCATTAAAGCGAAACTAAAAGAAGGAATTAAAAGCATGAATACATTTAGTTTTGTGATCTTCTTGTTATTCTTTTCGGGCTGTTGTTGTGTCGAAATAAGATAAACAAAAAGAAGATTGCGAGCGAACGACACATGAAACATGTAAAGAAGCAGCAGAGAAAACTGAAACATTTTTCTTCTTTTTTTATTTGTTTTACTTTTCATTATTTTACTTCACACAACAAGACTCACTTTCAGTGCTTTAACTTTATTGAATGATTTAATGCAAAACGTATGGCAAGAACTTTCGCAGTGAAATCGAATGACGATAAACGACGCATTTTTATGCTGATAAACAGAAGAGTGAAAAGAAGAAATTTTTACATTGTCTTTGATGCATTCAAAGGGAAATCGATAGTCGTTAATATTTTTTGGCTTTTTAATGTCTACTCGTCTACCTCTTTCAAAGAAGGAATGAAATGCATAACGTCCATAGTCATAACCAATTTGAGTTCGAGTGATGAAAGTAGCAGTTTCTGTTTAAATTGCCTTTTTATAGTCTTTCATTAAGAAATTTTTATTTTAGCGAGAAAAGAAAGAAATTCACTTAAATTAACCGCAGTGGCAATTCGCAAATAAATCTTCTCCAGCAATCACGAATCACTGCGTTGGTCCGCTTTGAATACCGTATAAATGATCCAAAAATTAACATTTAGGACAGAATGATCAGTCAAGGTTAGACTGTGACTTCTTTAAGCATTTTTCATTTAAGCGACCGAGGACAGAGATGATGAAAAATAAAAAAAAAATCGAAAAACACGAGGAAATAAGTAAGAAGAGTGTTGAAGTCAAATGCTTACGTTTTTCTTCTAAAAAAATCTCATATGTGATGATGATGGCGATTCTAGTCCATTCGCTTTTAACTCTTTTTTTATTTTTGCTTCCAGCAATTTTTTCTTCTTCGTTACTTCGCTAATTCGATCGTTTCGCAGAGAGAACCTTTTGTTAGCCTTTATATGGATGAATTATTGAATTTGGTAACTCAACTCTTAGCTTTGCTTTTGTATTTATTTTTTTTATGATTATTTCACTTTGTTGAAATCAAATTATGTTTCGAACATGTTTTTGTTTTCATGGGCACAAATTATTCACTTTAAAGGTTAATCAAGCAGCGTGATACGAAACTTATTTCATGATATTTATTCCTTTCATAACTAAAACTCACTCGTACACTTCTAACTTCTGAGATTATTATTTTTCTTCATTTCCTACTTTTTCGCGTTTTTTTTAATTTAATTTCGAAACTAATTTCAGTCGGGCTGGCTAATTTCCTTAATTATTTGCGGGTTTCGAAGAATTATTTACACATGAGAAGAATTTCTATTCTCATCGCTACGTTCGTCACAGAGGTAAATGATTCATTCACCCAAATTTCGTAAGTCATCCACCGATAAACTTATAAGTAAATTAAATAATATCATAGACATCCAACCGAATATTATCAACACGAATATAAATAAAGAAAAAAAGTTACTTTTTTTATATTGTTATCCGGGAAATAATTTTTTTTTTATGTCTTTAACAGTCAACGTCACGTTCAGTACTAAAATATTTTTCCACTCTGAAATAAGTTTATGTTGTTCGTTCTCTTGTTGATCTCTCAGTTTCGCTCTCTCGCTTCTTGTTTACTTTGTATTTTCTTTCCTTTCTTAACTTTAAACATAGCAATAGTTAACTAAGCGAAGGCTTGATACAAGGAGAAGGAAAATGATTCAAACACATTATTTATTCATAAAAGAGTTTTTGGGGGACGATCGGGAAAAGCTTTCTCGTAAAAACATTTCAATTGATAGCCATTGTAACCTATAAAACCGATCGATTGACGATAAAAGATATTCCGGTTCAGAAAAATGTACCTGAATAAAAATTCTTCTTTACACTTTGAAGTGATGTAGCATTGCTGCTTGTTTAGCGATAAAAAATTATTATCTTGATATTTAAATTCGAAGAAATTGAAAATTTGATTGTCTCGTGTTTCTAGTCATATTCCAATGTTGAAAGAAGTAGTTGAAAATAAAACACAAAACTTGTTTCCGTGCAGGTAAGATCAGCAGCTTGTAATCAAGCTAACCTTTGTAATAAAGTAATGACGGGTATCTTTAATAGATCAATCAAAGCAACAACAATCATAGCAAATTGCTTGCGAGTAAATAATACTTTTATTTCTTATTTCTTTTCTATTTCTTTCGTCGCATTTTCGCACCTTTTAAATGAAGGAAAAAGAAGTGGAATTGAAATTGGAATCTGTGCGCGGTTTGAGGTAAAACTATGTAGCAATCCAATCAATGCTTTCTTCTTAAGACTCTTTTGTAATTTATTTTCGCCAATTCAACTATGCCAAATTTATCTCCTCATTGAAATCAAATTGGGAGTTGCTTGGTGTGCGATCAAGCATTTTAATCACCTTTTACCGTCTCTTCGTTTACTTTTGCGGATCAGAAGCTCATGTTAATGTCGATGTCTGAATATGTTTGGATAAATTAGCAGATTTTGATAATTTAACATCTGCAGGCAACATGAAAATTTACAGCTTTGATTGACGTAACAAATCTCATCAACTTTCTTCATAAACTTTTTAATTATTAGATAATCATCAACAAATTTAATTAATGATTTGAATGATCTTTCTAGTGCTTTGAATGAAGAACGTCATTTTTGAAATTCATAATGTCAATGAATGATTTAACACAAATAAACTCATAATAAACTAACAGCACTTGACCTTGGTCTTTGGATTCTTAAAATACAATTTCTGATAGTTAATTTTCGACAAAATAATTTTTTCTCCGTCGTTCGCTTGAAAATGAAGACCTCAGGGAAATTTTCGCTTTTCGTTTTGTATGTTTTTTTATCACAACACTCAAGGAATTGACCCAAATTTTGCTCTGATTTTCATTTCTCGTATCTTTTCGCTGTTGATTAATTACCAGACAAAAAAAAAGTCGACGAGAAGACGAAATATATCCAAAAAGAGGGTCAAGTTCCGAATGCTTCAGAAATGGCTAACACTCATCATCGGCCTCCTCTTCTATATCAAAAGCGATCGACGGGGATCGAATGATGTGAATAAAAACTATCAAAGATCATTTTGCTTTGATGGTAATCAAATCACTATTTTTTGTTTTATTGTTCCTTCAAGCATTAATTATTGAAATAAGAAACGTTTCAAAGCACAAACAAAGAGTCAATTAAAGTTAAATTCATACACATTAAAGTTTATTTAAACCGTGCAAAAGAGATAAGAAAGAAATGTGACGAAAGAGAAGAAACATGAATAAAGAAAAAAAAAGCAATAAAAAGAAGTCAATCAATTTTGTAGTTAGTTAGATATTTATGTATGTTCAAACGTGCATGAATGCTGCAATGAATGTGCGAAATCAAACGGATACTGTAGAAAATTGGAAAACCATTGAAAATCGATCGGATGATTTAAGAAGAAGAAAGAACGGTTTTAGTAACATTAAGATCTCATTGTCGTCTTGTTTCAGCTGATTTTTTTTCATTTCTCATTGCAAAGTCTCGACGCAGTTAGTTTGGGAAAGCTTAATGAATGCGAAAGAATTTTCGCTTCAACACTACTGTCATAAGATATGAAATATAAAGAAATGATGCTGTGTGGTTGATTAATAACATTTCTGTGGTGGCAACGAAATTGTTTTGCACTAACGGAAGGTTTTTATGGCTTACAGGAAATTAGCGAGCATTGTTCTGTTAACTGAGATTTATAGTGGAGCTGGGCGTTTCTGTTATCAATAAAATGTTCTTCTCATAATATATACAAACATTATATCACTAATCTTAATGAAAAACTTTAAACTGTGTCGGGAGTTCGTACTACATATTTACGATCCGTAACCACTATAAATAAAAAAGTCCGCTGATTGAAGGAGTTGAAATAACAAATTGTTGAAAGAACTTGTCTTGCCTCATTGTTAATTAAATCTGAAGGCTGACTTTTGCTTGCTACATAAGCAAATCAAAAGTTTAAGTGATTTGTAAATGACGATCTTAAAAAAAGTTTTTTTTTCAGCACATAAAGTTGATCTAAATCCGGGAGTATGAATCTAACTCTTGTTTTAATCTAACTCCGTTGCTAAATCTAAACTAATCTTAGTTTTTAATCTAATCTTTTCTTAGCTCATTTCTCATGTGTGAACATTCTTTTCAAGTTTTTTTTCAAGTTGTTTCTTAGAAAATAAATATTTGTAATAGTTTTACTCACAGCACTTTCAAGTGAAAACTTTTTCAGTTCATTAAGGTTCAATTTCATGGCTTCAGTTATTGAAGGCATTTTTGAAACGATTGCTTCCATTTCGCGTAACCATCTTCTGAGTCTACGCGGATCTGTTGTAGATCCTTGTGATCGTGATGCATCGAAATGGATCTAAAAATATAACACAGTAAAAATTTATGCAATAAAATTTAAATTTTATAGATTAATAATTCATACCATTTGATTGCTGGAATTTCTGAGTGAATTAAAATCGCTTGTATCATCGTTTGTAGTTTTGTTGGTTTCGCCACTCGCCTCACGACACGAGTCAATGAGATTTGTGTCCATAATAAAATTATATGCAGCCCAAAAGTCATTTCCATTTTTACCGCCGCTCGTTCCAGTATGTGATGTTGTTGTGCTGATGGAATTTTGAGATTCCCATGATCGTCTCCAAAGTTCTTTTTCACCGTCACGCTTTTTCTAAAACATAAAAGAGGAAAATGTATTTTTGTTGGCATTTCGTCAACATCATAAATGAATTCTTTAGAAATGCTTAAAAGTAAAAAAATTCTAGCGAAAGAATAACGATAAATGTAATGAGAATTCACCTTCAGGCTGTTGTAAGGCCGTTCAACTGATTGAGTTTCGTCTGACGTCTCTTTTGGTGATTGCGGTGGCAACGAAGTCAAGGACAACGACGGTTTCATCAAGCAATTGAAAAGTTTAAGATGAGGTTTCTTGAAATTTTCACCCGCTGAATTTTGCGTGGGTGTTACATCGCTACCTGCACTTGTCATCTCTTGAGGCGACGATGTTGTTGCCGTTGACATCGTATTTTGTTGATTTTCGTCAGTTTTCATCGTGTGACTTTTTCTATTACCACGAGGCATAATCTTTTAGTCTTTCATCTTAATATTCTAAATTTTTCCGCTTCGTTACGTGGAAAATTGATGACGCGGAAGATTAAGTTGTTTATGTACACAAAATAGATGTAAATCGGAATAATAAAATACCAAAAATGTCTAAACAAAATCTGATTGACGTTTGACACAATTTCACAAAAGAAAACGATAAATTTTCGAAGCGCTAATGAAAGAGTTAATTTACGTAATTGATTATGCTTCAATTGTAGGGTCCAAAAAGGCACAGATTATCGTGTAAAGAAACAAAGTGTTTATCTAAAGAAGACGCAAGAAAAGAAAGAAAAAGAAAAATAAATGTGTGAATTTGTATTTCTTTTATTATTGTCTGAGCTTTAATCAACGTGCAGCCATTCACAAAACCGACAGAATCACAACTGATTTTGATTCACATACAAGTTTACTCTTGTTGTTTTTTTTTGTTGAATGAAAGGGACGGACGGGGATTAATGGGGGGAAAGCCCTTTACCCAAAAATAAAGAAAAAACAAAAAAAATAATAAAAACATAACATCAACGACGTTGTTTGACTAATTGAAAGAAGTTTACGATGGTGGCCAAGGCATCGTGTTGAGTTTTTATGCCGCTTGTTTACGTTTCAGCAATAATGTGTCATATTTTAACATCAAAACTTAAAAAACTTTACTCTCTTAGCGGGTTGAGTCGTTAGTGCATACTCACGCAACCTCTCCCCGTACATAGTCAACATAAACAGACATAAAACCTCGTCGCAGTGAAATATGGGAATGAGTAAAGCATTAAATAAAATGTTACGAGAACACGCACACAACACAATAATATGAATATGCAAGTCGACGATATTCTTCCCCATTTGCGGTGAATCATTCTTTCTAATCTATTTTTAGAGATTAATGTTGATTTTATGGCATACATATTCGCTTGAATTCAAAAATTCTGCTACTTCAGGAGTATTCCATGAACTGAATTTTTATTTCACCATTTCAAGTGAACGAACAACGCGAAGTTTCACTATCGGAATGGAAACCGAAACTTCTTATCGCGCAATTATTACTTAATGATTACCCTGACGTGTATTCCATCATTGAAGTCTTTTCCTTTTTATTTTCACCTGATAAGCGAACAGAAGAAAACAGCAGGCAGTAATTGCTTCTTCGTATTTATCGCGCTGATATCGACCGAAATCCCAAAACCTTTTTTTCACTTGAAGGTTATCGTTAATCATTAATCTAAATAGAGAAATTGTTTCCTCATGCGACACTTTCAGGGTCGATGTTAATCAAAATATTCAAATAAGCGGGGGTGGGAAAATACTTTCATGACCAATTTACCCTTCAACTCATTAACATGGGACTATTTAAGGATAACAAAAAAGCGAAAATCATGAACGCCTTTAAGAGGCGACAAACGCCGTTGAATAAACATAGAACGGCGCAACGACCGCAAACCCTTTCACGTGATAATTTATCACCTTTTTCAGACTTGATATTTATATCGCTAAGCCACAAAAATTTCTTAATTCTTTCTTCAACTTAAGCCTTTCAAAAGCATAAAAGAAAAATGTTTAAGATGACGTCTAAGCACGACATTATTCGACTATATTATTATTATTGCTATGACATTGTGTGTTGGTGGACAGCAAAACTATGCAACTGTTTGCTAAGTCTAAACACTCATTGAAGTCACACACTATACAGCAAACAGTAAACTCTTAGAAACAAAAACTTGATTCCAGTCGTTTAAAAATGAAAAGAAAGAAAAAACTCGTAAGAAAACCTAACTATCTTGATGTTTTGTGTTGCACAATCTTTAAGAATTCCTTCTCACGAAAAAAAGAAGAAATATTTCGCCGTTAAGCGAAGAAGAAATATGTTTTGTGTTTATGTTCGATAAGTCAGGGAATCAAGTTAGGCGCGCGAGTCGATTAATGTGTGGCAATCCACTTAATTGCTACTGGCTGGTAGCCAAAATGCCATCATCTATCTGATAGCAAGATGCTTCATGAGACCTCAAACAAAAAATAAAAGAAAAAATATTCGATGCTTCTGGTTTATTGCTCCGTCATCCGGATCATCTCTGAAAAGCATTTCAAAAGCAATTTATTTGTAAATTTGTTTGCTTTTATATTGCGCTGATGAAGATTTACTCTAAAGTTTGCTCGTTTATTTAAGTCACACTTTAATACAACATAGCATCGTGTGAGCGACGAGCGAAGGTCACACGCGTAATATTTACCGAGTACATACCACAAACAAAACAAGATTTGACGAATTTATGAGCGTTTTTCTAACACTGGAGAGTTCACTTGCCCTATGTGAAGTGATATCTGACACTTTTACTCTATATGGTCATAGACGCAGCATAAAATAACAGTGATTTCGATATGAGAATAGATGGAGGAGAAAAGAAGAAAAAATATTGAATGAATTGAATGTAGAAAAGTGCCTAATGGTAACTGAATATTTATGGACTATTTTCTTATGCTGCTTTACTGACACTTCTATTTCACCAACGGCTCCGTTTACGTGCTTCTAATGTTTCCTTACCGCGGTTTCTACTTTTTTTTTTCTTGTCTTGTAGTCTCTTTCCTTTTTGAACGTATGTAAAAGTAATAGAAGCCAAAAAGTTCGTTTTCTTCATGGAAGGCAATCGGAAGAATGTAATGAGTCATAAAAACTGTTAACTAACTACCTGTCTGTTAGCCTTATCCCCTTTGCTTAACTTCATATAACAGCTTGCTTAAAAGCCCTCTTGAACTTTAGACAGTTTCATCGTCTTCTTTAATTTATGTTTTAATTTATTCTAATAAACATTTACCCAGCGAATGTTTCTTTTTTTTCTAACGCGCGAATATTCAACAAAGGTTTCTAAGGAGAACATTGTAGTTTGTATTCAAGGCGGCATGTATAAGGAATGTAAATTTAAAACGATCGTACACACAACAGCAAACAGGGAATTGACAGACTAACAAAAAAAAAGTTATAATCTTCTGTTGAGTGAGCGACGGCTGCTTGGACTAAAAAAAGAAGATTATGTCGTCTTATCAGCATAAAAACTTCGTTAATTTGCAAGCGACATCAAAATCCAGTTTAAGAAAAATTCAAACATTATGATACAATCAACTGTCGTCCCCACACAGTCAACAAATATTCGAGGAAGCATCCCAAAAGTCAAATAATATTTAATTAACTTTTACGCACACAACGAAATGCTTCACTCTTTCGCAACGTCGTTTAGAATTTTCTTTTATGATTAATTGGCGTCTTAAAATGGATTTCCTCTTACGACATTCTCTCGTTTCCCATTCACGCATTCATTTTACGTTGTAATTGTTAGACTTACATGAAGGAATAAAGCTAAAATTTTGTCTTTAAATATGCACTAATCTTCTTCTTCTTCCTACTCCATGTTCCATGTTTCTCACTTTTTTTCGTTCCTTATGATCGTTTTTAATGGAATTTTGTATTTTTACGATAACTGATTACATTGTACATCATTTCAACCACAAATTAAGCAAATAAAAGCACAATTAATAAGTTTAGTTTAATTAATTTCTTTGAGCCTTGCACAATTTTTTGAAGAGTTAATACGATTAAGAATTGGAACTCAATAAATGGAAAGAGCGCTTTTAATTTGAATTTCGGTAAAATGTTGATGAAAAGCTTAGTAGATTGTCCGATAGAGTGCACTTTTCCAGCTGTGCTGAAGTAATGAAAGTTATCAAGTAACATTTAAATCGTCTTTTGTGTGAATATTTAAAACTAAAGAAACATCAATAATATCGGTTGAAAAACAATAAAAATGACTAAAGAGATTGTAAGTATTTACATTGGAAGCTGTTTGGGCTTTCAAAATTCTACAGCAATGGCTAATTTCAACAGAAATTATTAAAATAATCTCAAGAAAATTTCATTGTTTTGATTTTCCATTCCTTGAGAAAGTTTTTTTTCCTGTAATTATTTTCTTGATGAAAACTGATCATTCGATGAAAAACACGTGACAGTGGTTGTCTCTACAGCTTCCTATTAATATATTTCTTCAAATTTCAAGAGTTTGTGTAATAACCTCTTGTACATAAAAAACTGCTTTGTAACTCTCACCTAAATTTTTTCTAAATACAACATTCGTCATGAATCTTACATTTTGAAATATTTTTAGATAATTCGAATTCAGACGCCTGACGGCATGAAAAGAGTCAACATCCCGAGCACCTCAACATTGAAAGACTTGTATGATATGGCTTATAAAACATTAAATCTTCTGGATTATGGATTCGGCTTATTTTCTGATCGTGGTTGTTCTAAAGAACTTCGATCAACTCGCTCTGTTACTATAAATAACTCTAAATTAAATCATGGTGATGTCATTTATTACAAGCAAATGGCAGGCTCATCTGTAAGTTTTGTTTTATTTTATTAAATAATTCTAGTTTTCAATTTCAAAATCATAATTTTAGTCTCAGTCGACTACAAGCAGTTCGTCAAGTAGTAACTCAATTACACCAGTTCCGATGAAAAAGCAAGCACCATCAGTTGTTGAAGATCCTGTAGACATAGAATTGTTCAAGTTAGATGGACGTATAGAACGTAAGAAAGATGAAAAACTTTGTCATCACACAAACAACAGCCGTTGTGTGCATTGTGCATCACTCGAACCGTTCGATGAAAGTTATCTGAAAGAGCAAAAGATCAAACATCTTTCGTTTCATTCTTATCTTCGTAAAATGACTTCGGGAATGGATAGAGGAAAGTTTGTGGCATTTGAAGATATAAATTGCAAAATTAAGGGCGGCTGTCGTGAGCATCCGCCATGGCCAAAAGGAATCTGTTCAAAATGTCAGCCTTCTGCAATAACACTGAATCGTCAAACTTATCGGCATGTTGACAATGTGATGTTTGAGAACAATGGAATTGTCGATGAATTTCTGAATTATTGGCGAATCTCAGGCAATCAACGAATTGGCTTTCTTTACGGTACTTACGAAGTGACAACTGATGTTCCTTTAGGTATTCGTGCAAGGATAGTTGCTATTCACGAACCACCACAAGAAAGTACACGTAATGCAATTAAATTGTTGGAAGATCCATTAGATGGTGAAGTACAAGAAATGGCTGAAAAATTAGGTCTGAAAAAAGTTGGATGGATTTTTACTGACCTTTTAAATCACGAGACGATCTCAGGAAAAGTGAAGCATCTTCGTGGCATTGACACATTCTTTTTGACAGCGAAAGAATGTATTCTCGCTGGACATTTCCAAAACTTGCATCCAAATCCATGCCGTTACTCGTCAAATGGATTTTTCGGATCAAAGTTTGTTACAATTTGCGTCACAGGTGAGTGAAAATAAATTGATAAGCAAATCATTGCGAGTCACTTACGCAATAACTTTCATAAATGAATAATAAAAATACGCAGGTGATAAAGAAAATCAAATTCACATGGAAGGATATCAAGTGTCAGCACAATGCATGGCATTAGTTCGTGATAATTGCTTGCTACCAACGAAGGATGCCCCTGAGCTTGGCTATGTACGTGAATCGACTGACAAGCAATATGTTCCAGATGTCTTCTATAAGGTGAGTCATATGAAAACACAAATTTCGGTTTCTTCTTGTCTCTTTTCTTTATTATTTTCCTTCTTTGGTTCAATGCGTTTACAACATTGTGGGAAATTATTTTTATTATTTTCATTATTATTCTTTAAAATAAATCATTTGGGGAGTGTTCACAATATTTGTCATGAAACAATTCAATCAATCTTCCATCTCTATCTTAATAACAACCGCAAAGTTATTAAAATTCAGGACATTCCCAATGAACTCATCCTCAGATATTTGCTGCAGTTTTGATAAATTTATTTCCTTCTTTTTATTTCTTCCTGGGAAAACTTGTACATCAAGAGAATTTCGCTTGTAACCAGACATCAATTTACAATATTTCATCTTTTTTTTTGGAACTTTTAATTTTTATTTTTCTTCACTTGAACAGAAAGAGAAAACTGAGAGCACGATTTATTTTTCGTCATGAAACAATTTTTTATATAAGTTTTCATATCACACATTTATGTTACTTAACGTCTATATCTTGTTTTTCATTGTGTCGTGCTTCGAAAGTTTTATAGTTTCATATATTTATAATGATTTTCATGAAAAGCCCATTGAACAGTATCTCATTTTCTTCTTCGTTACATTCACTTCATTGTCCTTGTTTCAAATGAAGTATTTTTCCATTGAGGTAAAATATATAATTTTTTTGTAATTCATTACACCAAGGGGTCAAGTGGACTTTGCCTTAAAATCTTTTTCATTTTGTTTCTTCGCTTCGTTTTTGAGTTAAAATATAAATTGACGGTTTTCTGCTTTAGCACAAAAAATTCTTATCATTACTTCGTAGATATAAGAGGAAGGAAAACGAAAGGAGATTAATGAGGGACTGTTTCCTTTTTCTTTTCTTTTCATTTATTTTGTTTTTTCCGAATTATCATAAACAGCTTTTTTTATATATATTTTTTTTTCTAATGCGTTCACCATTTATTAAGCCTTTTACGTTTCACTTAACTTAAAACAAATTTCACTTCACGATTAATTTCTAGAAAATCTTCGCCTAGGAAACAAATGAAATCATGAGAAAGTTTCATTTAACTTTTAGTTTTGCTTACGATAACTTTTCCCTCTTTCCTTTCTGTAAAACTTGTTTCATGTTCGTCACCCTGAGTTGTCAAGGTTTATTTTATTTCATATTTTAATGTTTCTCTTTTCGAACTTAAGCGAAAGCTTTTGAAAGCTCTATTTGACCCTTAAACTAACCTCGAATGAAAATAAGGAAAAAGCAAATATTTCGATCCAAATTCCGAGAGTTTATTTTCAACCAGTCTTTACTCTTATCAATTAATTTTTAAATGTTCTTTTAATAAAAATATGATTTCACTACAAAGTGATTCGACCTCATCTGATGTAGAAAAATTAGAAATAAAAATGTACCCAGTTAGCGAAAATCTCACAAATATTCTTTCTTTTGTGTCGTAAAAAAAGTTTATAGGAGAGATTAAGAGTAACAAATGTCATGTTATTGTATTATCTTTATTATTATATGATTTAAAAGAAAAAAAATTTACTTAATGGCTTTTTCATGCGAAGTAATTGAGATGATGACAAATCTGCATCATGTGTGTCCACACTTTTCGAAACGATTGTCTAAAGTTTTAGTCATGGGTTTGTTTCTAACACGTTCTTTAACATGCTACATCTTTACTTATCTTTATCTTGAACTGAAATCCATTTTCATCGAATAAAAGAAGAAATGAGAGGTAAAGAAGTGACGATGAAAATCTATGAATAGTATGTACTTATGGTCGGCATTATCTTCGAAGCAGATAAACTTACTAACCGAAATCATTCGTGTAGAGCGCAACTTCGATTCGATTTTATTTTGCAATAGTAGATTATAAGTTTATTCTCTTAAGCTTAAAGTTTTTGTAAACCTTTTTTTTTCTTCGATGGGATCAACAAGCTCACTTGTTAAGACGAGAAAAGAAAATTGAAAAGTTTTGCAAACAAACATTTACACTGCAATGAAACAGCACAGGCAACATAGTCTTAATACAGTTAAAGGAAATGAGGGAAATGGGAAAAGCTGTCGGACAATTTAATTAAATTGCAATTTCAATTGAAATTTAAATGAAAATTCCTTCAGTTCTGTGTTGGAAAATTCTCGTGGAGAAAATCATTAGAATCAAACGTTCCAAATCAATTAAATTTGTTTTTTGATCCCAAGCGAAAACTTTTAGTTTATTTTTAATTGTAGTTTTACTTCCTTTCATCGCTGATTGGAATTCTTATTTAGTTTTGTATTACACAACAGGTACACACACTTTATAAGTTTGTTTTTCTTTTGTATTATGATTAAAATATATTTTTCCCTTTTCTTGCTTTTCCCTTGAAACAAAACTCAGCTTTAAGCTTCGGTTTGCAAGTTTGTTGACTTCTTTCGTGAAAACTTTTTTTTTCTCTTCTTCTCGTCATTTTAATTCAAACGAAAACGAACATTGACAGTGATTACAATTTTTATTTTTATACGGATTTTTAATCGTTTTTTACATCTCATTGCGCTAATTGATTAACATGCATTAAATACGTTTTTCATTCAATTTTCTTTCTCAATAAACAACTAGAATATAAATATATATATTTTCCTCTTACATTTCTTTCTACTCTTTATTATGGAAAGACTTGAAAGACTCCTTCACAAAAAACAATAACATAACGTGTTGTGATTGTTGTGAATCGATTAAATAGTTTACTTAGTTGACCAGGTATCGATTTAGTTCAATTCTTTGAAGTTAGGTAAACTTCCAATCAAGAAGTCATGAACTACGTAGGTGTATGTTGTAATTATGGGAACATTAATTAATTATGAGATTGTTTAAATAACATTATCAAGTTATTTAGAAATTTTCTTTCTTGTTCTTTTGGGTACGATTTTATCTAAGGTCTCGCGCGCATTATTACGAAATTTCTTCTCAACTTTTTTTGTTTGTTTTGTTTTGTTTTTAAGTGAAGTAAGACAAGGAGAAGATGGAGAAAGTTTTACCTCATTTATATATTTAATTATCTTCTCCTTAAAAGCCTAAAAATGACAACAATTAATTTTGATCGATTATCAAGCACGATTATCTATTGCTATTTCAACTACGACTACGTTTAACATATTGAGGGAAAGTCAAAAGAGTTTTCTTATTAGTTATTTTCATTTCCGGCTTCTAAAATCGAGTGCTTGATCAAATAACAAGCTTTTCGAACTCCTCGCTTATTTACATCACAAAAATAAATTTTCTTTTCCGAAGAACGTCTAAAAGCATTTGATTTCTTCATTTTTTCATCATTTTCAAAAAAATCTTTATTTTTATATGCCCACGAGGAATAAAAGCAAATTTTCATATCAGGTCGTAAAATAATTTTCTCTCTTTCATTTTTAATTTCTTACTCAAATTTTTATCCACTTTTCAATTTCGTTTATTTTTAATTTGTCGATTTTTACGAACTGTCACATGTCAAATCCGATGCTTTTCTTCTTTTTCTCTTTTTTTTTCGCTAAAAACTATTTGCAATGTTTTAATTTTTTTTTGTTTTTTTGGTTTTCTTAATCGGTTTTTTTCATCGAAGGTAAAACGCATAACGAATGAATCGAATCGAATAAAAGTCAAGCTCACTATTGCCATTTGCCACAATTAACTATGATCACATTACTTTGCGGCTTACCCGCAGAATCACCCGCCTTACTTATCTTATCCACAAGATCCAAGCCTTCAACAACAAATGCAAATATTCCAGTAAATCCTCTCATCTCTCTTAAAATGATGCGAAATTGTGAGCCAACAAGGCCGAGATTATCGTGACGCTTTTGACTTCGACGCATGCCAACCGAGCCACGAATCGCTAAGATTTTTGTATCGTCGGGCATGAAGAAGCTATCCTCGAACACCGAACGACCGCCTCGACCATTGTTCAGCTCAAAATCACCCGTAATTATGCTTTCATTTTCCCAACATTGAAAGATACTGCAACCCTTGTACCCAAAACCAAGCTCGCCGGTGCAAAGCGACCCGAAATTTTTTGCCATTTTTGGTGCGACATCGTTCCGCACTTCAATCAAGATTCTTCCGAATGGACTACCATTGATTTCAATATTGAAAAAGTAAATTGGATAAACGTGTACGCTCGGATTCTGAACGATGGCAGCAATTGTCGGTTGTTGTGTGCTTGCGATGGTCGTTGTTGTTGTAGTAAGATTGTTATTTGTTGTGGAATGTAATGAATGTTGCAACGCCATACCATTAAGATCGGGTAAGAAACTTAATGGAGGCGGCGTATGATGAATTTGACGACTACTCGACATGAAACTCGAGACACTTCCGTTTCCAATATGACCACCAATATTAGCCAGTAAATCACTTTGCAAGAATCCACTAGAAGGAGATTCTTGGAATTTATGATGGAGAATGTGATCATGTTGCATTGAGAGTTGGCCCATATGATCTGGCAGCATTCCAATCACTCCCAATCCACCAAGTAAAATATTATTATTGGTAATGTTGCTACTGTTTTTTGTCGTCTGCGATGAGGTGGCAGTGGCAAGAGCTTGAGCCATCGTTTTACTTGTGAGAATGTGATGGGAGTAGAGTTGGGAAATACAATAATTTGCCAACAACAGAATCATGTTATTGTGGCCCATGTTCGCCATTGCATGATTACAATTGAATGGCGACGCAGGGTTGTTATTACCACCAGCACCACCACTTCCCGAGCCGCTTGAGATCGGCGTTGTTGGTTGTGTCGAATTATTATTCTTGATGTTATTATTGTTGTTATTTAAATTATTGCTGTTTACATTCGTGAGTGAAGAAATGTTGTTATTGTTATTATTATTATTATTGTTGTTGTTGATGTTGTTGTTAGTCGCATTCATGATGAGTTGATTATCGTTGAGAGTAATTGAATCAATGCCGGTCGCATTCAAAGCTGATGAGATTTGCTTCAACATATCAAAGTCCAACAATGATCCATAATTCTGAACAATCTCCTCAAGTTTACATTGTAATAACATTTCATTGCACTTGAATTGTAATCGCTGCTTTTCGATACTTAAGCTTGTGAACAAACGATAAGCTTCAGCTGGCGATGGTTGATGTTCGAGAAGTGTCAAAGTTAATTTTGCCTTTGATAAGTTGCTACGAATGTCGCTTATTTCAAGCGTCGGAACATGGTTGATGAGTTCAGTTTCGATTTGTGTCTTGAGCGTAGTGCAACTTTCAAGAATCTTCAATAGAAAATCACGTTGCTTAAACACTAAATGTTGAAGTTCGGTGAGCTTCTTCTGCATCTTTATCAGTTCGGAGAGGATGTCGTTGTGAATTGTTTCTTTAGCTTCATTCAAGCTCTTCACAGTATGATTTCGATGATCTTCGGTGCTAGCACAAGCTCGACAAACTAAAACATTGCATTTAAGACACCACAAGCTATTTGGCATTGCATGTGTTAAGCAGTTCTCGTTCGAACGTATCTTGTTGGTTAAACTGGTTGATATGTTGGTCGGCGAGAATTGATTCTTGTCAGCATTAATGATTTTCTTTGTCTTAATATTGATCATGTTTTGCGACAGATAAAGGATTGCATTGTATGTTGGAAGGCTCTCAGGTTTCATGTCGGGTTGTGGAAGTTCTGTACGCTTCCAACAATGAATACAATAAAGTTCCCTTCCTTTAAGAAGAATTGTACTGATACACTTCAGACAGAAATAATGTCGACACGAGAATAATTTCGGTTGAGCATCTGTGTCGTTGAATGTCAAGTGACAGCAGCTACACACGATCAATTCCTCAAGCTCGTTTGGTAGAAGGTTGTCCATCTAAATTAATTGGTTGGAAACAAAAGAAAGAGGTTTAAGTTAAAATATCTACAAAGCTTCTCTACTGAGAATTCTCTCTTTAATAAGAGCTATTAACAAAAAATGAAACTAAGCTTAAAAGCCGTTTGCTCTGTTAGTATTCAGTTAATAATTTTATTCTTTATAGCATGAAAATTTATTGGTTGCTAACATGCTACAACTATGAGAAAGAAAATTCCTCAAATGTATGTGTCACGGAAGCCTTAAAAGTGCGTATCAATTCTATGAATTTTTAGCTTTTGGGGACGACCGTCATAAAGTGAAATGCCTTTGCGCTTCTTCACGCGCTTCACGTTGTTTGAAACGGGCAGAAAAAGGTGATTAAAACTATAAGAAGAATATTTTTGCGCCTTTCAACAAAATACTCTTAATTAAATTTATGAGAAAGTCGTAAATTTTCGAGCGAGCTTTGGCGAATGATTTTTCATGTTGCGTTCACTAGTACTCGAAAGCAGGGAATAAATTATTGACTCGAAAATACTGAAACAACAAAATGAATATTGCTAAACTACACACAAATCAACAACAAAGCAGAAAACTGTTCAAGTATGTCGCGCACAGCCAAAAATATGTTCTTTAGGATAATGATATAAAAAAGGAAAGTTATTTGTTATTTCTTCGAGTCGATGAGAGACTATGAAGGGAGGAGGGCAATGAGGTGAAGAAGAAAGAATGAGAAGGAAGACAATACAAAGCGATGGTGCCAGAAACTAAAGCACTTGCATGTAAATACATGTACAAGGTCATTGAAAAGAAATAATCTCATATCAGATAGAAATGTTTAAATCAAGAAATCGAAACATTAAAGAAGAAAAAATAAAATCAAACATAAACGAAGTTTGATGATATTTGTGTTTGAGAGATTAAAGGAGTGCAAAGTGATGAAAATATTGACTTTTCCGGGAGGAATTTGAAAGGAAACTTGTTGAAAAGAATTTCATTTTCGTTTTTTTTTACTCGTTTTATATTCTTGCTTTTCGTGCTTTTACACTTCATGCCTTTCGTGTGTTGGATTATGGCATAAATGATTTTCATTTTATTATCTCTTCTTCAGTCTCATCCCCGAGATTATTTCCCTGAAATTCGATTTTAAAGCACGGAAAAAAAACTTTTCTTGGATTGAAAAAGTTCTTTTCACCTTGCTAGGCACATCTTTATCAACATGATAGGAGAAAATTAAGTTAATGACGTCATCCGGCGAGCCCATGAAACGATGAGAATATAAATCACGAGAAGCAGGTGATAAAAATCAGTGTAATGCCTCGCGAGAGACCACGAATCAACAATTAGCATTTTGCATGATAATGAGACTTTTTTTTGGGGTTGGAATGGAAAACAAAAGTAAAACAACAACAAAAAGCTTTTCAATTAAATGTCACACGATAAACTTACCTTGCTTGCTTATTAATAACTCGATTATTTAAGTTCGGGGAATGTTAAAGGTTTTTCTTTCTGATTTATAATTTTTTCTTGCCTTACACACTTTGACCGTGAATTTTTTTTTCTTTTTTCTTCGCTTCTCTCGTCGTTGTCGTCGTATGTTTTCTTCTTATTCTCTTTTTTCCGCTTTTCTTTCCGTCTTAAGAAAAGTGGATGATGTGAGAGTGAGAGATTTTAATGATTCCCTTTTTTTTGTTAAATATTTTGTATTATTTTTTCCCTCACAAGCTGTTGATGACGACAAACGAACGGCACAATGCGAAGGTGATAACGAAAGGAAAAAAAAGAAAATTATGAGATTTCACTTCGATGACGAAATTTTCACCTCGTTAATGATTTGCATCGTTCACAAATGTTTCGATAATGACTTAAGTTTAGTTTTGAATTCTTTTAAATGATGGAAATCCATTTTTAATTCTCTTCTTCGTTTTTTACATTTTCATAAAAAGAAAATTGATGAGAAAAAGTTTTTTTTTCCTTTCTTTGATCACAAATTTCACTCACGACATCGTTGAAATTTCATTTCCGCTCATTTCTTGATCGATTCCGGTGCAAAAGAAGTGATTAAGCTGCAGAAATTTGCAAAAATATGTTAGGCTTGAACACTTTAATCCGGAAAAACTTCCATTAAATTTTTCTCTTCTTTTCCTCTTTTTTTTACATCATGAACTTTTCTTTTTTCTTTCCTTTTCAGTCCGGCGATTGATGTGAGAGTGTTTTCGTTTTGTGTGTTGTAAAAGCTCGAGTTCGCTCAACACTAAGCTTGTCGTAAATGGAAAAATTATTTTTCCGAAACTTTCTCTTCTCTCTCGTCAGCTTTTCCTTCTTCTCTCTATTCGTTTACTTTACTGGAGATTGATGATAACTTTTTTTTTCATTCTTGTTGATTGTTGTTGCTTTTCCAATTTTTCTCGTCGTGTGTGCGGCCTTCGATTTGAGTCACAAAAAAGTTTCTTTCGTTTTTTTTATTATTTTCACCCAAAAAGAAAAAAAAAGTTTTCCTTCAGGCTTTCACTTGAAGGATTCTTTTGAATGTCTTTTTGTCAAGTGTCCATTAAAATATCATTTAACAGCGTCTTTTGGAATCGTTTTCAATTTCCTTTTTATTTTCTGTTTGACCTTCCTCAATGATAATCTGAGTTTTCTCAATTTCCAGCTTCAAAATTTTATCGCGCGATAATTTTTCTCGACACTTTAATTAACTCGAAATGAACACAAAAATAATAATCAACGCAAGCAAACTTTCATTCGCTCAAAACGGATGAGAGGAGAAATACATAAACACAAAAAAAAAATTATCGTCAACTGTTTGCTCGTCGGTGGGTCTGATGATCAACAGTTACCAACTGAAAAAACTGAACCTTCTGTTTTCTCACTCGAGGAAAGTTCAATTGGAGCCAAAAAACTTTTCTCGACTTCACAAAATTCTCGATTGCATTTGTGTGCGAAATGCTTTTTGAATCGTTTGAGCGAGAATTCCAACTACGCATGCTCGATGAGAGTCAATATCGAAACCAGCTGGTTGACGGCGCTTCGACGGAATCATGCGCTGTTAGCGATGATATAAAAAAGAGTCAGAACTCTCAGTTCTCCCTCTTTCTCTCTCACACACTTTAATACATTTGTTTACGATTTTTCAAGGTGAAAAGTTCAAGTTTTCCCGTTTCTCTCTCTCTCATGGATATTTTTGTTATTTTTTCCTTACCTAGTACATATTCACTTACTCTAAGTCAACTCTTTCCTTCTCTTTCATTTGATTTCCGTTTTTAAAACTCAGCTGAGCGCTTTTGTAAGCTTTTTCCGAGTTGTCGTTGAATTAAATAAGAAAAAAAAAAACACAAAAATAACTAAAAGGTAGATGGGAATGGAAAGAAAGCAGCATGAGGTGAATGAAACACGAACGAATTCTTCTGACGTGTGCATTGACAATGTGAAACATGTCAAATGTAAGTCAACTTTTATTGGTGCTTTTATTTTTGACATTGTTAGAGAAGAACAGAAAAAATCAATAATTAATGCGGGTGTTTGCCATCTAATGGTTTCGCTTCCCTCATTCATTTTCAACCAACAAACAATGAGAAATGTTCGAAAGCTATAAAAATATTATATCGATAAAGTACTTTAGACTATTTTTGTGCTTACTTACTTACTTTCTTTCTTTTCTTTCTTATTTCGTTAAACGCGATTGGATGAATTCGAATTGCTAACGTGGGTGGGTGGGGTGATGAACTTTCTAAAATTGAATGATGATTGTTGTTTAAAATGAAGATTAGAATGTAATTAGCTGAGATCACAACGACATAAAAGTATATTAAGTACTTAAGATTATTTTTCCATCTCATTTATATTTCAGGACAAGGATCAGTATGGAAATGAAGTGCAGAAACTTGCACGACCATTGCCCGTTGAATATTTGCTTGTTGATCTACCAACATCGTCACCGCTGGTCCCACTCTACACATTCCCAGCTCACGAATATCCTTTCCCTGTTGAGAATCGTCTGATTGATGGACATCTTCAAGATTTCGGTTCGTTGCATAATTACATGCAACGTTTTAGATCAAAAGATTTCTTGACGGTAAGTTGGAAGAAGATGATTGATTACTTTTTCCTATTTTTATGTTGACGACAGCGATGATTATTCTCATGATTGAATCTTTCCGCAGGCGATGTCAGATTTTCATCTTCTCTTCTATCTTTACGGTTTGGATTGCTTTGGAACCAAAATGAAGACACAAATGACATCGCTTTTAGATGCCGTCCGAACGCAAGATAACAAATTGGCAGAGCAGTTCATGTTAGGTGACACTTGGAGTACTTTGGAGCACTTAATTGGCGCTCACAGTGGCCATGGGTAAAATTTAAAACTCTCGTGTCAAATTCATTTATAATTTAATGCTTTTTCTTATTGTTAACAGTCACGATAATCATTTGCCATCGTCAGCTGTTGGCAATGATGCGACCTGGACATGTAATCACTGCACGTACATCAATAGCGGTGATACGCAAGCTTGCGAAATGTGTAGTTTGCCTCATTGAAAAACATTTTATGTTTGAGAACTTCACTGAAAGTTAGCAAAAAGGAAGCAAAAAAATTATTTAAAATTATATCAACGTAAAGAAAATTTTCTGGAAAAAAATGAAAACTTTTAAATGAAATCCAAAAACTGTAAGAGAAAAAAAAGATGAATAAAAATATGGAAGAATCATAGAAATTTTTGTTTGTGGTTTTTTGTTTGAATTTTCTAATTAAAATTTTGACAATTATTTGTAGAGATTAATTCAAACACTCAATCGTTAATTAATTGAAATTTATTTATATAATTAATCACATAAGTATCTTAATTTCTTATCATTTTATTATATCAATCTAATCTGTCAATTCCAATTAAAAAAGTTTTCCTTTTCATAAAAAAATAAACACAACAAAAAAATTTAAAATTATCTACCGATTAGTGTCAATTAAATGAATTTAAAAATTATTTGACATGAGTAAAATGAAAAACGAAGAAAATGTGTCAAAAATAGAATCGTTTTGTATTATCTACACAATCGACTGGAGAAACGTCAAAAGAAAATTCTCCAAAATATGAACGCGAAGATAAAATTCATTTCATTCGCAGAAAAAGAATTTTCTAAAAATAGTTCCGACTTTAACCTTCTGCCCGGATCATCTAATCAGTTTCTCAAAAGATTTTGACAGCAGTTTCATTCTTAATTCTATAAGAATTATTTTCAAAAGAAAATCCCATGAAGATCGTAAAACATAACGACATGCGGCACGCGTAACCAAACGCCTGATGACGCAAAAATAAAATGTGGAAGAAGAAAATCTTTTCATCAAACCTGACCCAGTTTCTTCGAATATTTAATCTCATTGTGAACAATACACAAAGTGGCGAAAAACCAAATTGCAACAACAAATGTGCAAACCATCATAAGTCACTTAACAGAACACAATCATAAGTCATTTATTTATAAATCTATTTTCTGACAATTAACGAAGGCTGGTTTCGTTTCATTTTAACTTACACACGTTTTGGCATTCGTCAAATCAAGTAAAAAAAAGAAGATAATACAGTTTCTTCTACTCTGTGGTCTACGTGACTCTCAGCTCACTCGTTGACTCGATTTTGACGTCATCATTTAGTCATATAGCCATTTGAAATTGTGTTTACATTTTGCTTTCAACCGATTTTGAAGCCTTCAAATATGATTTTCAATCAGCTGCCTCTAGTCACATGTTAATGTTGATTTTTAAAGAATAAGAATTTTCGCAAACAGTTGAAATCCCATCAGTGGATGCTCTCATTAAATTTGAATCAGTGATGAAATTTATGAATGGGAAAAGAACAAGCGAATAAAATATTCAAATAAATACACGAGTGGAAAATGTTTCACCGGCATTTTTCCATTCGCCCTTCAAACGACCTTCGCCCTCGATCGAAAGGAGAAAATGTTTTTCCATTTCACAACGTCAACGACTTGTAGGCATGTGCGTGCGTAACGACTTCGTTTTCAAATTCGAGTGAAGTTACAATCGAAATTGGTAGAAAGTTTGATGTCCTGGTGAGAAACACAATTGAAATTTCATATTTTTATTGCTTCACGTTGCGTAAGGATTCCTATGGAGAAAGTCTAATGACAAGAGAAGCCACTGGAGTGCCAGGAAGCTGGCAGCTTCTTTATTTACTTTTTTTTTCTTTTTATTTTGAAAATGTTTAATTGTGTTGGTTCACGTCCGCATGCTTGTACTGCGTTTAATATATTTTCATTTTATGGATACACCAAAACATTTTTGTCTTCTCGTTCACGTTGCGTTTCATTGAAAGCTTCAATTTGTTTGATTCATTCAAGAATTTACTTTCAGAGTGGTAAGGTCGGAACTTTAAAGTTGTTGAACTTACTTTTCTCTTATTCTTATCATTTTCCTATTGAAATTTCGTTCAAGAAGAAATTTTATTTCTGTCAGTGAAAATTTATAACAAAAAAAAATACCAAGGAAGGAAAAGTTTTGCTATCTTAGCTTTGCTGAGAAAAAAAAAAGAATTCTTTTGAATAACAATAATGGTTTTGTCGAAAGCGATTGCAACTTTTTCTCGAGCTCAGGTGAGATGATTATGCATCGAAGTTTCCTTTTTAAAGTTGTGATGAAATTGATCCAATAAACTTTTCATTTGATGAACAAAATTCTTCGATTTCAAAAATGTTGAAGCGTCGAATGAATCATAACGTGAAGTCAATAAAAGTTGAGTTTGCATTTATAAATTCTCGGAAGAAGTTTTAAGTAAACATAACACAATCGACTCGTAGGCTCCAATACAAATTGTGTTTGGGAAAAAAAAAACTGATCAAGAAGAAGGAAAATTTCCGATTACACGATAAAAAGAAAAGCTTTTATTATTTTTATGTAGATTTCGTGTACGTAATCGAAATATGCAATGTTTGTTTAACTTTTTTGCTGAACTTAATAATTGATAACGATGAATTAATGCGAGTGACTTTGATAACAAAATTTGCTCGAGATAGCTAATTCTCGATATAAATTTGTTTATGTGTTCGTCGATTTAGCTATTTCTTTCTTTAATGACTTTTTTTAATTACCAAAACACGAGTTTATTTAGTTTCTCATTTTCGCACTCGTCAGTCGTTCTCTTCTTTTTAATTTGAATGGCAAACGAAGTGTGGGAAGAATCGAGAAAAAGCTACTTCGCACTTCTTATCAGACATCATGTTTATATCATTCGAATCAAAATATTATCGAATAAGTTTCTATTTTTGCCTTGGATATTTTTTCTTTTTGCTTTTTTAATATCAACTTATTTGAGTGGATTTTCAATCAGAATAACTGACTTTAGAAGTATGAAATGATAACGTGACAAGTTGAATAAAAACGTGGGGATTTGTTCAGCTTTTATCTGTTATTCAAATCGTCTTTGTGACTATATAAAGAACTTCCACAAATAAATTTCCTTTGTGAAAATCAGTGACCTCAGCTGTTGGATCACCTTCTTTAATCTCCTGGGACAATGACAGAGAAAGTAGCATACATAATATCTAAATAAAAATGTAAAAAAACAAATCCTTGAACTGAACAAAATCGATATAAAACTTTCATTCTTTCTCTTCTTTTCTCTTTCTCTCGTGTTTTAATAAGATATAAGAAAATAAGAAGCTTTTTATCCATCTACTTATATGAATGAACAAAAAAATCTTTTCTCCTTTCCCGATGATCACAAGGAAACTTTCAAAATTTTGAATAATTCATAAGATGAAGTTTTGAACTAATCCATTTCAATTGAATTTATTTTTAGGTTCGTTGGAATAGTCAATTTCGACCTCCTAACCGAACAAATGATTTTCGATACTTCAAGCTTAGTGCGTTGAAGCAACATACAGCTGTAAGTAAAGGAAAATTTTCTTGACTCGTAGTAGAAGGAGAATAAATAATTTTAAGTTTATATTAATTGAAATTGATAAGCCACAAACTCACATTTGAATAAAAAATTCTTTGAAATTATTAAATATTCTTCTTCCTCTTAATGATTTATAATAAATGTTCGAATCATTCCAATCTGTAATGAAGAAAGCTTTCAGAAATTTTCACATGCAATCAAAAGAAAAATTATTTTATTTCTTTTTTTATTGTTGACACAAATTGTGTTTTTATTAGTTTACAAATAAATTGATGAACAGTAATGGGCACAAGAGGGGAAAATATCACAGCTCACCTGGTGTCGTTAATATTGATCTCTACTAATATAAATTCCAGGAATCAAAAAGTTTGTCTTTTATCGTCTTTTCATTCTTCGTCGAAATTTTTAACAATCAAATTTAATTCACTCAAACTTTGAGAACTTTTCTCGTCATCTTAAAATATTTTTTACTTTTTTTGATGTTAGACATTCGGGAAACTTCGCGAGAAGCAAAACGAAGCAGAAATGAAAAAAGAAAGTTTCACTAGAAGCTTCTTGTGCTTTAATCTTATGGAAATTGAGTTTTCATGCTACGATGATCCCATTTAAATTTTCTTGATATCATTACTAATATATGTAGGTAGATATGTCGGCTTTTTTATGCTGTTAACACAATCTTTCTCTTACCTTCTTTCAATCATACACTAAAAGAAATAAAATTTGACTTTTAATATGATTATCAATATCGAATGAAAAGAACAAAATGAAGTGAACATTTTGTGTGGAATTTACAATAGAAATATAAAAATTATATGAAAAACGTTAAACCATGCGCGTACTGTGTTCACTAGTGGTTGAAGAGAAATATAAATACAAGTTACAACTCTCACATATCTATACACAATTTATTATGAGCATCAACGGAGACTGTCAATGAGGAAGAATCATTAGAATTAAAATATGTGCCAATGTTTTACTGTAAATTGACATTGAACTTCTGGTTCAAGACAGTAAAACTTGTTATAAAAAGAAAATAAAAGCGAAAAGATAAAAAACAACTTGCGACGAGACTATTTATGTACATATATTGAAATATTATTTACACACAGCCCAGAAGCATCACTATATAGTTGGCTAGATAATTAAATACTTAGTAAAGAAATGATTAACTAAACAACACTTTAAGTAATAAAAGAAATCGTCAAAGAGTAATGACATACGGGTTAAGAATTCAAACATGAGATAAATAAATGCAAAAGTGTTTTTTACGTATTATTTTTTATTTACGACAATAAATTTTTCTTGTTCTCTGATGTTCTGCCAAAAGAAAAACAAAATATTCATCTGATCTAAGGTTCTACAAGAAACAAAAATGAAGAATGAAAAAATATAACATAAATAATAATCAAATCGACAGTGACGAAAAAGAATTTTCAATATTTTTGTAAAGTTGTTGATGTTCTGAAAAATTTTCCAAAATTTTTATTTCTTGTCAACTGTCGTTGATTGATATTTACTACTTGAGTCTTCTACTTTTGCTTCGATCATACATCGAGTTACAAATATTTTAAATATAAATAATTACTACATTACTTTGTTTGCTTCATCAAATTTAAAGTTTTCTAAGAAATCTGCAATCTTTTGTTTTCAATCATTAGTTTCAATCTTAAATATGAATGAATGAGAAGGTCATCAAGTTGTTGTTAAAGTATCTAATTAATAATTTTGAAGTGTGATAAGAAATTTTTGTTTATTTATTATGCCAAAAATTGTGTCGAAAATTCAAATGATCAATGAAGTCTCACTAAGAACTAATTAATCAATAAATTTAATTCTACAAAAATTATAAAAGATTACAAAGGATTGAGAAAATCATTGGAGCTCATCTAATAAGATTTTTGAAAACTTTTCTTGGAGTTTCATTGAAAGGAAAAAAACAAATTTTAATTCTATAATTTTAAGAAAGGTTCAAACTACTCATAACTTTATGTAATTAACTACAAAATATAAATCATATAGAAAAGAAAATAATCAAAAGATCTAAAATTACTTATTAAGTTACATATGCAGATCATTTAAGTATATTTATATACATCGCAATCAAACATTTAATTTTATGAATTCATACATTCCATATCGTTGATTGATATGTTAATTAATTTGCAATGTCTATCCAAATGCTTGTTTTATTGCCATAACGATTTCTATTGATACATTTATGTTTTTAAATAGCTTTTGCTTCTCATGAAGATATATCACAAAAAGCAATTTCTACTTTTGATCAATTAATTTCTTTCTTCCATCATTTCTTGGGTTAAAGAATTTGTTTTTGTTCTTTTTTGTTTTTGTTTTTTAAAACATTTGTTGATGTTACTAAATACTAAGTATATTTGCATACACAATATTGTGATTAAGATACATACTTATCAGATTACTAAAATCTAATGGCCCAGAACAAAGAAAAGAATATACATAAGATTAAAAACTACAAACTACCAGTCTCTATTCTAAACACACTTTTTCTTGTATAATAATAATTTTTGTGTTGAAATGTGATTCACCATTCAATACTTTTTAACACACAATCAATTTAACAATCAGTTTCTTGTTTGCAAGTTTGATAATGTTCCAACTAAGTATCTATGAATTTAGTTTTGGAGTTCAATATCTCTTTGAGCCCCACAATTAATTTTCTACTCTACTATAGATATCAACTTTAAGTATTTTTTTGTTGCTTTTGATACACAAATATGTTTCAGTTGTTTGTTTGTTTTTATTTTTATTTTTATTTCAAAAAAGTTTGTTTTATTATGTCCACTTCCTTTTTGGTTATTTTAATACTTAATGCATTAATCGAGATTCAATATTCTCGTACAATGAAGAATATCTAATGTTCAAGTCTCTGCCTTTTTGAATCACTACTACTTACTCGTATCATAACACAATTCTTCAATTTATTAGATAATTATTTGTAAAGTTACCAAACATATTTAGATTAAAAATAAAAGGATACAAGCCCAAAAGAAAAACACGCTACATAAGAAGTTTATGATGTGGGTGAGGATGAAAATAAAACACAAAATGGTTTGCACAACAGCAATAGAAAAGATAAGCAAAGTTCTATATTAATCCTTAAAGTGGTCAATTGAAAAATTATTGTTCCATGTTTTTGGTTGCTTATACTTTTTTTTCTTTTCAATTCTACTTAAAACACTCATTTCTCAGTTACAATAAGTAAAATTTTTATATAATAAGAAATAGATATTCTCATCAATTCTATAAAAACAATTTTTATTCTTCTTCACCTCAACTTTTGTTTATTGCTTTTAAATTCCTTATTCCTTTTCTTCATTTTTTTTTTGTTTAGATTACCATTTCAAAAGATTTTACTTTGCAATCAATGAAATACATATCAACATTGTTTTTATAGCTTCTTAAAATATATTTATTGAGAAATAAACAAATTTGTGTACATATGAGTTATACAAGTTAGTATTGTCACTTAAAAACCATGCAAGTTTGGGTTAATATATCTTTTCAATGATGTTCCACTTTGTTCTCGATAAATTTAAAAGACAAGATAGGGAAATAGACAGAGATTCTTATTATCAGCAGAAAAAGTTAGTTTCTTGGAAGATTTCGTTTTGATATTTAAGAGAGTTTGTTTTCGAAAAGTTTGATTTGAGATGAGAAGAAAGATGAGGGAAAATTTCATTAAGATATTTAAATATATTTTTTTACTTCTTGTAGATATTTTTAAAGTCTCTCAAGCTTACACGACATTCATCACATTTATGGCATTTAATAAAATGTATCTTTCTTGAAATGATACTTTCAAGAAGTTGTTTTGTTCAATTAATTAAGATATGTGTATCTGCACAACTCTTCAATTTTCAATGATAGATAATTAAATATTTTCTAATTGCCATGTTTCAAAACTCTTCATATTTTGTTTGTTTTATTAGGTGGTAAATTTCCTCGTTACTATACGATGATCTTTCACAAATCAACAATGAGGTGAAAGGCTCTTCGAAAACATATCGTCGCGAAGCAAAAAGAATTAAACTGAGATTTAGGGATGAAATTTTTTTTTGTGGCTTTAATGGGGAAATGGTTTCCATTGGTTGAATCCTTATATTCAGTCTTTATCAGATTTATACAATCGAGTGTTTTTAATTAAAATAACATAAGATTGTAGGCGTCGCTAAGATGTTATAATTCATTATTTTCTTTCTTCTCGTTTTGTACTTCTTTCAATGGAGCGGAAGATAAGAAACTTAAGAAGCTAAAATGTTAGTGACAATGCTTAAATTAAGTACATGACACATAAATCATAATCATCTACCTCAGCGACATTAACTTCACTTATTCAAACTCAATTTGATTAAATCAAATTCTAACAAATCGATATTTTTATTCAGATACTTATTTTGGTGTAATAAATTATTACGTATTACGTAAGCCAAAATTCTAAAACATCTACTTAAATATTTGGTGGTTTTAAACAAGAAATAAAAATTATAAACGTAGAAAATCATTCAAAATGCTATGAAAATTTATTAAGGTTGCAATCTAATGACTACTGAAAGTGGTTAATTAAATATAAATTGAAAATCAGATTTTTTCCAAAGTGTGGGTGTTGAGCATACTAATGGTTCGTGCTTTGTTCATGTTGATATTTAATTAAATATTTTGTAAGTTTTGTAATCTTCTTTTTGATTTTCTTGATTCTAAGAGGTCGTGAAATTTGGAATTCATGAAAAATTATTTTATTTGTAGTAATTTAAGGCACTGCGTGCAAATCTCTTGTTCATTTTCTTCATATTTTCAATCTGTTCGATTCTTTTGTTCACTTCAATCAAACATTGAATACGATATTGATGCCTGTTGAAGAGAAGTAAAGTTAGGAACAGAAAATCGATGTCAAGAATTTTGGCGAACGATACTTTTAACTTGTTGTTTAAAGAATAGAAAGGAAATTAAATATATGTTGAAGTTCAAACACGATGGAAACCTTTTTAATATGAAATGAGAATTTTCTTTTATAATTCATATCTTAACAAAAGACTTTCGATTTAATAAAAGAAATGTAAATGGCCAATGTTTTCTTATTATTATCGTCTAGTCAAACTTTAATTTTATTGTAATTATTTGAGAAGGTATCGACTATCTCCGTTTCAAGTAGTCACGCGATAAAAATACCGTAAAATGTCTAATACTGATTATTGCGAGCATGTCTCAATAAAACCTTTTTCAAATAAGTATTGTAAAGGTATCTAGATAAGTAGATATTGCTTTGGAAAGGAGAGAAAGTATTATCATCGTTTTATTGTTTACTTTGAATCAGTTGAGTGTTTTGAGTCAATTTAAGAAGAAAAGTTTTGTTTTCCCTTTTTTTTTTCCTTTCTTCAATTTATTGTATGAACAAAAATCTCTTCCTAACATTTAATCTCTTCTTCAGAATATTTATTCGTCGGGATAAAAGATCTTCCCGATTCCTTAAAATAAAGTTGATGATGAGCTTTAAGTTGAAAGTTCATCAACTTATCAGGTGGGTTCAGTTTAAAGCGTCTTCACGAGTCACTTTGAAAACTTTCTTATGTCATTTTAATTAAAAAAGAAAGATTTTTTTTGTGAAAGTGGCAAGTTTAATTAATTACCCAATCATCTCCTAAAAACCAAATTAACAAACTACTAATTTTATAGGTGAGTGTTATAAATAAAAACTAAACGATTAAGATACTTGAACTCATTTCTTTCATCCATTAAGAAGACAAAAAAAAATAATGAAGAAGAACTTTTACTTAATTAAATATCTTTTTAGATAATGTCACATTAAAGCTAACTTAAAAAAATGAAACAAACAGTTAATGATGAAGAATTGTTTAAAATGGCTTCTTAATGATTTCTTTCACAATTTTAAAATGTTTTCCAAAAAAAATAAAAAATAAAAAATAGTTTGAGACCAATTACAAGTGTTAGTTAAATTCTTTTCTTGTTTTCTAAAATACTTTTAAAATCATTCATCATCTTAACATTTAATTACAAGAAGTATGATAATCAAACTATTGTTCCTAAGATGCTCAATTAATTAATTCTTAAATACTTTATCGCAACCAAAAAAAAAAATTATCTTATTAAATATTTATGAAACAAATTTGATCTCTTCACATCATCATATTGTTTAAATTTCAATTTCTATTTATGATAACAAAGTGATACACAATCAGTAAGTAAGAAGAGTTACACAAAGAAATCAAACATTAATTATTGAATATAATTTCCATCTCTTTCTCACGATAATTAAGAAAAAAACTTTTCATCGATTCTCTCTCTTTGTTCTCTTTTTTTACTAAACACTAATCAGTTGAAATAATCTTGCAAACATATTATAAGATAAGTTAAGTTAACATAGTTAAAAGAAAGGTAAAAGGAAAGCCAACAAAGAAAAAAAAATAAGAGACAAATGAGAATATTACTTAAAGTAAAGTAAAACCAGCAGGCAAACGCTTCAATAAATTTACTAATTACTTCTTTATGTATTTTGTTGTTAATTAAACTTCAAAAGGAAGCAAAAGGAAATTATTGTTAGCGAAGAGAAGGGTGGAAAATGTGAGAAAGAGAATTATCGTAGATGGTGGGTTGAGTGTGGAATTTATACGTACATATTCATGCCGTACATCGATGCCCAATCGATGCCATTGAATCCAGTCATGTCAACACTTGCTAAATTATAGCCAGGATATGGATTTGTTGTGGGAACTGTCATTTGAGGGTTTTGAGGTTGCTGTTGTTGTGGTTGGGTTGATGTTGTTGGTGGGGCTTGATGTTGTTGATGTTGAAGTTGAGCAGCAGCAGCAGCTGCTTGAAGCTGAGCTGGGACGCCTGGAGCCATTGGATATGGTGCATATCTTAAATAGAAAGCAAACGATTTGAAATCATCTGAACTTATAATAAAATCAATTTCAATTACCTCAATGCATGGAATGATGGCGGATATGTTGTGAAGAGTTTTCCTCCAGTAACAGCAGCTGCTCCCGATGCACCAGCTAAGTGAGTTGGAACGACACTTGCTGCAGCTTGGGCCTGATAACCAGAAAGCTTTTTTGAAAACTTTTTTGAGAAATTTCTAAAAGATTTATTAAAAACTTTTACCTGTGCCATTGGATTGTAAGCTGAAATTTGTGTTGGCATAACACCAGCTCCTCCTGGTGCTGCAACCATTCCCGTTGGCACGCGAAGTCCTAAGCCACTCAGTAATAAACGTTTTTGTAACTGAAGTTGAGTAGCTGGCGTGACAGTCTCTTTTGGCTGAGCTTTCTTACATTCAACTTTCTTATTCTTGATCGTGTGGAAGTGAATTTCACAAATACGATCGACAACGTCCTCTGAAATGAAATGAAAATTGTTAATCATTGCGAACCTTAATCGTACTGTCACAACTCACCGTCAGCAAGACTCACAAATCCAAAGCCACGATGACGTTTTGTTTGTTGATCCATTAACATCACAGCTTCTTCAACCTTTCCAAACTGACTGAAGTAAGCTTTAACTTCGTCAACTGACGTGTCTTGTGACACGCCACCAACGAAAATCTTTTTTGTCTTGTTGGCTGTTTTCGGACGATTCTTTGGCGTTGCATGTTTCGGATCAATTTTCTTTCCATCCAATGTGTGAATGGGAACTTTCAAGACTTTCTCAACAGCATCAGGTTCCTTGATATAAAAGTTAATCATTAATTTATCTTCCATTCTTCTATTTTAAAAGATTAATTTGAAACTTACCGTAAATGAGATGAATCCGAAACCACGGCTTCTCTGTATTTACAAACAAAATAGAATAAAGAAGAAATTTATGATAAATTAGAAAATTTTCAAGTCTGACTTAGAAGAAGTTAAAAATATATTTAATTGATTTATTGACATGTGAGAATGAAATTGAATATATTGAAATGCTTAAGAAGACAATCATGAAATAAATAAATGAATTAAAATTTAGATGAATGTAAATCGAGAAGAAGATTGAAAAGCAAGGAAGTTGAAAATGATCAAATGTTTTATAAATAAATATAAATTGATAATCTACATACTTGTGTTATTGGATCCTTCATTATTAGTACATCCGTTACAGTGCCAAACATACCAAAATATTCACGAAGTTTTTCGCTAGAAGTTTGCCAACTGAGACCGCCAACAAACAATTTACCAGGTGCCGTATCATTTGCATTTGGCGTGGATCTACCGGATGATGAGCTACCACCGTTAGATAATGCTTGACTACTACTTGAATTAGTATTAGTATTTGTGTTTACATTTTGTACACTACTGCTATTATTGCCATTACAATTTATTGTGGCGGCGCTAACTGGTATTAAAGCATTATGTAAATCATGTTCGACTGAATTTGCTTCTATGACACCACTAGAAATAAGAAGAAAAAAAAGAGTAAATAAATGAATAAGTGAATTGATATCTAATTTTAAATGGCAAATGAATGATGACAAGACAAAAAGCTGATTAATATCATGATCTAACTCATTCTTGTTTTATTTACAGGTTATTCCACTCGTTGTTATCATCAGCACAGCCGTGGTAAGTCATTCACAGCATTGCAAAATTATTCAGACTTAGAATTGAAATCATTTCAGGTCGGCATTATCGGCTTCATTGCTTTTGAATTTCGGTCACGAACCGATATTTAGTAAGATTAATGAATAGAATGACGGAAATGTTTAAAGAAGCATAAAAGAAAGTTTCTTTCTTTATCTTTCAGCTTGCAACGATCCAAAGGAAGCATTGACGAGACAATGGATATGATGAATCCATATAAGCAGAAGGTGAGTCAATTCTACCTTCAAAAGAACGTTCGTGCAATCAAATGACTTCGTTAATTTATGAAAATTATTCTCAAATCGTTTTTTCGACTCGTTACATAAAAAAAAGGGATTTCGATATAAAATAAATAATGAAAAGAAGTAGAAATGAATATCAGAAGTTTCATTTCCTCTGAAAATATTTTATTCCCGTCTTTGTTCTAATTTCATGTTTTCAAATCGCAAAAAAAAGAAGCAAAACGAACAGAAAGAAGGAAGAATCCTTTTTGTATCAGCTCATCCCATCTACCTCACGTTTCTTGTGTGTATCTTCTCCATTAAATATAAGAGAGAAAGAAGAACATTTTCATCCTGTTATAAAACATGGAAAATTCTTAAAAAAGAAGTATGAAATTATGACATATTGCGCAAACTCGCACGAGACTCTTCGGCTTCGATTTCAAAATAAGGGAGAAATGTGATGTTTAAACAAGTTTTTCGTGGCTTTATCGATTTTGTCATAAATTTCATTTACACAAAAATCCTCGTAAAAACTTGATGACTGATAACCAAATAAAAAAAGGCAAAAACAAAAGCCTTTGCCATTTTAAAAATTTAATGTTTGCAAGCAATCTTATCGGATTTATGTTAAGCCCCAAAGTATAAAAAAAGATTTATTAAAAATCGAAACATTTTTTCATGAACATTTTTCCAATCTCCGAAAAGAGAAGAAGAAAAGTTCATTGATTTTCTTATTTCGTTGTTAAATTTTCGTGTTCAAGTGTATCGAAGCATAGGGAAGAGTTTTTTTTATTCTTCTTCACCCTTAAATAATTTCCACAACTTTGCATTGTCACCCACCACGCAAGTCTCTCAACGACGATAAACGAAATATTTTCCCTCTTCGTTTTGCGTGTCGTCATGACGATCCGACGAAGAGAAAATTCAATTCCATCGGATAAAAGTACTTTCTACCCCTCGTTGGTCTAGTCGTAACAATCAAGTCGTGCCGTCAGCAACTCTCGCAAAGTAAAATTAAGTTATTTTACCATTTTTTTTTCCTTTCAATTGTTAGAAGAATTTTTCTTCTTTCTTCATCATTCGTGATTTGAAAAATCAATGAAAATTTTGAGATTGTGCAAAAGTTTGTAAAGTTAAATGAAATTCGCTTTTTTTTCGGTGATGGTGACGCAAAGAAAATTAATTTTTATTGACAAAGATAACAATAAAAAGAAAAGTTTTGGGGGCTAGTAGACGATTATATTGTCCTGTCACAGCAGTATTGTTTGAGCATTGCTTTTGCTGCTGTTTCGGGACATTTGTATTGTTTGCCAAGCGTAACTTCCGACTGGGGATTTTCAAGATACTTTTATGAGGATTTTTCTCGCGTCTGAAATTCAATTTTTCTTTTGTAGACAAATCATCAAAGGATTAACTAAGAAATATCCATTTGAGATAACTTTTTATTCCAAATTCCCTTCAAATCTTTTACGAACAAAGGAAAAGCAAGCATCAAAGAAAATATTTTACTTAGGAAATTCTGAAAATGTCGGAATGAAATGTGCCACTCCCACGTCGGAGGAAAAAAACGGCAAAAAAAGGACGCAAAACCGACACAACTCTTAAGCTTCTCGCACATCGACTTTCATATTCATTCACCCGCGAAATACTACAAAAAGAGGTTTTTAAACAAGTTTCAAGAGATCAAAAAATTGATTAAATTAACATCACGCGACAAGGGACGTTGGAATAGAAAAAAGAAAGAAAATTGTGTGATGTGAGAGAGCGATGAACCTACTTCCCCATTTTTATTATTTCGACATGACATGGTGGAAATTTTTTATTCTTCTTTACATCCCCTTAGGGAATTCCTTGATATTGCTTTTCCTACTTCATTTTCTTTTTCCTATCTATATTTATGACCCACGCGATTAGTTTCTGTGAAAATTACAAGCAGCTGAGATTCAATCATTAATCATAATATCTGACGAAACATTTGCAAAACAAAAAAAAAGGTTTACAACTTTCAGTGACGAGAGTAAAGAAAAAGTTAAAAAAATTCTCGTTTTTTGAATGTTAAAGTCGTACAACGCAGGATCAATGAAAAAAAGGGCATTTTGAAAGAAAATTCACCCTGCGCATGCTTGGAAATTGCTTTGAACTAAAACGCCATCTAGTCGTGGCAGGATAACTTACAAAATTTTCAAAACGAAAAAAACATTTCTGAGAATGGATGAAAACTTCACTTCAACGGAAATCCAGAAGAATTTCGATTGAAGTGTTGTTGAAGACGCAAAGAATTTTCCAAAATATTACGTCACTTCTTGAGGTTGATTTCCGAAATGTTTACTTTATCCTCAAGCTTAGTTGACACAGAAAAAAATTCTTTACGTAAAGTTATATTTGAAAAGTTTGTAAATTTAATTTACCCTCTCTTAGGCAGACGGCAATTTATATTTTCTTCCTTAGAATTTATTGCCATGTTTAGGAAGCGGAGTCGAGATTGGAGGGTGAGGGAAAGGAAGAGGAAGCTTTAGTGCTCAAAACGTAATTTTCATTCGTATTTACCTTATTTAAATGAAATCGGCAGCAAAGAAAAAGCAATAAAACTTTAATAATAAATTTGAAATGATTAATTTCAACTGTCAGCAAATATTTCGTCAAAGTGTTGACGATTCTGATGCGACTATTAAGTTTAATTACAGAGAAAAACACTCAACATTTACAATTCACATTCAATTTATGAGTTTAATAATTTAACTTAATCGTGTGTCATGCGGAAATCTTTCACTTTCTCGATAATCTTTTCATGCTTTTGTATTAGCAAAAGATTATTCAGCATTCAACCTTAATTCTTATTCATTCACTCTTTTATCGACATTTTCCCTTCAATTCTGCTTGTCTTTAATATTCATCAAAACTTCTAAAAGAAAAATATCGGGGACATTGAGAGAAAGTTTCATTTTGCCTAAGGACACACTAAAGCTGAATTTTATTAGTTATTCTACTCTTCCTCTCTAACTTGACTTGACACCCACGCAAAAGAAAGCAATTATCGTCATTTCTGCTTTTTTTCTTCTTGCTTTGCGTAAATTTTCTGTTAATTGTTGCATTTAATTGTACTCGATGAAAGAAAGCAAAATTTAATCTCCAAGAATAATTCAACTTAAATGAGGCAACAAAGCGTCGCTTATTAGGCCATAACATCGAAAAATGAAACTGTAATGCTTTGTAACTTCAACACATAAAATAGCATGAGCCTTACTTTATCTGAAAACATTTAAAGTTGTAAAGTTTAATAGTTATTTATGTATGTTCACAGCTCTTTTACGTAATTTTAAATGAAATTATTGTTGGTAGAAAAACAAGAAATTTTTCACTTGAAAATTGGTGCAATTTCAAAATTGAATAAGCGAGCAAAAATCTTTATTCGCTATTTTGTATCTAAAATTCAACTTTTTGCTCTTCCAATTTAAAACTAAAAATCGTTCAATCGAGTCAAGGAGAAATTCATTAGATAATTTTCTCTAATTCTATTCATTTTTTACCTCCGTTTCTAAGCCACCCTCACCTCTCGTTTTCCGAAATTCTCAGTCTTCAATAACTTATAACTTTCAGTTCTCCCCTATTTGTTTCGTTTTACTTTTTTTTGCGATTCAAGGTACTGAATGGTACACGCAAATCAGGCATTCTCAAGAGTCGAACTACAAACCCTGTGGAATGAACACAGAAACACAAATCGCGTTTTCCATGTCTTCAAATATCGACTACGATACAACAATGACTAGATGAAGCTCGACAAATTTATCGATTCTTATTTACATGAGGATCGGAAACCTGTCAACTTCATTCCCTTCCACCCTAAGGCTTATAAGTAGTACAAAACCATTCCAAGGCAATTATTTGTGTTCTTTCTCAAACTGACTGAAAATCGTCATTCTATACATACATCGATTGAATACCTTGAAATGGCTGCCATTTTCCTGTCAAAACTAATCCGATTATGGGGATTCGCAAAAGCTTCAAGAGTCTAACAATGCTTTGAGAATATTTTTTATCTTTTTGACTTGTTAAGAAATGCGTTTAATCTCACACAAAATTTTATGATTCTTTTATTTTCAGATCTACATTGAAAATCAGAAATACCAACCAATGCCGGAATTGGCAGAAGCTTTAAAAGCTATCAGAGAATAAAGCTCGACAATTATTATTACTTACAGAGCTACTAAATACAAAAAATTATATTAGAAATCAAATCCTATTCCAAATTATTAGAATCATTACACTTGGCTGAGCAAACGTCTGGAGAAGTAAACAGATGAATGTTTTATAATTTACTAAGAAATGTGTAATCTGAGAAGTGGACTTATGTGGACTTTGGGCTTAGACAAAATAAAATAAACACTTTTTTGCTCTGCTTTTCACCTTCCAACTTAATGTCAATGTTGTTTGAATTTAAATTTCTTTCAGCTTTTTCTTACAAAAACTTCTACTTTTGCTGTATCTATGACATTTTTCCAACATGTAACAACATTCCTCAACGAAATTGCATAGAAACTCACGTCGAAAATTTATTATTTCAGTTTTCAACCGTCGTCGCCATAAAAAGAGAAATAAATGAATGGGGGAGAATTTAAATTGAAAACAATGCACCCGGGTCTGTCTATGCGCCGTATTTATTAATCGAGCTAAAGACATGCCAGTAAGTATTAAAATATAAAGGAACATGTGCTTGAAAGGTGCTCGTTAGGGCTCAGGAAGGCAAACGACATTTGCGGCGCATTTTAAAAATTTAAAACATGCTCGTTGCTTTTTTTTTCGGGGACCATCTGCACCCGGCTGAATTATACACAACGTGAAAGCCTTCACTCTAAAAGTTGAGTGGATGAGAAGAATCTTGTTTGTGTGCTTTTTTTTCTCTTCTTTTTTAAAAGATTATGAGCGTAATGGAAAATCTACCTTTGAAACAAAATGAAGTGTCAAAAGGTTTGTGAACTTGATGAGAAAGGGAAATAATAAGGTTAACATTAACGTCTTTCCACAATCTCATCACATAACATTCTCCCTGTAGGAAGTTAAAGTCAATAAGCGATGAGAGGCCTGCTTGCAGCGTTTCTTTTTGCACGAGTTGAAGAAAAGGAAGCTTTCAAGCATTCAATTAATTGCGTTCACTCTCGAGATTCGATTACGTAAAATTCACAATGATTAAGGACATGTGTGTGTGTTTGAGTGTGTGTATGTTGACAAGTTGATTTGTTCGCAATGAAAAAATATTTCTACGTAAAACATTTGCGATGTTTAGTTAGTTGGAAGTGAAGAGAAGGAGGAAAGGAGAAGAAGAGAAGAACATACGAGGAAAATTCATCATCCACCTTCGCAAAAGCCATTTCTCTTACTTTTTTTTGCGCAACGTAGACGCAGGAGAAGAACCGACGACGAAAATAAAAATCGTTATCGTATGATTTATTTAAGCCTGGATTTCAGTTTTTATTTTCAAAAAAACATTCACAAATTTCTTGCCAGTTGCCTGTTCTTATTTCTTATTGATTTTTTTCGGTATTTCAAACGATTTTTTCTGCTTGCTCGCTTGCTTGTTGAAGTCAATATCACTTGAGTCATATTTTTACTTCTTTTCTTTTTTTCAAGCGATATATTGAAGCGAGGAAATGAGAAGCAACAACAATGATCCCTAATTCGATTAGAGAACTGAAAAGTTTACAGACCATGCCAAACAAAACAATTGTGAGAATTCTTTTGACTGGAGGATAAAGACTTCAGTGAGACACGATTGACAGACTAAGCCAACGCTTTAATGGATCAAAACGAGGCATCTAAAAATCGTTTCGCTTTTCGAAGCTTCTCAGTTTTTTTTTGCTGTTGCCTCCTGATCTTTAACCTGCTAAAACATTTCGCTTCGGAAATTTTCAATCATACACCACAGATTGGTTGGTTAGAATAAGATATTAAGGGAGATTGTGTAGGTTTAAAAACTCGTCTATCTGAAATGATTGAATGCGAGGAAGAAGATTTCCAACTTCCAAGTCACGTCACACATTCCAATCAATATTCGTCAAGGAGAATTATGAGCGTATTTATTTACAGACGAACGGTTTGGGTCAATATTTCCATGCGTGACGTAATGCTCCAAAAAGCCTCTATCAAAATACAAGAAAATCATTTAATATTCATTTATTTATGTTGTGTTTTTATTTTTCTTTTCAGTCCTACTGATTTCATATTTCTATCTCGATCTCGAGAATTTTTCATACATAAATACATGGCGTGAAATTTATCGTAAAACATGTGTCGCTGTTTCTCGTTTCAATTTTTTTTCCTACTTCTAAATGCGAGTCGTTCTAGAGCCGCAATAAATAAATATGTGACCATGTCTCAATCATGTTTAAATTGCGATGTGATTTTATTCGAGTAAATTTAAAGGAAAAAAGTTGAAGTGAGTGAAATGATTTAATTAATTTTCAGTTACAAATGGCTTATACTTAGCAATGATAATCTTCATTTAATTTATTACCTACAAATGGACACATTCGACGTAACGTTCATTAAAATTGCATAAATAATTGTTATTGACACTTCACAATTTGTCAAAAAATTACGCAATGAATTTTCCTTCGCTAATGTAATTTTCCAAATTTTCACACAGTCATTTGCAGCTTCAAATATTTGGCATGAAGAAATAAAAATTGAAACGCGACACTCTCGTTTTCAAGTCATATTTACACGAAATTCCTTCAATTTTCATAAATCGACTTTTAAGATAACTCAAAGTACTTTTCAACTCTTTAATCAAAAAACTTTCCCAGACTTTTATAAGCATTCTAAGTATCCATTAAAGAAGCGAGTAAATTACATTTGGGATGAGTTTTATTAGAAATTGTGAGCGAAGCAACAGCATTTCGAAATGTTCATCAAGTAGTATAAATAGGATCAATAAATATTAACTTTGCAGAAGAGCAAAATAGCGAACAAGTTACCTACATCTTCACTCTATGTCGTCTGCGAATTTAATTTGAGATGGAATTTAGAGGGCATTTACACGTTCAAGTAATTGGATGAATCTTTGTAAGCCTAGGAAATGTTTCGCATGTCCTTGACTCATAACATTGTTGAAAAGTGAATGTAAAATATGAGATTATAAATTGTTTTAGTCTTCACGAGCCTCCATTGTCCACAATGTTAAATGTAAAGAAATAATACCGACAAAATTTAAAATAAAAGAATATTAAAAAATAAAAACACGAAACATTTCATTCGACCAGCTGAAGTGTTCAAAGACAGCAGATGGATAATATGCTTCATTTCAACATTGCGCTTGTGGTGGTTGTAATAAGTAACATTTAGAGAGAGACATGCTAGAGCTCTTTAGAGCAAAGCAAGGGCTATTGGAAAATAACAATAATGTGTGTATGTGTGTCGATTACGAATAGAGAAGAAGAGGAAAGAAAAATATTATTGAACAACAGAAATAACTTTTTTCATATGGAACAGCATGCTTGTTCGTTCCTTCATTCATTCAAACCGAGACCATCTAAAAATGTTGAGAAAACTGCAACTTGTTAGCATTCTCAACATGAATAAATATCTTTAAGTCGTGTAAGATAAGAACACGACAGTGAAGTTTCGTTTTTTATTGTTTTGAAAACTAAAAGCGTCTTATGTTTCAAAACATTGCCTCACTCGTTTTTAATATTTTTTATATGTTCTCCATTGCTTTTATAATGAATAAGCTACTCGTTCCTCACATTTCGTGCAATTTTAACTTTCAATTCAAATTCAACAAACATCAAATATTCATCAAACTTCCATTAACTAGGAAATGTTTCACAAAAAGAGAGAGAGAGAAAGAGAAAGAAAAATAACAAAAAATAAAGCGTTCTTGTTACTAATTCTTATAATTCTGATAATAGAAGCAATTAATGTAAATTGAGTTTTCCCGGCAACGATTATTAGTCCGCATAAGCATCTTTCTATTTTTCTTTCTTTCCTTTCAATATTATGATTCGATCTAACTCGTTTTCATTGGAAAAAAGTTTAAGACGCAATTCAATATGAACAAAGGAAGATAAAGACTTTTATCTCTTAGAAAGAACAACATTAAAGTTAGAAGCATATTTTTTTGTGATCTGCTTCTTCTGTCTTTGGTTGCATACATGCACGACTAATAAATAAAGAGAAGCCTCAACACCATTGAGAAAGGAGACGACAGAGTAAAGCATTTAGTCTTGAAGGAATTCTAAGACCTTTCATCCATATAAGACCGAAGGTTTTTATGAGCTTCTTTCTATTTATTATGATTACAAACACACTCAAATGTCTTCTTCTCACTTATCGCAACATTCTCGCTTTCTTTTCAATGTTTTCTTACGTTTTCATTGCTTTTCAAAGGTTTCTTTTCGATATGTCATTCGACATACCATTGTAAGCTTGTTTTCATTTTCGTTTGTTGAAAGGTAATGTGCTGCAAGGAAGTTGCTGAATGAAACAATCGACATCGAGAGTTGAGTTGTTTGCATCATAAATATCTTGGGACTTATAAACAGTTTTCAATGTGTTCTTGAGAAAATAAGAAACGACAGAAGATAAAACCATACTAAAGTTTATTCTCAAATGAGTTCCATGGTCTAATGCTGGGTCGTCGTCGGTAACACCAAACAACAACAGAGCAAGAAGTAAAAGAGACGTAGAGAATGAAGGCAAAGAGACAACCGGTTTCTCTAGATTCAGATTTTCTTTACCTTCGTGTTATAGTTTCGCTTGATTCTTTTCCAAAACTCTGCTTTTTTTTCTTTTAAATTTTTTTTTTCGTCTGAGCTGGAATCATGAAATCTGAATACCGAACTTTATATATGTGAGAGTCTTTGCTCCATTGTTTTCACTAAGAAATGAAAAGAAGAAAATAAGAAAGAAAGAAAAAGAGTTGAGACGATAATTCTGTATGTTGTGCTCTAAAGCACCAACCAAATCTTGAAATGACGGCGAAAGGAAGAGGCCAAGGCAAACAAAAAAATGTACAAAGGTGATTGATTTGCTTGGATGCTTTTTTTTTTGCTTTCAAGATCTTACAATTTTTTTTTCATACACGGTATTTTATTCAAATGAAGGTTCTTTAGCTTCCCATCTAAATTAATCTTTCAAAAGATTTACCTAGTGTTTCATTTTATATCGAAAGAATGTTCAGCTTGACTGAAAATTCTCGTTTTTCAGAAATAGATTTGAGGACCTTTATCCCTCATCCTCCCACAACATTAAATTGAGATATCCCAGAGATCTTGTCCCAGATTGACATTTGATACAAACAAACCTTCACGATGTTGAATAAGAAAAAAAAAAGGAGAATCACATTGCAAATTGAGCTTTATGTCTGATGACAAAAATAGTCGTAAAAATTTGAGTCAATTTGAAGCAGGTAAGTATGTGCTTGGTGTCTGTCTTGCTTGATCGATTTACAACCAAAATTATTATGAAAATTTTGAAATGTAAAACCAACGTAAGCTGTTAACTGCGCAACCCTGATTCTGATATAATACTTCAACAGAAAACGTGCGATATTTTGATCGAATTCCCTTTAACCACTCACTAGAGACTCGCAATAAGTAGATCAGCAAATTCGTAAAATGTATGAACACTAAGCAAAATTTACAGCTGTCAAAGTGTTGAATGAAAGAGAGGAAGTTAAATTTTCACACAACTTTGAGGTAAACTGAATTGAATCATATTTTTATTTTATGTTTCACTCACTGAATCACGTTTTTTGAGTGACTTAAGTTGTATATGATTAGTTTAACAGCTTTGGCAATTAAGTTTGGGTCTGCAAACATAACCAGATACGAAGTAAGATAGACCAGCTCAGCAGCTCCAAGGTCATTGGTTTAAGTTCTTTTACATTCAATTCATTCCTCATGAAATGATTTTTTTTCCATTCTTCTTTTCAACAACGTAGCTCTCAACAATGCTATTTTGTTATAATTCTTCTCTCTTTCTCTCTCTGTCTCTCTTACTCACTCTCCGGGCTTCCTGGTGGAACTTTTTTTATTCTTCTTCTTATATTTTTACGTTCTCGTATCTTGAGGCTAAATATTTAAGAACGACAAGAGTGAGACATGGACGGAAAGGAAAAGAAGTTGAAATATTGAATATATGCGTTGTTGAATATTGTTGCACGGTAATATTCTTTTTCAGGACGTTTTTAACTATCCCAGTCCCTGAAATCTGCCTTGAGAAAAACATTCAAAGGTTCCGCACGCACACATTGGTAAGGTTTTTGTGTTTTTCTTTCGTCGTAATTGATTCTTTATGTTTTCATAACATTTATTGAACTCGTAACAACAAAATCGCTTATTAATCAGTTTCAGAATGCTCGACTAAATTTTAAATCTTTTCAAGCACTTTTTTTAAACACTTAAAAATGAAATGAAATCTTACGAATTGCCCCAAGTGATCGAATTATTTGCAGTAGAAAACCCTGAAACCAAGCCAGAAATCAAGCGAGCAAGCAAACAAAAACAGGCATTTGTTTTTCGTAATTCATAATAATGAATTTACGAGCAATTGACAATTTTCTCAACATTTCTGTCGCATAAAAAATATCGAATTCATGAAATAAAATAAATAAAACGAAAGAAATTCATTACGTCTATTTATTAAAGTATTTTTTAGCTTTTGAAAATATAAGTAAGCACCTTTATATTCTTGTTGTTTATTCAATATTCAATCAATAGAAAAATCATAGCAACGATTCGCATTTGGAAAGTGCATGAAAAGTGTGAAAGAGAGAAATAGAAAGAACAAGAGATAGGGAAAGAAACCTTCAATTCTCTGGTCTGTTTTTATTGACTGTAAGGATTCCTTTTCAAACACTAATGTATCCTTCGAAAGGAAGCCATAAACATTTCATAAAATGAAACCAAAGTGATGCCTTAGGTAGATTAAAAGAATGAGAATATAACATTCTCGTTAAACGAAAATAGGTCCAAATGAAGTCGAAATAAGGGAAACAGAACTTTAAATAATTTTTCACTTTCTTGTTCACCTTTTTATATTTTGTAATTACGAATGCAATGCGAGCTTTTCCGCGGCAACCGATATAAACAAAAAAAAACTGAGAGTGATGTTAAATGTGAGAAGAAGTAAAACCACTTACTGATTCTTGACGGGAATTTGAAGCTGTGGTACTCCGTTTGCTGTGTATGAAAATACGGCAGGATTAATATTTTGCTCGAAAAGCATTTTCATTTGCGATTTTTTTTCTTTTCTCTTCTTTTTTTCTCAGTTCGATTCCTTTTTTGCTTTATTTTATTATCCTTTTCACAGTATCCTTTCTTAAGCACTTTATGTCGTATTTTACTGTTGCTTACACCGATTTGAACACAAATTATCACTAAATCACTGATTTCGCGAGCTAATGAGCTAATTTTACGAGCTTAAGTCCTTTCTTCTTCGAGAGTTTACTTGGTTCTGAGAGAATTATTTGGTCGTTTGAAACTGGGAGTTCATTTTCCACTTCGTTTCGGTCATTTTCTACTTTGTTTTGTTTGTCGAATTTTTCGACAATTATTCAAATTTTTAAATTTAGCGGTAAAGTTGAATGTTCGTTATTTTAATTCATTTATTAGAAAAAAATCATTTATAGCTTACAATGTTAATACATATTAATATCTGAATGAAAATTAAAGGAAATATCTGATTTCATTGCAACATGAGGAATCTTTCTATTCACACAAAGATCTTCGATGTCTTTCAGTTTGAATGTGTGCTGACCATGAATCATTTTATATTTTATTTCCTTAGGCGGTGGTGGTATCGCAGGATTGAAAGCCATTTCACTGCTATCGAATTGTGATAATAAATCCAAAGGTGATCTGAATGTAAATAATAATGTATATTACCTACTTAAAAAAGTTGTTATTTAAAATGTTTTTTTCTTACAGTTTAGCTAATGATGGTTCCAAGCCAGAATTAATTTTTACACCTCCAGAAATGTGTTTTGCAAATTTAACAACTGTCGGATGATAATGTCTTTTTAACAAGCCTAACTCGAAGAAACTCGTACAATTTGCATTACTGAATTCCGGTTCAATAATTGAGGGATCAAATTTTCCACTTCCAACTTTATTTTCAGTATCGAGAAGAATGTCCAGGGAAGAATTAAGTTGCAAAGCATTTTTAACGATTCCTAAACATCCTAACGTGCCATTGTGAAGAACTTGAAGACTCAGTGTCATTAGTCGTTTGAGAAACGCCAAATATCTCAAGTGAGTGATTCCTTTTCTTCTCTTAATCAAAACATTCTCCAATGTTGTAACAATTGATTCAATGTCGTTGTGATTCTTTCCAGCATTGACATGCATAACATTCTGATACAAATGTGTATAAAATCTTGCTGGATCAATATTTAAAACTTCACCTTGGCCCGATAAAATCGTGAAGACGGTTTGGATGCAATGCAATTGCTCACGATATCCAAGATCGACATTCTCTATCAAGTGATTCAACACTTCAATCAAATCCGAGAAGAATTCTATGTTAATGATGTGAGCAAATCTGAAATTAAATTTATTTACACAATAAATATGACCACAAGTCAAATACAAAACTCTTACTTTGCTAAACCTTCCAATGTTGAACTCAAAAGCTTTGAGTTTGGATTTTGTTTAAGAATCCGAAAGTAAATCGTGAAAACAAGTTTTGAAACGTCAGTAAGTTTTGAATTCTTTGTTTGTTTGTTTTCTTCAGCTTGAGTTTCCATCATTTCCTTTTCAAGATCAGCCAATTTTTTCTTTCTTTTACGTTCACGTTTTGACATGCTGATGAGACGTGACTTATGTTGCTCCATTCGCTTTTGTTTCAATTCAGCTTCCTTCTCGGCATCAACATTTATGTTTTTGATTTGAAGTGAAGTCAGACATGAGATGACTTCAACAAAGACAAAGTTCGATTTCTTCTTCACGAGGTGATTGATGTTACGAACAATGTGTCGGGTGAGGTCCAAGCGTTTATCAGTTTTAAAAATTTTCACAAATGTCTCATGAATTCGTTTCCTTACAATCTCATTCGGACAATTTAGGAAAGTTACAAGTAATTGGCCAATATTGGTACTGAAGTTGAAATAAGGCTGTGACAAAAGAGAGTCACAAAGACATTGAACTGCAACTTCTGCAAGTGCAATTTGTTCTTTAGAAGGTCGTGGTCCGTACTTTCTTCGTTTCAAAGCTTTCGTTAAATTCTCAAGCTCACGTAAATAATTTTTAAAATATTTCAATAATTCATTTTCATATGCCACCCGAGCTAATGTATCTTTTTTCACTTTCTGTTGATGTAAGTCAATAACACCGACTTTGTAGTCAGGATTTATGTCTTTAAATACCTCACACAATGAAACCATTGCAAGCTTTCTCACACTCGAAAGATTTTCCTCGTTCTTTGAACCCATGTGACCCATCAATGTTAGAAGTGCACCAAGATTCTTTACTTTCTCTTCTGGTTTTTCGAGAATTCCCGAACAAACAACTCCAATCCGGAATTTTTGTCTTTGAAGTTCTTGTTCACGTTCCATTAAAAGTTCAGTCGCTGACATTTTCTTCTTATTTACCTTTTTTTGAAGTTGTTGTATCGCATTTTTATCCATGATGACATCTTCATCTGAATCTCTGTCACTTTCTTCGATTGGTTCTGACAATTCCTCATCTGCTTCTGGTTCTGGTAAAGCAGGCAACTTTCTTTTATCTTCAACAACTCGTGGAATAACACCAGTCTTTGTTTTAATAGGAAGAAGCTCTTTCATCTTCTTCATTGAATTGGCTTCAATCTTTGAATTCTTCCTTTGTTCCATCTCCATATTCTCAGCAATTTCTTCAATTTCCATTTCATCGTGAGACTCTTCTGACTCTGAATGATTGGAAGCTTCTGACAACGAATCAATTCTCTGTCGCTTCGTTGGATTCGCTTCATATTCATTATTATCATCTTCAGATGAATCTTCCAACATATCATAAACATCTGAAGCTTTCACTATACGCTCTTGTTGCTGTTGATTGTTCTGGATCTTTTTTATACTCGACTTCTTTGTTGGTTTCTTGGTGTCAACAATAACATCATTTTTTTCCTTGCGCATTTCATTCTTTGTTTTCTTGAATATGTTAGATTTTATCTGTTTCTCCCTATGAATCTGCTTTTTAGTTTTCACAAAATTCTTTTTATGTTTCTCATGATGTCCTCTTTTTGTTGAGCTGATTTTAATTCCTTTTTTCTAAAGACAAGTCAAAACATAAAATTGTATATTAAGAGCATCAAATATATTTACTTACAATAGGCATTTTGTTTCAAGTGTTATGTTTCTTTTTCTTAAACTAGACTTTACAATTATATTTAAGATAATTTATAAGCAGCACGCTGCTTATTACATATTTTTTTTAGTCACATTCCCCGCTGAGAATTTCATGTTTCGAAAATTTTTAACGGAATTCGATTTTTCAAATATAAATCCACCTGAAGCTATGCGTTGTATGTACAAGTTTTTGTTGACAAATCAGAAAAAATAATCCGAATAGTCTCAATAAAATGAATATTCCACGCAAAAGATCTGGTTCAAACAGTAAGAAAACAAAAGAGAAATATGAAGTGCTTCTTAAAAACGAAGAAAATGATGAAGTTAACGAAAATCTCATTAATGAAATTATTAATTCAAACATTGTTTACGAAAACTTTGAGGTCGAGGTGATGAAAATCGTAAATATTGAACAATCTCTTTTTGTAAAGAAGAATATCAATCTACTGATAAAAGAATGCATTAAATCTCTTGATTCGAGTAAGTCGAAAATTTTTTTTTGTAAACAAATTGCCAACTCACAAATTTTCTTAACTTCCAGAGAATTCCAAAAAAATATCGAATGGATTGAGGATTTTAGGAATAATTTTCTATTCCACTCTGAAAAAGTCAAATGGATTCCTTCAAGTCGTACTTTCTGAAGAAGAACTGGGAGATTGTATGAAGACGTTAATTCAACATTGCAATAGCATTTTGTTGAGTGAAATTCTCGACTCTCCACGAGATGTTTGCCTGAAATTACTGCTAGTAATTCTCACGAGTATGGATAATCTCAATCAAAATTCAATCATCGAGCATCTCATGGTGAACAACCTTTTCGAACCTTTCATTCGTTTGTTAAATGATCCTGATTTTCACAATTGCGAATTTGGACATGACGTCGTGTTGCTTATCACACTTCTCGTGAATTATAGAAAAAATGAAGGAACTAATCCATATGTCGTACAACTGTCAATACTCGCAGATGAATATGCTTTGAATTCCTTTGGACAAATTATCAGCTCCAAGCTCATTGAATTCTGTCGTCTTTATACTGTCAGTCTCGAAGGACATTCAACATCTTGGCTCTCATCATTGTCAAATATAGTCGGAAATATGTTCATATCAGATGACGATACAGATCGAACTCTACAAATCAGAGCTAATAATGCATTGCTTCTCGCTCTTTATGAGAATATTCATTTGAATAGAAATTTCGTGACTACTTTGGCTCACACACAAAACGAATCGTCGCCGCCAAGTCCCTCAAATACTTTACAAAACACCGGACAATCACCAGATTTAGCTTCTGCTCCAATCATTGAAGTGACTCCAACGAATCTCTTTGTCTCCCTCTTCGAATATTGTTCAATTGTCATGAAAGATTACAAACCCGAATCAATTGTTAATTGTAAGCTTTGCTTCCTCATTCTTACATGCATATCAGAAGATTCTTACGCAAATACTCTCATGCATGATGAGAATTTAAACTTCAAAGTGACGCTTCATCGTGCACAAATGCGACATCGAAACCTGCCAATTGATAAAAGCTCAAAACCTCTCGCTGCAACTCTCTTCGATCTCATTATTGAGTTTTCCATTTCTCACATGATGAAACAAAAGTTTCCGATTGAATTATATTTGTTGAGTGTTGGAATTATTCATCGATTGATCGTCTATCAAAAGAGATGTCATGTAAGACTTAATTTCGAATGGAAGAATCTTTGGGCAGCTTTAATAAATTTGTTGAAGTTTCTCGTTTATCAAGAATCTTATCTCGTCAAAAAATGTAACATTTTCGCTTTGGCAACTCAAGTCGTAAATATCTTTAATCTCTTCATTGCTTATGGTGACACTTTCTTAAAGAAAACTTCGATGTATGATGAATTATACTATGAACTGAATCGCGAGGAGAAAATCTTTAGTGAAATTCATGCTTGTGGTGAGTTTGAAAGAAATTTGAATTAAAATGTTTTATAAATTTATCGTCACATTTTTAGTTCTTCGCTACACTGCAATGACTGACTGCGAATATAAAGAAGATGTTTTAAAACTCTTAAATTCTCTTGTAAATATTCTCGCTATTATCAAACATTTCCAGATAAAAATCAAAGAGTGGCTTGCCGCAAGAAGCCTTTCAACTCCGACTGAAGAACAAATATTGTCTGTTGTTCGCGAGAATTATGATTTAACATTAAAACTTCAGGAGAATCTCGATTCCTATGAACGATATAATGAATCGAAGCACAATGCCTTTTTCAATGCTATCATTACTGATGTGATTTGTGATTTGAGAACAAAAAACTGTGGAAAGTTCCTGATCGATGGAACAACAAATTAAAACTTAAATCAACTCATTGTAGCTTTTGCATATTGTTTGTTGAATATTATTAATCAAATTTATTTAAATAACACAAAAATATTTACCTAAGCTAAAATCATTTTTTTTATCAAAATTAGGTAATTTAAAGTCGTCATTGTTCGATCCTCGAAAAGTGAGGTGAAAATTATAATAAAGCAAAATAATTTCACAAGGAATGATGATTGAAATTAGTTTATGATTAAGCTGCATTAAGATTAAATTCTATTCTCCATCCTCGTCACTAAATCTTGAGCTTTCTCGATGACACTATAAATGAAAGGACGTTCCATTGGATTAGTTTTTAACTGAAAACTTATGAGCTCGTGAAGGTCTTGCGAATAAGGTGAATTTTCTGGGAACGGAATTCTTCCACTGAGAACAGCAAGCGAAACGCTATCACCACGTTCATAAACAGAATCGAATGGCGATTTGAAGAAGCATAATGCATAAAGAACACAACCAAGACTCCAAATATCTGTTCGTTCATCGACTATTGCATAACTCTCAACTTGAAATAATTCTGGAGCACGATAACAAAGACTGCATTTCTCTTCAGCTTCATCTTGAAGTTTCATTGCATCTTGTTGACCACAAATTTCAACTCTAGCTTCAGTCGCTGAACCAAAGTCAACTAGAACTGGTTCCATTGTTTCTGATAAACACACATTTCCAGTCTTCAAATCTCTGTGAGCATAACCACATTCATGTATCGCTCGGACAGCTTCACAGATTCCAATAAAAATGACCAGCACTTGACGTTCCGAGATGAAATCGTTGAGTTTTGATTTTCTTGCGAGATAATTGTCAAGTGACCCGTTCTTGTAGTAAGGCAAAACAATGTTCAGTGATGATGTTAAATTCACGAGATCATCAGCTGTTCCTTCTAGTGAAAAATCTATAACTTTTGTTATGTTCGGATGCGGCGATAACTTTTTAATAATTTCAATCTCTTTCAAAGCTGATTTCTCATCATTTTGAGAATGGTTTGTGATTCGTTTTAAGGCATATTTTCTTCTCGTTGATGAATTTTCAACTAAATCAATATTGGAGAACCCACCTGTGATTCATGGAAATAAGCAAAAATTTTAACAAATCGAACAACTCATCAAAATTGTGAGTAGAAAATTATTACCAACTGCAATTCTTTCGAGAATCGTGTATTTACTCCCAGAGATTTCCACTGATTCTCTCATGCAAATACAACTTTTGATTAGCATAGTCAAACCTATGCTATTCATTTCAATATTTGTTTGTAGTGGCTGTTTTATGTTTAAAAATTAACAAAATAACAAAAATACGACGACGATAAAATCACAACAAATTTCTCTTAGTTTTACACCCTCTAAAATGTGTTTGAAAAATTCGTTACAAAATATTTTCACTTTTCATGTTGAAAAACTCCAACGACAACCTGTTGAATTGTTATTCATATGGTTCATGATGGTACCTATATTGAAATGATAAAAAATATTCCAATGTAGTCTTGACATGTGCTATACCTACAAAAACATTTTAATCATCAGCGAAGTAAAACTAACCACATGTTGATGAAAATCGCTAACCGCGAAAAGATCTTCAATTGTTGAAAACCTTTTATGCACACATAGGTTTGGGCTTATTGAATGGGAAGGAATAATATAACATTGACAATAGAGTTTTCCCACGTGTGTTAAAATAGCGAAAAAAATTATTTAAAATTTTTGTGTCAGTATTAATCAGTCATTTGAACGCGAAACATTCAAAAGTTAGAAATAGAAAAAAATCTCAATCTTGAGTTTGAAAGTTCAAGATGCGCCCGCTGGGAAGGATATTAAAGAAAGTTGTGGAATTTGTAAGAAAGAAAAAAGTTCTTAAAAAGGTTTATTAAAAGAAAATTGTTTTTAGCTTGGTTGTGTAGCTTGTTTACTCGGAAAAATTTTTACTGACATCGAAGCTCGTCGTGTTTTCTTAACACGCCAAAAGTGGTCACGAGAATGGCCACTTTTACACAACATATTCTGGAATAGCAAAGGCGATGCATTTGCTTGGATTACCTACGGTGGTTACTCCATAATAACACTTCTTCTTGCCATCAGCATGTAAGTGATAACAGAGTTGCAAAAATGGAACAAATTACACAAACATGTCGCTTTACCCCCGAAGGTAACAAAAAACTTTTCGCTTAACGTGAATTGCATCACATATGATTTTCGCGTACGATCATAAATTATCTTATTTTTTTGTCTTTCTCTCTCCCTTTTTTATTACAATGCAATAGCATTGTCTTTTCCACGACCGTCGTTTCGGAACAAAACATTGCTAGCTTAGCACATTAAAGAAGTTTTTTTTTTATTATTATTAAATAAGAATTATGCTTTTTCTCATAATCTATTTTGAACTTGTGGCTTATTATTTAATGTTGGCAAAGCAATATATAGAGATAAAACTTAATATTATTAAGAAGACTATTTAAAGGTGTTTGTTTTGGCAAAGTCACTGAAATAACAATTCATTTAATTTACTGGAATGAGAAAAGAAATGTGCTTAATATTGCAAAAATATTTCTGAAACTTTTCCAAATGTTTTATTTCTCCTAAAGAGATAAATAAAAGCAGAAAAAGTTAATTGCAAAAATAAAATAATTATTTGCTAAAATATCAAAGGAATTTATGGAGAAATTCCTTTCGTTTCAATTTAAAGTCAAATATTTTGTTTCTGCAAAAAGCACGCATTTCCGAAATGATATCTGTTGTGGTTTCAGCACCACATCATCGAATTATATTCCAATAGATACAAATTTAATGATCTGTGAACAATTCTCATCGATTGATTGACCATTTCAATTGGTCTCATTTTGGTCTTATTCTGATTAAAAAAGTCATAGCCAAGAGCATACATATCGATTTAAACGAACAACCGCAGAAGCATGTTTGCATATATGTTTGTGTAATTTGTCCATTGATTGTACTATGAATCAAGAAAAAAAATGAAAATTATCGTGACACACATTTTCGCTTTTTGCTATTGTTTCTAATCGTCGCCACTTGTTTCTGGTTTTTGCCATTCAGATGCATTGATTCAAAGTCAAGACCGTCATATGCTGAGAAAATTTTCCTGCTCATTGGCAGTCTAATGTTTTTTGGTGTTGGTGAGTAGCGAGAAGATAATAATTTTGTGCAATTTTCCATTTCATGTGACGACATTTTTTTACGCTTAGGTGGTTTAGTGTTTGCTTCCATCGATCAAGTTCCAAGTGAACTCATCGACAATGCAATTGTGCTTGGATGCTTATCGTTCTTTGTGGCTGCCCTGTTTCTTGTCGATATGAGTGAAAAAATGGGTAAACGACGGTCAGATGCGACACAAACCGATTCGAGTTCTATTGATAGACATAATAAAAGTCAATCAATGACAACGTTGAGCAGTCAAGCACATCTAATGGATTCGGATGGAAATGATGGAAAGAATCGAGATTCAATGAGATCAGCAAGAGATGCATTAAGCATGCATTCTTCAAATCCCTTTATGAATAACAAAGAGAAACAAGAGCATGGTTTCAACTCTCAACCCCAGTCGATGCATTATCCTACATCAACATACACAGAAGACGTCGTAGAGTCGCAAATTCTTCCAACTGCACAAATGCCAGTCTTCTCAAAGGTTAAACAACCACCTGTTATAAATCATTTTGAGACAGAACCTTACAAGAAAATTCTAAGTCGACCTTACACACGTTATCATGACCCCGCACAACATCATCAAGATCCATTTTACGAAGAATTTAATAATTATCGAAGGCAAACTTATTATCAAGGCCCGAAGGTTGATCAAGGCAAATTTGTGATTCGTGATTACTCTCAGCAACAACAAAATCAAATGCAAAGCAGTTGTACTTGCCCAGTTCATCACGATGAGGAACTTGAAAATCAAGAACAAGAAGATTCTGCTATTAAATCTGGTTACGTGAGTCAAGTGGCAAGAATTTGGGATGAACGTTTAAAAACCAACCAAAGTTCAATACGAAGTCATCAGAAAGATAACAAAGGTAGCACAGTAGTTTAAGAATGAAAGAAAAAACACCAACAACTTATTTCATCTTCAAATCGTTTATTTTTCACTCTCAACAAACAATCTTATCATTGAGGCAAATAAAAAAAATTAATTGCTGTAACTCAAGATCCACGATAAGTTGAATAACCAAATGGGTTGAGAAGTAATGGAATGTGATAATGATCAGAAGACGAAATAGTGAATGGAATCTGTGAAATATTAATTAAATTTTTTATTGATTCGACATTGTAATTCTCGTTATCATCATTCAAACTCACCTCAACAAATGGGTAAAGCGTCTCAACGCCTAATCTTTGGAAATAATTAATCACTTCAAAATGCAGCTTGTAAATTCCGCCAACTTTGTCATCGACATTAGGAAAATCTCTAATTCTCCCGTCTTCATCAGTCACTCCATTAAATTTTGAATCAATCCATTCTCCCCCGATAAGCTTATATAACTTAATTTTCACATTTGTCGCAGGTTTACCTCTCGTGGTGTCTAAAATATGAGTCGAGAGAGAAAGTTTTTCTTCCATCGGTATCGTTGGACTTTTATCTGGAACTGATTGCGAACGACAAGAATCAGCTGAATTTATATAAACGGCGACTAAAACAAAACACAAAAGCTTTTTCACCATTATGAAGCTTTTTTTGAACTGAAGTGATGAAAATAAATGAATGAGCTGAAATATATACACAAAACTTATCTTCTCAATTGTTTTATCAATTACAATTGGTTCTTGATAACATTTTTATTGTTTCATGCGTAATTTAATCATTTTATTACTTTTTCTAAAATTCACTTTACATCCTTAATTATAGATTTAAATAGTTTCACTTTCTGGGTGCAACGGGTTGTGGTACTCTAAATTTTTCCATTTCACATTCAGCTTCGTGGTAAGTCATTCGATTATATCCGAAATATTCTGGAACTTTATAATCCTGACCAGCCCCAGGAACGTTTTTTGCTTCATTTGTTTTGACACAAGAACCTGTCAAACCTTCAAAGTTGAACGAAAATTAGAAAAGTTTTTCTCGTCATCGATTTTTCCTTTAAAAACCTACCTACAACATTCCTCAAGGGATCAGCTGGTGTCGATGATGCAGCAGTCTTACTTACATTCGCGCTAAATGTCCGGGTGACTTGCAGTAAGCGCGTTACTCCTCTCATTTTTATTTAAAGAACGTTTATTTACTATTTTGTGAGTTTTTGTAATTACATAAGATTTTTACAGCGACGCTTCATATTCGGATTATTCCGGAATGTCTTATGAACGAAATTAAAGTTTGCGATTTCTAAGAAAACGAAGTTAATGCAAATAATGTCATTGTTTCAGGAAAGTAATTGAATTTAATGTTATCATTCCATTCATAATAAGAATAGACAATCAAGATAAAGACGTTGAGCTGATATTTTAATGGAATTGTTTACAATATTTTTGTAGAGTTTTAAGTTTCCTTTAAACGAAACTTTAACGAAAGAAATGTGGTGGGGGTGGAAGCTTTCATAAACATGCGCTTGCTATGATGCTTTCACGAAAGCATTGAAATTAAAAATCAGAAATGCTGAGAATGTCTTGTAAATTTCTATAACCGGAGAGCTAATCAAGACGTGATAGAGCAAAATGCTTTCAATTTTTCATGCTAAACATTAACAGTACGTTGACTCATTTACTCGTCTCACGAAACTAAATAAAAAATTTATATTCAATTTTCCTACCAATTTTCAATGCATTGAAATCAAGAAAATATATTATAGAAAAGAGGAAGTGATAAAAGTTTTATTTCTTTGATTTCATCAATTGTTTACCCTTTTCAAGAAATTTTCTTTTCCCCTATATGTAGATAAGTAAGTCTGATAATTGCTGTAGTAGATATTCAACTAAAAAGAAATTTCGACATACGACAACGTAATCGGAAATTTTCCTCTCCTCCACTCTTCAGATAATTTCATTTTCCTTCATCACGTAACACTTACATTTCTCTCTTCCGCACACTTAATGAGGTTGCTTTGCTTTAATTTTTAAAGAGGCATTAAGTGTTACGAATATAAAAGAAATTTGATATTGGTGTTGATATCAGACAGAAGAATCTTCAGCGTCTTCATGTTATAATACAAAACGTTTACTAATAATTTAAATGTTAAAACTTTTGTGTGCTTATAAGTCGAACGAGGAAACTTGCAACGCCTTGGGAAATCTCAATTAAAATTGTAAGTTTATTCAAAAGATATTTTAAGATATCATAACGAAAGTTGAAACATGCAATAAGAACGCATAGCTTGTATTATATACATAATAGGAAAAGAAATAACTTGAAATTTCTATCTTCGAAGAATGTTTAAGATGTAAGCTATTAAAAAATCTAGTTCAGTCAGAAGTCAGAGAAATATGTTCTTAAAAAAATATTTTGATGTTGAAACTTTCAAAACAGACATCATGAATATTATCATAAATAATTGGAAGATCAAAGATAAACAAAAAGTGTAATGTTGACTTTTTTCATCATTTCTTTCACTGGAAGACGTGTTGAGTGGGAAAAAGTTGGCGGATAAGGTTGACTTAACAATTTCCTCGCTATAAGAATAAAGAACTTTCAGCTATTTTTCAACTTCATATATCTTCAGTCTTCTTGAATAACATATCTATGTACCACTCACAATAAAAATTTCAAGGCTTTTATTGAAAAATTTCATCAGCTTTTTCAGGGTAAGATGAACAATTTGTGAGTAATAAGAAATATTTGAAATTTCTACGCCTACTCGACAATTTCTATGAAGTAAGTTGAGAAAAACAATCCTTAGAGGAAAAATTATTCATATTTAAATATTCTTATGAATTCTAATAGACAACGCATTGATTGTTCCTTATGTCTTCAGCCGGTTGTTTGCAAACTCAGCAATTCTTCTATCGTTCCATCGTTCTATCATCTTTTTAACTGTTCACAAATGTTTCCACTACTTGGTTTTGTTATTTGCCGCTTCTATTTCTCGAATCATGATACCATGAGGGATGTGAAACAACGACATCCCTTTTCTATCTACTTTCTTACGTTCCTTTCATGCTTCTTGCTACGAATATGTATCGCATGCATACATTTGAATAAATATTTCTTTGCCGTTCTTTCTTCGGGTGAAGAAGCGCTTAGTCTCTTTGTTTGTTCTTTGGGCCATGCAATATGATAACATCAAGCAAAATTACCATTATAAGTTTACAGGAAAAAAAGTCATAGAGATACCCTACGATATGAATTTTAAATAATTAAATTGCCTTCCTTTTATTTAATTAGATTATTCTCCTTTTTTTATTATTAATTTTCGACAAAATATTTTCGAAACATTTTCAACATTCAACAAATTTCAAAATTAAATTAGAGTTGAAAAACTTTGTTTGCGTTGCTTTTGCTGGCATTTGTAGCATGAAAGTTGATCCTTTTCTGAATATAATGGATTTTTACTGTATATAATATGTTTGGAATCATGTCATTTGCGTCCAATTCAAGCTTAAATAATTTTAAGCTTTTAATCATATTTGTAAACTAAACCTGACTTTCTACCTACTTTATTTTATATCATTCATCCATCCATCCATTAATAAAGACTTTATTTTGTATTATGAATAAAGATTTACTTTTGGAATTTATGGTATTCATTAAAATAGAATTAATATAAATAAATATGTAGGAAAATTCGGTCTTTGCCTTGATAACAATTTTCTTCTTTGACAGAGAATTTTCCAAGTTAAATTTATGAAATAAGATGATCATCGTCTTTTGAAGTTTGACTTCATGTGAGAAGCTCATCAAATACCTAATAAGGCAATTGAATATTATTTATTAGCATGAAACCTTGAAGCATTAATGTTTTCGAGAATATATTCTAAATTGATTACATCTTTGATGCAAATGTGTTTCACCATTCGTATCTAATCATAAGCAAATTAATCAATGAAAGATTTATTAGGGTTGTGCAATTAAGTCAAAGATAGTAGCATCGAAATTGCATCTCAACGTCATTCTAATTACAAAATTATTCATAATCCTTTTGAAGAGCTTATAAATTACGAGTTATGTTTCCGGTGTATATTAAATTGTTTCGTCACAACCGTAAACAAGATCAAATTTTAAAATTCAATTTAAATATGGACAAAGCAGAATATATGAAAAGCTCTTCTGTAAATGTAAAACATCTCTAAAATCCAGTTCCTTTTACAATTTTATGGTTCGTTGACTTGAAACTTGAGAGTTGATATTTACATCTACTACTTTGTAATAAGTAAAGAGAGCCTTGAAGTTTAAATAACTGAATCTAGTTAATAGAATAACTCCACGCTTCACTCAAGTCACAAGCCTTACTTTGATGTCTTGTTTCAACAGAATCTAATTTGAAGCAAATTTTATTGTCGAGTTGATACTTTAAAAACAGAAAAGCTATGAAAAAGAATTTACCATAAAGCAAGTGTGCAGAGATATTCTAGAATTGGGTGTTATGTCGAAGCAATAAACTACAAAATCAAACGACATCCACATGAATGTATGACTGAAACATACAACAAACATGCATACAAAAACCGAAATTGAAATCCTGAAATATCAACTTTATTGTTTCAATCTTTAAACATAACAAAAAATGGGATGAAAAAATTTCTTACTTTCCGCATGAAATTTACTCAAAAATCTTCAAGGAGAACTCTGGAAAAGAAAAGATTAACCATAATTGAGCAGTGCGGTGTGAAGTTAAAATGTGGATGAAGAATTTTACGACACTACAAATGTCTGTTTATGTAATAATAATATTAAAGTATCCATTGAGTTTGGCTAATATCAGTAGATGAGAGAGGCCAACAAACATTTCTCGATGGCATGGTTTTTAATATTTTCAATCATAAAAAAGAATGACAGAATGGCGAAGAACAACGACGGCCTATGCCATCATCCCAAAAATTAGTGATAAGCGACAATGCTTTAATTCATAGCAGGCTTCCACCTTTTTTCTTCCTCTCAGTTCTCATTTACGGCTATGCCATCAAAAATTTGTTGTATACTTTTATTTTCTTTTACCCGTAAAAGCAACGTATACGAAATGATGATAATGTGCTCATCGACCCAACGACAATGCGCTATCAAGAGAAGAAAATTTCTTTCACGAGTGTCATATTATTTTTGCGAGCAAAAATAAACATTTCTTTTCACTTTGATGAAAAAGTTTGAATGACGAAACAAACAATATTTTGCTGGTGCTTTGTTGTCAATGCTGGTCGTTACCTATCGTTCGCTCAACAGCTTTTTTTTGTTTTTTGTTGTTGCCTGTTTCGCTAACCAAAGTTTACAAAACGATGACACAAAGAAACAAAGGAGAACATAACATTAAATATTGCTGTGAGTTTCTGGCATTTTCTTTTATGAATAAATGCTTCATGATGTACTGCTTGATTCTCATTTGTTTTTCTAGAATGATAACGATAGGAGAATAGTTATGGTTGTTTGCAGCATGCGGGCAGGGAAAGAAGAAAGATGAGAAAGCATCTATTAAATATAATTCAATATGGAAACGTGGTAAAAGGTTGTTGAAGTCGCTTCCGTTTTTCCAATCATGATATATCTAGAAATGGAACCGCTTCTGCATCGGGTAACTGTACGATGTTATCGTTGGGAAATGTATGAAGTGAAGAATGCCACACACTACCAACTCGATGTCTCCTTTAAATGTTTGATTTTTGCTGTTGATTTTATTAAAAATGTCTCCTTGTTGCACTCACGCTTCCTTTTTCTTCATAAAATTCTTTGAAAATACCATGAACATTATTATGTCATTTCCTGAAGTCGAGTTGAGTATCAACAGATTTCATTTTTACTTTGGAAATGCTTTTAAAAATCTCTAAGAACGAGAAGTAACATTGGCCATCACAATAACATCTTCGTTTCGTTTCTTGTCTTTTTTACTTGAACCTTAACTAAAATGTAAGAATGTCAAGGAAACAACATCTCTTGCAGCTTCTGTTGACCACTGCACGTTCCTTCTCGTGATGAAATTTAAACGAAGAATTTAATCTTGCTGATGTAGCTTTCAGTGAGATTTGTTGCAAGTTGCAAGCGACAAGAAACATTTCTTGTTTAAGTGGCACAATTTTTACTTTTTTTTCTTTCTTGAACTATTCAAGCTGCGAAAGTCTTTGTTGGCTTCTCGTTCTACAAGGTGTAAGGAAACTTTTTCCCTCATTCACCAAGCAACGTAAACTTTTTAATTTAATTTGGGATCAAAACGAAAGCGAAGAGAAACTGAAAACGAACTTTTGCATTCAGGTTGTTTGCGTTGGAAGCATTAAAGTTGTAAAAGGAGCCAATTATGTGAAAATTTATCCGTTTTAATCTGTCAGATTCAATAAAGCTCATTTACACTGCTTGGACACTGCACAGCAATTAATTTTTTTATTCCCAAAGGAAAAAGCAGCCATTTCACCCACGTCGATTCATAAAAACAAAGGATTAACCACAAATGAATTCAGTTGCATTGATCCATCCTTCCATGGTTTTATTAAGAAAGAAAATTAATGAATCGGAATCGCGTTTTGCTGAGCAGTCACTTTATGCTTACATATCCAAATTCTGTCTATCTTTTCTACATAATTTGATTATTCTGGTTTTAAATGTTGATATATTTCATGGTTTGGAAGTAATAAGTTAATTATTACAGTCAGCAGATTAGCATTCATTAACATATCCACATGAGTTGTAAAGTTCATAGAAATTTTCTTATCGGAAGTTCATCAAGTAAAAGTTTTTCTTTTGACAAGTAAGTCTGCATAATAATGTCATCAGTTTGTGTAAATAAATATGTACTGACGTAAACAGTTCCCGTTTTCAGTTGATAAAGCGGTGAAAGAAAACACTTTAAACAATTACGGTTCTCGTCTCCACGGAAGCATGTCATAAATGATATATGACAGTGACTGAGGAGAAGACATGAAAAGATCCCGACAGAAAAGTTGACAAGATGTTGACATTTCTTTACGAGTGAAGGAGGAAATGATAAGCGAGCTTAAATACCTAAAAAAAGAAACAATGGCAAGCATGGACGACCATAAATATCAGATTTCATTTCTTTGTGCCCTGTCGTTATTCTTCTGCTCCATTTAGAGATTAATATATTAACACAATTCGCCTCTTTTCTTCTCGTTCATTCAGTGAAAAATAAGGTTTTCCCCTTTTGATATTTTATTTCTTTTTTTCCTTGCTTTCTTTCGTTTTTAAGAGTCAGATGAAATGCAATCTTGTACAACTGTGAACAATACTTTGCAAAAACCAAAGTAAAATAAAGCAAAAAAAAAAGCATATTGAAATTTATGGTCGTATAAAAAAGAGACAAAGTTATAATGTGTCATTGTAAACTAAGCTTTGGTTATCAAAAATTTGGTTTTTCTCGTTGGTAACTAACGTGAGTGATATTTTCATATCTATGAAGATTATTTTTATGTTACAGAAACTTGAAAAATTTTTGGCAATTTAGTAAATTTTCTTCTTCGAAATTTATACAACTTTATAACGGAGTAAAGTGGGAGTATGATTAAATGTTTATCACATCACTTAAACTAAAATTGTTGGAAGCGAAAGAAAAAATAGCAACGAGATTGTGTCTCTGCACAAGTTTAATTTTCCAGTTTGAACTCCCATTTACGCGATTTCTTTGTTTATCAAGAAGAAACTTGAAATATTTAACACTCCCATTTGACATTTTTTTGTGTTTTTATCTCTTAAGTTTAATAAACTTTCGCTAAACACTTTTTTATCAATGAGAACGAAACATTTCCACATACACGTTTTAAAATGAAATTTCTTATTCCTCGTCCATTTCTGTTTTCAATATAATTTCGTTGGATGTTTTGCAAAGAAATTTCACGTTAAAAGCCAATAAGTTTGTTGAACTGATGATATGAGAAGAAAACTCATTCGGTATTGGAATGGGAAAGCAATCCTGGTAAAGAGTTTTACTGTTAATAATGGACGGAAAAGTTACTCGATTCATTGATCTGCTTTTTTATACTATTTTCTCCTTTCTTTTATATCGTCAGAAAATAAATGAACAACCATTTACCAAGCCATATCATTTTGCCATCAAGCTCAATTATCTTCATCGTATGGCCTGAGCTTAATACGATAATGAAAAGGAAAAGTTTGCTTTTCCTACTCTTTTGTTGTCCCGTGCCTATGGCTACAGGGGTGTTGAGATTTTTCCTTCCCTTAAATACCGACCAAACAAATCTCTGAAAGCTCAGAAACACCTCATGGAATAGTCAATTAACTACACCCGGAAATTTCACTCATTCTTCTTTTTTATTGTTTTTTTTGCGGTGTACAATGCAAAGGGTGGAAAAAAAAGCTGAAAGCCACTGTCCTAAGCAATTACATCAATAACTTTTATTCGCATGTTTGTACTAACGATTAAACGAAATTAAGTCATTATGAGCGTTCTAACATGCGAAAGAAATCAACGACTTGCCTACATTGCTTCACATTAACCTGATGTGAAAGATTGAAATCAACGTTCAGACGAAAAATTAGAGATTAATGGAAGTTTCAGGATGATAACAAGACTTTGAAATCTAATGAATAATTAATCATCAAGTCACAGTTATGCTTGCGGAATGAAGATTTTTATACAAAAGAAAGTTGTCAAATGAAATTGTTTTTCGCCAATTTCTTTTTATTCGAGAAATACTGCGAGCGATTAGATTCACAAATCAATTCAAAATTTCAACCTTGTTTACTTTACTCTCTGAAGAATAAGCAGAAGAAAAATTCTATGCGACAACATGCTTGATAAATTTTAAAGATAACTCGAGGGAGTGAAGTGCTTGAAATTAGCTTTTAATGTTGTTAGATCTTATCAGTCATTTTATGTTTCATATGTTTAACATGTTTCTGTCAAAGGCCACGATTTTTGTTTCCTTTCAACGAATTTCACGCATTAATATCATAAATATTTCCGATGAATGCCTTTCATAACACTTCACACCCTTTTTTTCGTACCTTTGAGTAAATATAATGCAAGAAGAAAAACGCGTGTCTAAATTTATTTATCACAACGAAACCGCAAAGTGACAAACGGCTCAGTAAAATATGTCATCGCTTTTTATGATTTTTCAAATAAATTCGTTCACGTCTTCCTTTTCTTCCATTATTTCCTTTATTCTTAACCGTCATCACACCGCACATTTGCTTGATAAACACTTCGCGTGCTGCGTGTGATGTTATGATGAGGTTGAGCGTAGAAAGAGGTGAAAAATATTTTCTAAATAAACTTTTCTTCATATTGTGTCGTGTTATGATTGCCATTAATAATTAATTGTGTTATAGCATGTTACTTCACAATTGACTCCGAGTTAACATAAACGAAATTGTTTCCTTTGTTGTAAAGATGTCAGAAAGACAATTACCATCAAAAGATAAATGAATGTCGAGAAGGGAGCTGAGAAGCGGCTCATAAAGTTTTTTTTCTTCGTTTTTTTGGCTACGCCTCCCCATTTTCTTTCAATCCATTTCGTGATTAAAGTGATTTTTGCTCTCGTTGCTCACTTATCACACAGCAGTTCACATCCTAGGTCGTTTAAAAAGCCGGAAAATGATTTCAAATGTAGTCGTTTCGTGTTGTAAAACAAGAGCAAAGGAATTAAATGCTCAATGCAAGTGGGGAAGTGCCTTCGTATCTCCATTGTTTGATGATAAATAAAAGCTTTTTCGTGTAATGTAGAAAGAGCAGGCGAAGTGGAAAAGATGAAGGAAGGAATCTTTTTACAAACAATATGGGCAAGATGAGTTGAGTTCTCCGCTGCTGCAGTCTACTCTGAGAACGAAAGAAGAAGGAAAAGAGACAATAAAGTTTTATATTTCTACTGTCCTATCTCTCTTTCTCACTCTCTCATTTTCTGTATCTTCAAGCTAACAGAAATTGTTATTATTCAAATTGGAGGGATTTTTATGTCTTTTAGAGCTTTATGTTCTTTGTCTTTTTCAATATGAATTAGTGTTTGAATCTCATTTTGGATCAGTCGACGGGATTTGATGTCGCTTCCATTCGTTTCTTGTCTTGTCTGTAATATAATATCAATAAAACAGCTTATCGTTACTTTTTTTTGGATTTTTTAAAGCAGTAGGAGAAAGAGATTGAAGGAAACCTAATCGCATTCTGTGAACGTCGAAATGAGTGAAGATGTCAAAGTGACTAAGTCAATTGATTGATGTCAGTAAGTATCGGAAATGGAATTATATTTTAGACGTTGCCACCATTATGATCGGAAGCGACTTCACGTACAATTATAAATTTGATTTCTGTTTAGTCATAGATAAACTGTTTGTTTAACTGCATAATTTCAATGAAGTATGTCACTTGTAAGCCTAGCAAAAAATTCCTCTAAACAGATTTCATACTTTACAAGAAATTCATAAAATATTCATGGGAAAATGATTTCGTTCAATTTCCAATTGTAATCATCCTTTTAAATCCCATCCACGCACTGCTACAATAACAAAGCCTACCAACAATGTAAACGCTTTGAATCTATCGATTGATGGCTTAAAATATGACGATGAGATTTATTTTTCTCGTCTTTACTCAACATCCAGCAAGCAGAAGAATATTTAATTCAATTTTCTCGCTCGAACATGATCAAACTTTTCCTTTATGTATTCTTATATTTCCTTCTTTTCTTCCATTTTTTATATTTTTCTTTACATTTATAAACATATTATGGCAATGGAAATAAAGGAAGGGAAGAAAAGAAATCGAATTTTGAAAAGATTTCGCTAAGATACTTGCACCAGAGTGTTGTGAACTGCTGTCATCGTTGGACATTATTCTCAAGTAGATATTCAGCGGTTTGCTTCTGTCGACTTCCATTCAATTTTCTCTTTTTTCTCGAGATGTTTGAGATATCTCAAGTTTTTCGCTTCATAAATTCATATTAAAAATATTTTGATGTTTATTCCCTTTCGTCGCTTCAAACTTTTTTCTCCTTTTTTCATTTATTTTCAATTTTAGAGACGTTCAAAAGTGTATTACTTACGCAAGAAGTTTCAACTTCCAGGGATGGTTTTTTTCGTTAGTACCAAAGTTACTTCGCTTCGTTCACTGTTCCGACAGATTTGTAGAAATTGATTGATGTGCGAAATTTAATAAAAAGAACGAAAGGAATTTTTTTTACTCTTCCTTTGTTTGAAAATTTTTCAATGTAATATTTATTGTATGATGTTAATGCGGGTTAAGGTCGGCCCATGATAGAAAGCAGGCTGGTTATGGGTTAGCAAATTGACATACCGATATAATCTTAAGGTTATAAAGATACCTACATTGTAAACGTTCTCATAACATTTGAAATTCTTTCATATTTTAGCATAATAATGATTTAGAGACACAACTTTCTCACATTTATTAAAAATAAATAAATAAAATAAAGAACGATACAATCCTACCTGAACCAAATCAATCATTTGTCACTCATCAATTGGAAAAGTGTTAACTTGAACGAGGAAATCACTTTAAATCGAGTGAATCTCGAGAGGCTGTGTGTATGAGAGAAATGAAGGGAAAACTGGGAACAGAAGGAACGGAAAGAAGAACTTTTAAGCACAGCTGGATAATTGAATTTATTTTCCTTCCGTCTTCTCATCGCTTTTTCATCACTTCGAAAAGTGGAAATTTCTTCACAAGGAATTTTCCTCTCCTTGAGGCCAATTGTTGTTTGCGAATTGTCGTCGTGCTTTGTGGGAATGATTTTTTCCTTTTTAAGCTTCCTTTTTCTTTATGTTTCCCATTCTTGATCCGATTTCGATGTCAAAATATTTGTTTTTATCTCCACAATTTTTACTTCCTTTTATGTTCGGTTCTGTAACCAATATCAAGGTTCTCCACTCCCATCAGAGGCAATGGTTGAATGTTGCAACATTTTTCTTCATTTCTCTTATGTGATTTGCCTTTTATTGCTTGTATATACTTTCGCCCTGTTTTTCGTTCAATGTCCTCAAGGAAATCGAATTTTTCTTTCATAAAGCGTAGAGAGGATTTTCTTCTTTCAAGTTCCAGCACAAGAACTTTTTAACAATAAACTTTTAGTACTTCAAACATTATGCGACAAGCGATTCATTGAGAAGATTTTGTTTGGTATTTGCGAGCTGTTTAAGTAAAAGTATATCGAAAGAATGATAAAAAGAGGATAGAAATGGATGCTTTCAAAGTTGTTATTTTAAAGCGCATTTACGATGTTATTTTTTAAACTGATTGAGCTTTTATGCTTCCACATGTATTGTCATGTGACGAGCAGTTTACAATAGAAAGCGGGGCGGACGTGACTTGTTAGTAAAGCAAAGAAACTTTCCAATGTGCAAACATATCTCCAATGAATCGTTATTTGACGTTCATTTATTATGTCTTGCTCGTAGAATGTTTCCGATTAAAAATCATACACTTTTCAAACTTTGTGTGATGATAATGGTAAACATAAAATAAAAAATTACTCCGCGATAATTTTAAAGTATGAACGTAACAAAATTTATAAATTTATAATCTCTTCTCCATCTTAAGTAATTTGTGGTGTTAATTTCTCAAATCCATTTAGTCTCTGAGTAGTCTAATGATGATAATTCTTGAGGAATCTCAATTACAGGAGAAACTTTTCACTTAGCGCCACTTTTCACCGCTTTTCTTAACTTTACAGTATCAATTTAAGGATTTTGTTTCTTTATTATCATAGATAAGCAGTAAACTAGAATGTTACGGACGATAAGAATTGATTTAGCAGTTGAGACAATTCAAAAGCAGAAGCATTCTTTATTCTATTTTCAGTTTATCACAGCTCATCGCACATCATTTCATGCTGCGAGAAAATTATTTCTTCATTTCACTGCTTTCGCCGCGCGCTGGGAGAATTCTCGAATTTTCCTTGTAAAACTCATTTTTCATACTTAACAGAGTAACAGACTCGTTATTTTGATATTTCAACGTGGTTTATATACCAAAACTCAGAATATGCTTTTTGATTTACGACGGTGAATGGGAGTTAATAAGAAATGCTTCAAGTGGGAGTGTGAAACCAAGAAGAAGAAGAAGATTTCCTTTTTATAATTTTTTTAACTTTTCTAATTGTCAAGATTTGACCAAATTTTTAATTTTTACGAAGGAAGAATTTCCCTACGGTTTGACTACATTCATTCATCGCAGAAAAAGAAACGAGTTGGAACTTTAACCATGAGAAGTTTAAAATTCAGTGCACCATAGGACTCGTCACTCATCTGAAAATGGTGATTTAAGAAAGAAGAAAAATGTTATCATATTCCTAGGAATGTCTGCTGAGAGCCTTTCATCGTGCTTGCCATTAAAAAAAAACAATCTCATGGTGTTTTCTACGAAAATTCATGGCATCTTTTTTCACACTACACAGTATGCAAGACAAAGCTTGCAGAAAGCTAACGAAGAAGAAAAGAAATCGTTAAATTTATCGTATCGAGTAAAACTTCACGGGAATCACTTCCCTTTATAGCTTTTCTCTCTCTCTTACTTAGTTCAGCTGTTCCAAAACATAGAAAATTGTCAAGAGACGAAGGCAGACATTTTAATAGATCGTTTTGTTTGCGAAACGCTTTTAATTATGTTCAGCAAAGCCAATTTGATGACAACGCTTACCAGATATTAAAACAATTTTTTCCTCCTCTCTCTCTCACTTTTATATAATTAATGCCAACCCTTGTCCACAAATTAAGGGGCAGAGTTTGTAAAATATTTATTACAACAGCATAAAATGCAACTTTCAACGATGCGATTTTTTTTTATTTTCTTTTTTATGTCAAACAATCTGATATCATTTATTTCGTAATTTGATATCGCATGATTCATTTTTCGTGAATTACTTTTCACTAGACTTTCCAAACACAATTATTTTTCGAATATACATGACTGCGACAATTGGTTTCAATAATATTTTCACGTAATTTTTCTCGTTTTTACACAATTTGTGAATCATTTATTTTTAACCAACAGTGGCCGATTAATATTTCATGTTCATTATCACGGATAATGCGAAGCCTTATCAGCAGCCACTGTTGTAATGGAATTAATGTTGTAACATATCTGCATGTAGATTGACTTATCAGTTAACTTTTGTAGCCACGTTCTGTTCTATTCTATTTACACGCCAATAACTTTAACAGATCGAATAAAAATAAAATGGAGAGGCGATAAATGATCGTAAAAATGAAAAGTTTTTTTCTTTAATTTATTTACCTTCTTCCCACTTACCCTCCGAATATAAAATTTATTTGTCTCCCTCAGTTCTAGTCAACTCTTGTGAAATCAAATGATTGAAAATCAGTAAACGAAAGCTCAATGCTGCTGCCCATTTAATATAAAATGTAATCTTAAAATGATTTTCTTAAAGATCTTTTTTTAATGAAAACGAGTTTTTTCCGCTCGAAGAGTTTTCTAGCATTTTCAGATTATCCACTGAGTAAGAAAAAATATTTTGGTTCATCTTGAAATTTGATTATGAAGTCGAAGAAGAAGAAAAAGTTCAATTCAAGAGTTCTGATTGCAAATTGAGTATTTTACAGTGACAGTGAGAACATAATCTTGAAGACTTTATGATTCTTGATAAAATAATATTTTTTTGTGCCATTTCATTCCCGTATTTTTGTTGTTGCTGATCATAAATTCAATGAAAGAAAGCAAGACATCGCTATATACAGCGAGGAGAGATTATGCAATGGATTTTCTTTTTATGGAACTCGGCTCTCTGTTTTTTATTTGTTTGTTTGTTATCAGTTTTAAGCAAGACTAAGCAATGCATCCACTGAAATTCTTTTTAACAACAAAAAAATCAAAAACGCGTAAAAACGTTGAAAGAAAGCAAGGGAAAAATTTGGGGTTTAAGGATCTCTTAAAAGCTTTGAAAATGTGTGAATTAAGAACCTTTCGTAGAGAGTCTCGTTCACTGAAAGCATTATTTATAAAAGTCTTGCTTTCCGGCGCCCTTTCCAATGGACCTTTCATCCTTAGATAGGTTAATTAAATAATATTGCAGTCTCTTCTCGTTTACGTGATGCTCCATCTTGAATTCATAATAAAAATCTTGAAATTACCAACGTGTTTTCACAAAGATTCATAACTTCCGCCGCTACACTCAAGCCATAAACAATTTATATTGTTTATTAAATATTTATCTTTATCATATGTTCTAATTAATTTCCTTCAAGTGCTGATGTAAAGATAATTAATTTCTCTCGTTTCCCTTATGTTTGCCGCTACCAAGCGCATATTGCCATACATTTTTAATTTATGATTTGTTTCCTCACCCTCACTCCTAACTCTGGCGTTTGTTACCTTCGGAATCACGCTCATGTTAAGCTTTATACAATATTTTAAGAATCATAAATTCGCTTGTGACTTCCACTGTCACAGATTGCAGTAAAGCAAGGATTTCGGGGACAAAGCAATGTGGTGAATAACGAAGTAAATGAATCAAGTATTAATTTATGATTCATCATTTCCTTCAGCTTGGTAGTTACTGTAGCTTATGTTTGTTTTGCCGATGCCAATACAAGCTAATGTCATTCGATGGTAAAATAGGCTTATTTTAGTTTGTATTTCACCAAACATATCAAATACCATATGCGTCAAAATTTATCTATGAACAACAACAATAACAACAATACAGATGATGATGATGAGGAAAAGTGTTCATTGAAAACATTTATCATGAGAAGTTTGCTGACTGTTTGTATGATACGCTAAAATTTCATTGAATGTTACATTCGTATCACTTTCCTCTTGTGTTCAATCACTGTATTTATTCATTTTATTTGCCATTGAGCTGATATTCAATTCACTTACTCATTCTCATGCTTGGCTAGTTAGTTATTCATAAAATGCAACATGTTAGGTGCCCCCCAACTTATTTAAAACATGTGCAGATAAAATAGATTTGAACAAATTGAATCCCTTTTGCTGAATGTGAAGTTGAGATATTCTCATGAAGCAATCCATCGTGTTTAAATTTATCACTTCGATAGTTCCTTGACCTGACTGCGAAATTTAAAAAAGCAAAAGAGAATCAACGAATAAAACGAACTTCCACCCTTTTACAACAAACTGACTTTTAAATCTGTTGTCGGGCGTCTTTTTATGTGCTTTACAAATACTGGAGGCAAAAAGGGCGTTGCCAGAGGATTAGACTTTTCTTTCCATTCTTCGGAGCAGGAAGTTTAATAAATCATCATCCGAACATTATGTTACATCTCCTATGTAGCTATTATTCACAAAAAGAGCGTGCTTTTGGACATGAATTTTTGATTTCGTGATTTATTGGCTTTTGAGAATTTTTCTTAGAATTCACATTGATGTAAAAATCATAAAAAAGAAGAAAATTCAATGCAGAAGCAATTTTCTTTTTATTTAAACACACAATTTCAAGGTCAAAAGCTTTGTGAAAAACCCATAAAAACAAATCTTACGTTTCTTCTAAACTTTACTTTGATCTCACAAATTACTTCCTTTGTATTGACGTAGTTGGTCGTCGTTTCCTTTTCATTTCTTTGACGAATGAATAAAAAATTCTGTTGATGACGTCTGGAAATGTCTTGCTGTTCACTGAAGTTCTTTTTATTTAAAATAATCAAAACTTTTCATCATGTAAGTAAACTTTGTCAACCTAGAAATCTTTTCAATTTATCTACTTCGTTGAAATTAATTTAACGAAGTACGATTTTCAATTCAATATAAACAACTCTTTAATTATTTATTTTATTTAAAAATTCATTCATATGATTGCCTTCAGAAATAAAAAAAATGAATATAAAGTTTTATTGACAATTATTTATATAATATTATTAAATTCGCACAACATCTTTTGACACGTTGGCATATTTATGAATAACTCGACACCAAAGCATGAATTGTTTGGGGGCACTTATTTAAATATTGGCACATCTGTTTCATTGTTCTTTCCCTATTACAATTAACATTCAGTGGAAATGGAGCATCATGAGATTAAACTATTAAAGCATTATCCTTAATAAATATAATTACTCTTAATATCCTCCACTTCATCCGGAGATTTTTAAATGAAGTTTCATTGAATTTAATTTCTCGGCTGGCTGCGAGCTGTAAGAAATGCGAGCAATAAAATTTAATTACAGCAAAACTTGCTTCACCCCCGTCTGCCATAAAAGTAAAATACTCACTCTAGTTTTGTAATCCTCAACACTTTTACCAGTAATTTAACACCTAAAACATAAATTCCTTTTGTTTCAAGCTCGGATGGGAGAAATTTCATGCGAATTATTTTAAACTTCCAACAGCGAGAACTTCAAACATTCAATTAATATTTGCGATGCTTAACTTAATTGCGCTAACTTCCTTTGAAACTCGTTTTACATTTACGTTAGCTGTTGCGTACATTTTTCCATAGGCTTTTCAGATTCCACAACAGAAACATATGATAAACACATAGATAGATTCATCGGCACAACCGCTCGCTAATGTTGTTTATTCAATATTCAATTTAAATACTCTTAGCTAGATTCCAACATCCACATTTTAACTTCACCTGTTTTAGAGGCTTTGAAAGGAACATAGAAAAATAAATTGCAAAACGTAATTACTAAATTATTCATCAGCTGAATGTTTACCTAAGTGAAAGAAAAAGTTCGAGTGTAAATTTAGTAATAGCGAAAAAGGTGACAAATTCACGGTCCGTCTCTCTTTCTATGTCTGCACCCCCGTTTTTATCCGGAACTGGAACAAAATTTATTTGACGCAAGACGAACCTTCGACGCGGCTCTTTGCTCACAACCCCGACAAGAATTTTTGTTAAATCTCGACAACGTTGAAATTTCCCCTCAGATGAAAGGAAAAAAAATCTCATTTCCGTTCCATACAAGACTTGCTTTATGAAAATAAATCTTTTACTGATTTTTTTCGCTCCTTGAGCGAATTGGTAATAAAAAGTCTTAACAGCTCTTTTTTGCACATTAATTTTTTTTCGTTTTGGCAATAAATGCTGTGGCTTAGCAAGGATTTTCATTGTAGGAGTCTTTGAAATTTAATTAAACAAGAAAGGTTACAAGAGTAAGCCTGGAAAAATATCTCGAAGTTAAATTTCCTTTGCCAATGATCAACAAAACTTTTCTCGCTTTTCTGAGGTTACCCTTGTGTAAGTTAAATTTAAATCAGTCAACAGATGTAGATCGTAAATTTCCAACTAAAACATTAACTTCATATTATATTTTTTCTTCCCATAGGCAGCGAAAGGATATTCAATTACTTAAACTAAAGTTCCAATGAAGCAAAGCTTCTGCGGTTAAACCAAACTTCAAATTTCCCATCGGCTTTCAATGATTTTATACGCTCTGAGAAAAGCTCATTGATAAAGTTTTCCAATAAAAAAAAACTACAAAAAGAGTTTTCAAGAGTTATTGTGCATCCATTTTTCATTAGGATTCCTCACATTGATTTCTGCCCTACTTAACAACATCGTTTCTTTACTCAACTTAAGACTTTCTTTCTTCTCTTCAATTATTCCATATGTAAGAAAATTGATTTCTTCCATTAAGTAGCTCTTAATCTGTATTAAGATTATGCTAATTCGGAGAAGGAAAAACCACACTGAATGGATAGAAAATAAATGAAAGGAAGAAAAATTCGAATAAAGATCGAGAAGAGAACTTGACGGTTTAATGTTTAGAGGAAAAAGGGAAACAATCTCGACGTAAACTGAGAAGCTTTCATTCGATATAATTACATGCCCTAAAGGATGGTTATGTTGATGTAGCTCTTTAAGTATCCGCATCACGTTGCTTCCATCTTTTTTCATCTCTTTTCCTCGTCGATGCTTCTGCGAGAAATCCCATAAAGCGTAATAAACATCTCTACTCAAGTATCTATTCATTGTTTATTTTTACCATACTACGCGTTTCTAAGATAATGAGCTGAGGGCAACAACAAGATCAGAAAGAGATGGAAGAAATCGTCCATTCCTTATTGATTAGAAATCTTCGAATAGCAATTTTTTCGTCATTTACATTCCTAAATTGTTTGCTCACACGCACAAAGTAATTTTCTATTGTCAGCTTATACTCTCTCAACTTATCAAAGTAAATCTGCTAATGAGTTCTTCTATAAATAGAGTGAAGTCCCTGTCAGTTTAAATATCATCTAAGCGGTTCTTAAGTAGAGAATATTCAGAGGAATTAATCTCCTAGTGTTTCTTGTTATCTGAAATGTTTGAGTGAAATGCTTAAAAAAGAAAATCGGAATTAATATTCTGCGTGCAGTCTGAAGTTAAAGTAAATTTATGAATCCTCATGTTTGTAGCATAAAATATTAAGAATTCGTAAGTTCTTAATGCCTAGCCCATTAAAATTTCACCTTTCTCTTCCCATACATTTCAAATAGGCTATAAGAATACTCCGACGAGGGATTATTCTTAATTTTTTCATCTTCATCTTTCCTTTCTTCATCATGACGTTTCATTTCATGTCCTACGCTACAAGATGAAAATTCAGTGTTCTTCTTAATTAATTCGAATATCTTCCGACTTCTTCTTTCCTTGCGACGACTGCTAAACATCAAAGAAAAAGAATTTTTTGTGAAATTGAAAACTGCGATAAAAACTTTTACTCATTGCTTCTGGAATTGAATTTTTATTTGAAGTATTTATAGCGAAAATAACTCAGTTGAGTTTTCAGTGTTTTTTAAATTTTACAACTTAATTTATGGTGCTCTAGTTTGCGATTTACTTGAGGTTTGCAAACCTTATTAAACCTCGACAATGTTTCTTTTATAGTTTTTTAATAACAAGTAGATAGTTATAATATTCACTTTACGAAGCAAAATTTATGAAAATTGAAAATGAAAATGAAGCAAACTTGAAATCTTGAGCCGAGGTTTAGCGGCATTTCCTTCATTTGGTTTGTTGGGTTTATTAAGGAAAATGAAAATAAAATAATTCTAAAGCAAAGGAAATTAATTAATACAACTTCATCGCCCTTTTGCTACTATCTATTCTGTTTTCATACTTTTCGCAATAAATTCTAAAGCGGATGACAATCGAGAAAATTAAAATTAAGAAAAAGAATGAAAGAATCTCGCAACGAGGACAGTTAATGACGCTTTCAATTTCATTTTCAGAGTAGAGAAATTGTATGAACATAAATACTTTGTGAGGCTAATGATAAAGCTTCCAGCTTTCTCTAATCTAAGGAATATAAAAAGAATTGAAATTTCATTGAAAACTTTGAATGGGTCATGAATAAAAGTCGGAAATTATTTTTAAAATTTATCAAGAAAGAAACAATGCTAAGCGCACAAAATAAGCAATAATATCAAAATGTTATTTATATTTCCTTTGCTTCAATTCTCTAGAAGTTATTCTTGGGACGATATTGATTTTCTTTCTTTATTTTTTTGAAGAAATATATTCGAAACGTCCTGAAGCTTTTGTTCGCCGAAGGAAAATATGGAAAACCCGAGGAAACATAATCTTTTCAATATTTCAACATTTTCTCCATTCAAATTCTTGAACTGAAGGAGCAACATAACCAAAACCCTATTTCATGGGAAAATAGATTTGCGATTTTTCTCACATAATTCAAAATGCAGAACGAACAAACGAACGAACGAACGCTGAAAGATTTTCAAAGTCTTCAGATTTCCAACTCTCTAAAGACAGTGAAACATGAGATTTCATTTTTTTTTTCTCTGATATACATTGATTCGTTTAAGTTTCCTTTGTCACGCTATTGAGTGTAAGTTACAAGAATGATTGTCCGTATTTTAAAAATTTAGAAACGAGGCGCCTTTGGCAACAGACTTTTTATTGTCGATATGAAATCTTAGAAGCTCTGCGCTTAATTCATGGCGATTCATCAGAAAAAATTGAGTTTAAATTTAGAACAGCTCTTGACAACCAGATAATCCTACTCATCAAATAATTTCATGCTGATTTCGAATTATACAAAAGATTTTGATTTTATTATTGAATTCTGTGAAAATCTACTAACAATAAACGTCAAAGAACTTGAAAATTAATAATTCTTCTTCATACCAGTAAACACGCATGTAATCCACCAGTCTACGTAATTGAAATTCATAAAGTTATAAGGTTTTTTGTGAAAAACATAAAAGGGCTTTAAGCATCAAGAATATTGTTAAAAAATGAAAAGTTGCCAACAAAGTTTAATTACTAAATCATGAAAGTTAAATTTTTTCTGTAATTCAATTGAGAATATTTGATTGAAATAAAAATTTCCAATGTCATTAGTAAACAAACTCGAACCCCCACTTAAGCCTTTTTTTTTCGAGTATTTCAAATCATAAAAACTGCATAATCAGCAACATCCGTTCCACTAACTTAAACAATCATAAGATTTTGATTCGATTCTAGGAATTTAAAATTTATTTTCCCTCCGTTGTTTAAAACAAAAAGAAATAAACTTTTTCCCTCCTATTGAATTTTATTATAATTGTAATAATTTTTTCCGTGAAAAGAAAGCAAAGTGGAACAAATGTTACGAAATTGTTTCATGGTAATTAAATAAAGCAGTCAACGAAGGATTACAAATAACACATAACAGAAGCGAGCAGAAATAACGTCAAGATGAGGGAGATTGGAGCGAGGAAAATATAATTATAAACACCAAACAGTTGACAATAAGTCTGTCAAGAGAACTTGAGAACTCTTCTTACGTCACTGATGAAATTAGCCCTGATTTAAATTACGCTCGCGATACGCTAAAGAAAATTTATGTCTTGAATGAGCTAAAATAGAATTATTGAAAGAGTTCAAAATTTTTTGTTATTCTTTAAAATATTTATTCACGAGTCAAGTCACAAATAATTTTCTCTTGTAGACATTACAAAGTCGCTCGTGAAGCTTGTTGCTAAGATGTTGCTTTAAATATTTTTTCTTTTGATGTGGCTTTAAAATAAGTAAAGAAAATATCTTCATACACATTAACAAATGTGTTAGAAAGAACCAAATCGGTTTCTTCCTGTGCGTTCATAAGCCATGCCAATAAATCAGAGTGCTGAACGTTAATAGTTCCTATGAATTTCCGGTGTACTTAAGACAGGCTTCGCAAATAAAATGTTACAGAATTTCTGAGTTTGTGTGCTCAAGTGTTTTGGTTTCACGCTTCAATGCCTACCTGTTCACCTCCATCTACACACATGCTGAAATTTGAAGGTATAAGTCTGGTATGATTTATTCAACAACATTATTTTTCTCTTTCACGTTCGCTCCCTCGAAAAGCATCGTAGAAATTTTTATTGTCACAAATATATTTCACTAATTTTCTCGACAAATAACATAAAATTGCTTTAATGGAACGCTTAACATTTGTCAGACTTGTTGTGCTTTTTATGATTTAAATGTTATTCAAAATCAAAATGACTACATTAAGCTCTACGTACAGCATCGTTCTACAACTCGCTTTTTCATTTTAATCTTTTTCTATCACAGAAAATGTTCATTCAAAAATGTTTTTCTTTCACTTAAGTTCAATTACCCTAATAATTCATCTGATGGCGGTAAACTTTATGAAAAAAGTTTTCAACCGTTTGAGTGAAAAGATTTCTTTTATTCGGAATAAATTTATGAGTGGAAATCATTGATCCATATCTTAAAGTTATTCACCGTTAAATTTAATATCTCATTATTATTACATGGGAAATATTCAAGAAATATTAAATTGTCGATGTATTTATAAGCTATCAATGGAACACTGATTTTCTTTTCTTCCTTTTCATGTTTGGATATTGATTGTAGTAAAGTAGGAAGGGATGAAAATAAGCGAACCCTCTTCATATTCTACTTATCCCTACTTAGAATGTTTAATTATATTTCTTTTAAAAGCTTTAATAAAAACTTTCCGATAAACGAATCTTTTCTTCTTTCTCAAATTATGTGCCAATATACCTTTTAAAGTCGCTTCTAATGTCTCTACTTTTATCTTTATTCATTCTACATAAAATTACTCGCTTTTCGTGATAAAATATTTTTAAAAAAGATATTTGTCACTAGGCACTACGTAGGTTTTCTGGGACTTGTTGATTCTGATTGTTCTTGTCCAATTTTTTGGGTTTCTTTTATGTTTGCAAGAGACGAGGGTGTAGGACGCCATGATAATTTTCTTTGAAACATCAACGGAGATGATTGCTTGGAAAGTTGTGTTGCAATGGTTGGTGAATTTTGGGTCTTGTGAAATTGTCCAGGTGCGCTATCGAGATTTGAAGGACGAACACTGAATCTCCGCTTTAGTGCAGGTTTCAATGGCTCTGTAGGTACTGTTGTGTATGGTGGTGGAGGTCGAATAGATAAATGTCTAATGAATGGTTTCGCATCATCCTGAATTCTCTCTCGCCTATTGTCACCAATATCCGAGGATGGTGTGCTAACGCAGCTGTATAATCTATTTCGCTTTGTTATGTTCAATGGCAGAATATCTGATGACGGTCCATTGGATGTATAACTCGATCTTCTGCCTATGTTAGGCGAATTTAATGTAAGAAGCGACTGATGCGGTTGTATGACATTTTTTTTACTGCTATCGTTTCTCGTCGCTTCAAAAGATAACGACGTATCTACATGTTCACTATGAACCTGTTCAATTGCCCTTATCAAATCAGCAATCGTTGTCGTTTCTAACAAATCCCCTTCTTCTTCCATACATGGCATGGCAAACAAACTCGGTCGATGATGACTCAAGTAATTCTTCGATAAGCTGCTTACCGATGCGCGACCGTCATGTGTTCTGCGGAAATATTTCGATGGATCCAATTCCGATCCTGGAGCAAGCGAATGTCGTTTCATCTGTTGAGACATTTTCTTCTTGAAAGGATTTAATTTAGACAACACAGAATTGCTTGTTGCCGTGACGTAGTCTTTATCTATCACTTCCCTAGGGAAATCATCAGCATTTGCTTCTGAATCGTATCGCAATTTACTTTGAAGGGATGCTTTGTAAAGATTTTCTTTTGGCTTAGCTGCAAGCGATCGTATCTTTTCAATCTCACTAATTTGAGTGTTGGAACCTGACCAAGTCCATCCAGTTGACGACTGAAAAGGAAAATAATTGGGTTTCTCGTTGCGAAAAAAACAAAAGTCAGATAAGAATATTGTTTTGAAATGTCAACTGTAGCATTAAATTAGATACCTTCACAGACTCGTCTATGGGAATTCGAACTTCTGATGCCGCTCGAGAATGACGTTGTCGTGTTGTCGGTGTTGTGAGACTACGCTCGGACTCTGTTATCGACCAATCTGAATAATAATTATTTTCACTCGACAGTATTTGTGAATCACTGAAGCCGTGAAGGCCTGTAATGCTGCTATGTAAACTTGTGAGTTTTTGTTCGTCAGTTTCAGGTCGAAAACCTCCTAATGCGACCACAAGCTTTGCCAGTAAATCTCCCGGTTGTACTGCTCCCCGTCGTGCGTCGTATGCAAATGTTTTCTCTTTGTCAATGTTACTTAATTTACTGTCAGATTGAACTCGACTTAAGGCATGAGTGATAAGACTCTTTTGATTTTTATCTGCTTGTTGTACACATAAAGAGTAGGCCCGAGCTCTGGGCTTTGTGTGAAGTGTTTCATAATCATTTACTTCATCATCAATCTTAGATAAATCGGGACATGACTGGGATTTGGGCATTGCAAACTTCTGCATTGCTTCTTCAGCGTTTTTGTACACAGGCTTCATAAAGCAAAAATATATCATGAGAAGAAGAAAAAGAAAGCAGATAAAAAGAGTAGCTAAAGCTCTCATAAAATCCTTTATTAAAACACTGTCACCTAATAAAGAGATTTCTAAACGTTATGAAAAATTTCCACAAGGCAAGCATTCCGCAAGGAATAAAAAAAAGGAGAAAAGTAAATTTATTCACAATTAAATCTCATAATACAGTCGAGAGCTTTTGTCTTTGCATTAAGCTTAGACATAACAAAACGGTTAGATATTTTGTCTTCGAAAGACGAATTAATCTTAATCTACACTCACTTTAAATTTGAGAAAATACGCTTCGTTTAAGATATTCCGAATGAAACCAACGTCTTTCGTGACTCCATGCCAGATTTTCTTCTGCGTCAGCTTAAGATTCATAGCTAAGTGATGTTCAAGCTTCTTCATTCTCTTACTTCTCATTCCCCTTAAGGAATAAATTTAAAACAACAGAAAGTTTAGTTAACAAAACTCTAATTCTGAACATGTTCAATGCATATACTTACTCGATTATAAATCCAATAATCATAAGAAGATAACCGAGTCCTACAAAGTTTATTTGATAAAAAGATGAAAATCAAAATTTTGTAGAAGAATTGACGATGACAGCAGCATTTTTAATGAGATTCTCTCATTTGAGGTTGAACAGAATTAAATTTCATGAAACTTTAATCTTCTTACTAATTATGAAAAGTGGTGATAATTATAAAATTCACAAATTATTTTAAAACAATTCATTACTTCAACATTCATGATCTGTTCAGCCTCATGATTGAACAAAATATATGAGTGAAATTTATCTCGAAAATCTACCTGCTGTAAACCAAAGAAATATGAAAATCTGATAGAAGACAAAATATATGCCAAAACTTCTCTCTTGTTCTGGTTGAAACGTTGGCACATAATCACCGAAACCTTCAAAAAACAAAGTTGTTTAACATAAAAGTCTAATCATATCAACGAATGCTGAAAGATGGAAACTTTACCAATCGTTGTTAATGTCACAAAAGAGTAGTAAACAGATATTGAATAATCCCATTGTTCGAAATATGAAAATAATATAGATGGCAGGAAAATTAATACGATAAGTGCTGGAACGAAGTAAAGTATCACTTGAGCAACCAAATTCAATCTTGGTGGAACCCAATTGTGGTTTGATGAAAGTTTGTATCGTTTATAACGATTGTAAAGTCGCACAAACTATAATCAAAAAAAAATTAAATGAAATATAAAATAGGAAACAAATAGAAAAGGATTTATTTTTTGTTTTATGTTTTCCTTTCAAGTGCTTACAGTTCGTCCCCAAAACTCTCCCATATATGCAAATAGAATTGTATGAACGGGAATACCTGGTGGAAATGGAAAAAGAGTTAAAAGGAATATAAATATTTTACTCGTATTGTTTGTTTTCTCTAGACCACAGAAAAAGCAAAATTTCTAGTAAAAAAATATTGAATGGAGGAATTGCAAAACTTCAACATACCAATGAGAGCGTAAAAAATCAGAAACATTCGTCCAAAAGTGTTGTTTGGGGAAATATTTCCATAACCTTTAAACAAAAACAAGCAAACAAAAGCTATTTAAACTTCTGCATTGAATTAATTGTTGTCAAGTGCATCACGTCTTTATTTAAAGAAAAAGTTCACTGAACAGATTTATCTCTTCGAATGGCTTCCAGTGATGATAAACGACATGTTTACTTACCGATTGTCGAGCAAATTGTGAAGGCAAAAAATATGGAATGGTAGAAATTCCAAATGTAAGGAGGCACGTACTCGTCATCAGAAGGATGTGTGACTGGTTGATTACAATAGTCTGACACTTGAGTAAAAAAATCAATCAATTATGGTTACAATAAAAATTATTTTCCTTTCATACCTTGGTCTAAGACTTCGTCTTGTAAATCGCTATTATTGGGAGCAATGTACCTGACCAATAGGGCTACAATTAAAATGTCGAGAAAGTTTTATCATTAGCGGCAATCGTGACCGTGAAGTTGAGGCTTTAACAAGTTATAAACACAGATTATCATTAATTGGAAAACATTATCGTGAAGATTTCCAAGTATCGTCACGGTATCCAAACAAAATCTGCTATTGGCTTTTAATAGGACTTCGAAACTTCGAACATTTAAATAAACTTTATAGTCGAGTCATAAAAGCTCAAATCACGATTACGAAAACCAAGAAGAATTCCTTTTTAATGTAAATTACGACAGACCTAAGAAATGAAGCTAATCTTGCGAAGAACGTAAAGTTGATAATAATTGGCTCGAATTGCCTCATTATCAATAAAATGTAATTGATGGTTCGTATCATTAAAGTGACCACCTTTTGTTCTTTAACTAAGGAAATTAGATCAGAAAGCTTTAAAAATGTTTTCTGTTGATAAGGACACTTTTCGAATGGTGTTAATTATCTTAAATGGGAATAATAACGAGGCAAAATATTCCATTTAGATCGACCGATATTGACTCAGTGTTTTAATGAATAATTGTACATGTGGGCGAATGCAATTAGTAGAAATTAATTTTGTGATATGCAAATTAAATTGACATCCAAGTTTAATTTTAAACATTGTACGTAAGTAATTACAAACCTACATAAATAAAATTAATAGAGCAATGGTGATAAGAAAAAGTTTTAACATTTGTTCAATTAGATAGTATAAAATCTAATGATTTAAGGTCTTTAAATTCCCAATGAACTGAATTAAATTTAACATAAGACATTGAACATAATTCAATGATATCATTTCAGCCAAGGTAAAGTGTGACGTTTCGTAAGAGCTTTTGATAATTCAATGCTATGAACGAAAAGACACCTGATTGCTTACGTATCGACATAATTGCAACAATTTCAAAGTGTTGTCATGCACAAACGCTAATATGATGGGGAAATAGACGTCAAGAACTTGTCAGTCTTGTGCTCTGATTATTAATGTTATTCAAATAAACAATTAACTAACACACATCGCTGACATGTATGATGTTATTTATATTTCGATCATGTATGCAAATCGCTGAACAATTATGTATCGATTTAAAGAGCGATTGTATGAATTTGATTTCACAAAAATGTGCCAAATTATTGGAACGACGAGTAAAATTATTTGTACAGTGGAAGCTCTATGAATGAAAAGAAAAGCTCAATGACTGCACACCTCTTCAGCTTGCATTCATAGAGCTTCGACTGTACATTAATATTTGAAAATTTCCTGATTTAACATTAAAGCCTTTGATTGTACATTTGAGAAAAGAAGAAAGATTTTGTTTATCGAAGTTCATGGAATATTCTGCTTTTGATTACATGCGGTTAAACAGGTTTCAAACATGACGTTGTTTGATTGAACTTGTAATATTTTCTATGAACTTAAATATTTATAAAGAGTTGGAAATTGTTTGTAATTTTTCTAATTTACTTGTTTTCAACATTTGAGTATTTAAGCTGATAAGTATTTTGTAATTTTGATGTAAACAATATTTGACGCAGATGATTTTTGATCAATAAGCTCTGTAAATATTTTTAGATAGAAACATTTTGCGCTAACCGGCGCTAACAAATGTGAGAAAACTTGATAATTTCTTTACGCATTCAAAGATAGAAAAATATGGTGATGTGATTGTTGTTATCATCTTTTCGTTTCTTGTGACTTTAACGATATGTAAGGAGCAACACATAACAGTATCAAAGTGACACTTGACAATATGCTATTAAACGTTACCATACACAGCATGTGTAGTTCAACTTACTTTCAAATGTGAATGTTTTATTCATCTCTCAGATTTTCTCGCGATTATAAAGTCAAATGCTCTTGGTTAACTGGTTAACTCTGCCAGAACATAAAATTATATGATTTCACCGTAAGGCTCGGTGGAAAGTTTTCGATCATAAAATTATAAAACTTTAGGAATCTCTTTGAGAAGTGTTTTCAAAATCTTATCAAAGCAATTAAAGGAAACTTGCTTTGTGAAAATAACAAGTAAGGCAAATTTAAATACGGAATTAAATTAGTTCTAATTGAAGTGCTACTCGTGAGAGAAAACTAATTAAACTATGCTTAATTCGTGCATTCTTTCTTAAGTTATGTGAATATAGTTGAGTCGCTCATGCAATTTTCCGTTCATGAAAATATTTTCGTGTTTTAATAATGACTAAATTTAAATCATTTAATAATTATATAAGACTTTAACTTTATCCAAGTGAATTATACTTAATGAGAATCATTCAAGAGTGAATCTTATTAGCAAAACAATTATCAATTAAATTCACGCGGAAAGATAAATGTTGAGGGATATATGCTGCTTTCAGGAAATTCTTAACTTGTTTCGTGAGAGCGAAGAGATTTTCATTTTCTTGTCAGTTGCCATCTGATTTATCACTGAAAATTTTTCATGCTTTCGAGGCATTATTAAGTTAATTTGTCATTTTTTTTCTTGACTTTAGTGTGAAGCACAAAATAAGAAATGAACCACAGGGCGGAAGGTCTTCTGATACGTCATCTTGATGAATCATCGGCGTCACTTCCCCATTACTTAAGTGATTCTTAAATGTCCTTTTTGAAATGATTATGTTCATATTTCAAGCCTTCTTGGGCACTCCTACAATGAATGAATATCTAAACGCAATAGCAGATTTTATTTTTCAACGAGCTAGAAAAAACCTCAATAAAGGTAAGCGAAAATTTATTCTAGAAAAAATTCTGATATAAGCGTTGACTTAATTATAGTTCACTAACTAACAATAATGATACTTTAAACGTAACGTTGGAAGAAAAACTATAATTTGCTAATTGTAGTAAAGCATTTTTTCTTCATGAACAAAATGAGTGTAAAAAGTGAGTTTCAACTGAATGGCAACACACAATCACTGAGTATGACAAGTTAAATACAAAATAAACTGTCAAGACAGATTTTTTTCTTAAAAACAAAACAAAATGAGTTTCCGTTTGAAGCAAAAGTGAATAAATATTTTGATAATTAATTACCATTGATTTCAACACGTTCAGCATATGCAACGGCCCGACGTTCTGTTTCCAAACGATGTTCTTCATGATAAAACACGCTTGCACCGAAGAACAGATATGAAATGTAAAATGCAAGAAGCGAGAACCACTGCTTCGGGCTTAGTCTCTGTTTTCAAGTGTGGCATGAATAAAATATTTCTCATTAGAACATGAATTTAACAAAATCTGTTTTGTTAGTGTCATTTCTGTGAAGATTTTTAGTGAAAGTGAAGAGCATGCAAAATAATTATTAAAAATTTTAATATGCGTTTAAAAAACCCCCATAAGTTTATTAAATTATCAAATTTAGAGATAGTAGAGAAAAATTAAATGTATTACCTTAAAAAGTTATGCAAATTAAATTTTTCGACGTGATAATTTTGGAGGGTCTTAATTTATGCAATGGTGTGACTTTTGTTAAATAAATATTAGCTTAGCTTTCAAAATACAGCAAATGAAGTTTTCGCTTTCATGCAACTTCATTAAAATTAATTTTCTTTGAAGACAGGAATATGAAAAAAAAATATTAAATGTCATTTCTAACTTCATTTCAAGTAGAGAACTTGAGTGGAGTGCTTTATGTGCAAGAAGAACCAAGTCGTGCTGTGAAGAATCTGTTTGTGCTATAGAAAATATTTTATTGTGCATTAAGAGGGAAAATTAGATTGAAAAAATATTTTTAACTGAATTTTGGTGGCCAAATTTTCCCTCTTGGTAAGTTTCTTGTAAAGATTGACAAATAATTTTCACCTTTTCCTCTTGCATTAAGAATTGATGGAAATTCGTTGATTTTAAGTTCAAGAAAAACTTTTCACTAGATTTTGATTTTCAGGGACAATTTTTTTTTAATTTTCATTTTTTTTATTATATTTTACTGATTTTGGAATCGCATCCATACCTTTAAAATTAGAAACATCATTTTTTTCTATTTCTCTTCTGTTTTCACTTTCAATTCGTAACAAGAAGACACTTCACATACAGTTTACTTTATTCGTTCCGATCAACCAGACACTTGTTTCTATTATGTAATTCTCAACGCAATATAAACACTTAAGCGTTCAACTGTTAACGCCTCATTAATAATTCACGATGCATTTTGAAATGTTTAAGCCGATTAATTGTTTGAGTGTAATAATTTATGTGCAATCAATTATTTATGACATGTTATCGTTCAACTTGATTTTATTATTCTTCATTATATATTTTTTCTTATAAAAATTCTTTGTTTATTTTTTTACAACATATGATAAGAAATTGCTGCTTATTATTCCATGAGAGCACACGTTCTCACATCGTACGGTTTCCTGAAGTGGACTGTTTTACTGTTCTTTTGTGCATAAAACTCTGAACACAATGAACTTTCAAGTCCGACAAATGTTTTTCTTGTTCAGCTAACACGAGTTGCCCTTTTTATACAAACAGCACGTTTACCGGTTAGCACAAGACGGCAACTTTAGGAGTTTTTTTATAGTCAGTCACGATCACTGTAGAAATCGGATTTTTAAGCACTTGCACTTCTGGACATGCACTCTAATAAATTTTTCTTTTAATTTGTTTATGAACTGAATGACTCAGATGTTAATTTTGTTTTTCTTTCATTCCACCACTCACAGAAGGTCCAGAAGCAGAACAGTAAAATTTTGTGAATTCAACATCGGTTTGAACTTTATCAGTTGACTCTCCAAAGTTTTTGCATAGCACTTACAGCATTTACAATGTACCAGCTGCCGAGTAATTTTGATTTATCGATGTTTTTTCTCTTCCATTATGTCAAGTGACATTGTTTTTGTAGCACATGTGCTATAAAAGTGCATAAAAGAGTGAAAATGAGTTATCAACTTTCAAAATTGACTTATGAACTTTGTTTTCAGCAACAATTTTTTTTATTGATAAGACAATTCGGTCACGTGAGTTATTACATTGAATTGTCAATTTAAACTGCGAAATAATATAAAAGGTTCGTCTTATCAATTTTAATTAAATAAAATGTATACAATGAGAAACCGGAAAGGGAGAGAGAGATTATTCAATAAATTACAGATTAAATGATTACATTTATGAAAGATCTTCCATTTATATTAAAGGCTGACAGCAAGTCTCGACTTAACATTTATCTAATAATGGTAACTGTCAGTATTTTTATTTTTATTTTTATTGGATTACCAACTCTATGAGCTGTTTATAAGCAAATAATCAGATTATTCATGCATAAACATCTAACCTAGCCAGCCTTCAGGTCATAAAATTTAAATTACATTCTTTTTACGGTCATTGTGCGCGACCAGCGCTGCAGAAATTTTGGCAACTCATAAATTATAAATATGAGGATGGAATTTAAGCCCACATTTGTTCGAATATCTGAACAGAAGAGAATCAAATGTGATCAATAAAATATGTCTTTATATTCGATTCACAATCTTTTTATTTAATAAATATGAATTATGTTTTAATATAAGAAAAAAGATTCTTAGGCTTGAAAAGATTATCGATAACGGCTAAGTATCGACAAATAAATGTTTTGTTTTGAAACTTTTGTTATTATCGAACTGAAGCGATGAAAATCCACAATCTTTAGAAATTAATGAAAAGACTGTTGGTTGAGTCTTAAATGACAAGAAAACGAATTACGGAAGATTGAATTTCAACTCCCGTCTGAACTTGAAAAATAAGGCGTTCGACGAATTTCTTTTGAAAAACGAATCAAAGGAAAGCAATATCTTCAACAAAAGTCTTCGTTCTGAGCTAAATAAGAATCCAAAATAAATGGAGTTTGTTTGTTTGTTTTCTTGCTAGTAAAAATGATTAATTCTGTTTTTCAATTATATCACAGCAAGAGATCATCCCCGTTCAAATTAAGATTGAAAAGGTTGTCAAATTAACATATTTTTCCCTCTCTCTCTCCCCTTCTCTTCTTCCGGTTCGTCCTCGTTGCGAGGGTTTCGACATTTTTATTCTCCATGCAAATATTTGCGTATAAATTTCATTTCCTAAATCTCTGTTACCCCGAAAATGTAGCGGGAGTGGGAAAGGACAAGTTTGGGAAATTTTTATTGGGACTATTTATTCCTAATTCCTTCTTATTTCTCATCGATTCGATGAATTGACAAAAATTCGACTTTATAGCGCACACGATAAAATTTAATGCAAATTATTACGAAATTTTTTATTCTTATTACTTTTTAACTGTGCGATTAAAATTCCTGAACGATGTTCACACGTTTAATCGACCGACCGTGATTAACGTAAGGTTTTCAAGACACGTAGTAAGTAAGATGAGCAGTTTAAAAGAAACTTTTGTAGCAAGACTGCTCGATGTGCAAACAAGTTAGCGCTGTGAAATCTGTTCGATAACTGACCAAACGAATTTGTCAAATAGCAAAAAAAACTTTTTTTGCATGTTCTTTACCCGCTTATACATGTAAGCTTTTGATCGTGCTTATGTGTGTTCATAATTCAAAGCTCAAGCTTACTTTCTTGCTTAAGTTACAGCCTCTTAACTTGCGCTCGTATTTCACCTGATCTCAATTATCATCAATTCGATATTCTCGCAGGCATTGAAGTGCATATACTTAAATAAATTTATTTACACAAGTCAAGCATAAGTAAGTATTAAAAATTTACAGGAGAAGAAGTCTCAAAGTGGTGTTTGTCATGATTGCAACTTGTGGTGCGAGAATCAAGTGAGAAATACGTAAACTTATTATTTATTACTATCTTACACTTCTCGACTATAAATCGACAACACTTGAAGCGATGCTTATGCTGTTTCATTGAACTATATTTTCTTCTCGTCTTATCACCTCTCACATTCATGAACGTTATGTTTGTTGGTGTGAAATAAAAAGAAGAAATAAGAAATGAAAACAATTTATTTCGCTTCATATTCTCTAAAGTACTTTCCTCAACAAGAAACTTTAGAATGAGATGAGAACACGATTTGGATCTCGAATTAAATCATTTCAAAGCTACTCAATTTTCCGAAAAAATGAAAGAAATATCTTGAGAAATATTATCATACAGTTGAGCTCTTTTTAGTAATATTTGGAATGCAGTCATAAATTTCAATAATTTGAAAACTTTTCATCCAAGCAGAATAGAAACAAATTGTTAAAGTTGTTCATTTTTTTATGCTTCCTTAAACTGTCATTGATGTTATTTATTTCTATCTGAAAACTTTAATTGGAATTTCCAAAAATCTAATTAAGATGTTAGATAATAATTCATCCTTTGGAAAATAAACGAAAATTATTAACATTGAATTGAATCGTTGCACAAAGATAATGGCTTAGCATGGAAGTGTCGTCTCGTTCATACGTTTTTGTCTCTTTCAATTCGGCATTGCTTGAAACAATAAATTAATAAATCAATGTCAAAAAGTGTGATGCTTTTTTTTGTATATTTCTCTTCCTTTCTTTCTTTCTTTCTTTCGTTTATTGATAATCGAATAATGGATGAGAGATGGAAACAGAAGACATACAACATGAAAATAATAATTAACAATCTGTGTTAGATCTCTAGAATAGAACAAAAAAATAAATAAATTTTATCTGCTACATAAATAAATTGCTTGAACCACGAAGACTGAAAGTTATATGCATTATAAATAATCTACGTGAAGACCAGTTTGTATTAATCAAGCTTTACTGCATCTATTTTTAGCTCTTCGTCTCAAACGTTTTTATTTTCAATCTTCTTACGGCAAAGAGTTCAATTTACAAACACTTAACATCGATGATAATCAACAGACACTGATAATCAGATTACCATCAATGATTTGGTTTACGAAGCAGAAACAAGACACATGAGTTTCTTCTTTTCTTGACATTTACATATGGGTTTGTCTCTTTGTTGTCTTCTGCAGCTTCTCTTCTAGATATTGCTGTGTGAATTTTTTCAACATTTATTTTATTAATCATTTATTCAATTAAAGCTTAATTTCATTGACATCTGGTTTTTGTTCATAATGAAATATTTATAGATTCATAGTTAACTGATTCAGGATATGCAAAACAGTGGAATTAAACAAACGTTATGATAAGACTGCTTGTTAAATGAATGAGCATTAAAGCATAAATAATGCCGCTGCATGCCGTCATCATCAACAACATCCACATCAACAATGTTTCATCGAAGCTTAAAAGAATAAATCTTTGTTAATTTTTCATTCAGTTTACATAATAAAATCCCAATAATCTGCTACCACAGAATGGAATAAGTTTGGAATTATTTAATTTTGTATTATTTTCACAAAGCTTGAGAATAGATGAAGCTTTCAATGAATCATTAAAATCATTTATTTGTTTTAAGCTGTTTAAACTAATGCTTAGTTGGGACCAATAGCAGAATTCTATTTCAATTTTATGCAATGTTAACATTCTTTAAAGGCCTTGAAACCAAATGCGCCTATTTTCTATGACAAGACAAAACAAATAATAATTTTCTGTAAACACAAAATGTGGAAAAACTGGAAGAATAATAAAAAAAATCGTTTAAACAATTTTTCATGTTCACTCGTAGTTTCAATTGGTCGAGTAAAAAATCAAATTTGCATAACATTTGAACAATTCGATTTTGGTTGAAATCCAATTTGCAGATTTTTTTTACTACTTAATCGTTAACAACAATGTTTATCAGAAATGACAATTTACATTTATCTATAGCTAAACAATCTTTTGTTTGTTTTTAATTCATTGGTTAAAAGTACGTTTTTTATTGTTATTTCGCGATCATGACCTTTGTCAACAAACCATTTGGGTTATTGGAGAACTAACATACAGAACTTTATTGTCTCTCATTTTCGACTTTATTTAATCACCATTGTGTTGTCTTTTATTGATTATTGTGAATAAAGGAATTAATTTAGATGACAATTGCTTTATAACTTAAAATTTTAAATACGATAAATCCGCGTTTCATATTTCATCATCAAAGACGTATCTAATTTAATTATTCCTCGGATGACAATGCGCTTAATGAGCTTATTCTTGTCAGAAAAATCTTCCAACTCGTAGACAAGGGAAGACAAATTGCGACTTGCTTGATTCACTTTCAATCGTTATCAAATATTGACAATAGGCTTTCAACTGATTTTCTTGCTCCATTGATTTCCATTTATTCGTGAAGAATTTTAGATGACATTACAAAGTCAAATTGCGCGACTCATGATTTCTTCTCCCTGCTTAAATTAATTTGCTTTCAAAAATTGTAAAGAATAAAGTTTAAAGGAAATGGAGAAAAGAGAAACAAACTTTTGTTCATGGATGATTTGATATGAAGAGATATAAAGTTCCTTTCAAAAAACGCTTTTAAGTCTTACCTTTTGATGTTGAGAGACTTTGCTTAATGCTTTTAAGCATAATTACATTATGAGCTTTATACCTTAAACGACTTTTACTTTTGATTGTGAGTACAGAGTAATCTAAGGAATGAACTAATTGAAATTTACTTATTTTTAGAACTCAGGAAATAATAAATTAAAACCGTTCAGGTCTCTTCTACTTATTTCCTTCCTCATAGGCGTTTGCCGATAATATCATAAAAGATGAAGAATTTATTATCAGATGAAAATATTGAAAATGTTGTTTGCAAGCCAAAGCTGTTGACTCTTGGTGTGAATTAATTAAAAAAAATAAAAGTCGTCGTCCTTAATGTCAAGTCGCTTTTCGTCTTTCACTCGAAGAGTCGTTGAAATGAAGCCAATGGCGAGTAATCTTCGATAATGTCTGTCACTAATTACATTAAGCTATAAATAAATTACAGCATAGCAATTGATATCGGTGGGGGATATGGAAAAAGTTAAATTTTCTTTGACGAACCATAACAAATTACTCGCTTAATTTGATCCAAATGTGTTGCTAAGCTCTCCTTTTAAGTTCAACGACATCACTTAATGTCCGAAACATAGCAAATAAGTATCAAGCGTGTTGCTACCCCATGACTTAACTTCCGTCTTAAACCCCCTCCTGATTTGTTATTTGGATTTTTAGTTAGCAAATTGAGATATTTTTCGATCTAATTGAACTGATTTATTTCTTCTCCATTTGTTACTTTCTACAAAGTGATATATTGCATGTGATATTGGAAAATACAGACTTGAAATTAAATTTCATTTGTTCATACAGTGTTTCTGGGGCTTGAGGAAAATGTCTTGCGACACAAGGAGAGAAGAAGCAAACTCGAGCAACTGGATAGCATTATTGGCGTGTCATTTACATATTAAAATTTGATTCTCTTTTCTTCTTTATTAGATATATTCGTCTTTGTCATTTTGTTTATTTGGAATTGATTGATCTGATGTCCCTTTGGAAGGGAAGAAACCTTTACCAAGGCCACAAGACCAGAGGAGTCAAAATTATTATTAAAAAAATGGAATAATTGTTTACTTCATCATTTATTAAACTTTTTGTCACATGGTATTAAGGACGTCACTCGCAAGTGAATGACAGCGAAAACATGAGAAATCTGGCGGAGAACAAACAGCAATTTGTCAACATCGTCTCAGAGACGCCAATTAATATTTCGCAATTTCGTTTCTTGTCTAAAAATCGCTTTTCCTTTCGTTAAACTCATTGAGTGAAAAATACGCTTGGATTTCTTTAAATGAAAATCAACGTTATTAATTCGTTTTTTTACAAACCATATTCTAATATTTTCAGGAATATATCTGTTTTCGAATGGAATTTGTATTTCTAAGAAGCAAATAACTGAGGAAAGAAAGGAAAAGAGGAGAAAATGGAAATGTTTCTGTGGTATGTTTTGTATTATTGTAAGATGAAGAATGAGAAAAGATTTGGAATGTTTTCGGTTTCTGTTTTCATTTTTCCTTTTCCTGATTGTTTCTGATTCCTTCTGGGTTTGTTCTATGCTTTGTTAGAGATTTAGAAGAGTTTAAATTATTTCTTCAATCTGCATAAAATAAATTTCCGATTTCAGATAAGAACTCAATGTTTGAATAAATCATTTAAAAATGTTTTTAAGAAGATTTTATGCTCAAGATATGTTTGTGCGTAAGCACTTTTTACTCAGTTACTTGGAATTTGTTTTGTAGAAGCTTAAAAATTTTACATTTTAAGATTTTCGACACGAAAGAGAATGTTATTTGAATTATGTGATTAATCCGAAGAACTCATTCAATATTTAATAAACAATTGAAGTCACTCATGTATAAACAGATAGATAAAACATTATGTTGTTATGCAACTGAATATCTCGCATTTCCCATGATACAAACTTTCACAATGAAAAAGATTTTATGCTAAACAAGCTGCGATAATTTCCAGATTTATCGCTTTCAATTTAGTTTTATTTCCCAGTTGAATTGGTGGAGAAAGTCACTAATTTATATTGAAAACAGTGAAATTTCAAATCCCAAACGATCTGATGGAAACGCATTTGCCTTGAAAACTTTATTGTACGGGTTAGAGAATTCATTGATTGTCATAAATATTAATGCCAACACACTTGCGAGTTGTGACTCAAAGATATTTAACGATTTTTCACCCCCTTCAAGTATTAAAAGTGAGAGCAAATCTCAAAACACCCAAGCGTATTAAAATTTTACGACGCCCAATAAAAGAAAGTATCAGTGGCAATTTCATCATATTTATATGTCGTTTGGTATTATGTTTGTCTCTTATCGAAAGCTCGAAATAAAAGAAGAGAAACGCGTAGAAAATATTTTAGATCAAAAGCTTTCTGCGGTTTGAGAGTTTCCCTTGATAAAATCCCAAAAATGTTCTTTGAGAAAATCATGTTAAATGAGAACTTTTCTTTCATTGTTTATCTTTTTTCTTGTGAAGAGGATTTCATGGAATGCAGCTTTAATTCATGATGGAAGGATGAATATATCTTGGTGGGATGTAAGTATGTATGCTTGTTTTTCTGGTAATGGTCTGAGATTGTTTAACGGAACAATTTACATTCCATAACGAAAGTTTTTTCTCAAGTGAAAAGATAAAACGAATCTAGATTAATTAGTTGAAGATTATAAAAGTTCTTATAAGTAACACAACTTGAGACGTCTTATACGCTCAAGATTCTATCACTATTTTGGAACTTTGTCTATGGCTCAAAAAAAAAAAATTTCTTAGCCTTTCGAAGCCAAAGCGAGAGAAGAACTTTTTCGCTTTCTTTATTAATTTCGATTGCTTTCCTTAAAATTTTTTCTCCCCATTACCAAAGCAATCCTATTCACATTAAGACTCCGCCATGCCACAATAAGCATAAAAAGAAAATATTACAAGAGGAAAAACAGAAAACGTAGGAAAAAGAGATTCGCATGAGTAAAAATTGTTCCGCTATCAGACAACTTCATGCCCTACTTGATGCCTTTTAACTTAATAAGAATTGAGTGATATTTCAAGCGAGATTAAACGATTTGCAACCTAGAATATTTTTGAAATTTAATGAATAATCTTTCAGGAATGGCATTCGTCTAAGGAAATGATAAATAATTTTAATGATATCTTTAAAGTTTAATTAGATAGATAATCTTGTGAATTTATATGTTTGATTAAACCAGGGCAAATTACTGTAATACGGTTGAGAAAGTTTCTTTTGATATTTGCTAAATCTATATACATATGTTGCATTTTCAAATCCCCTTTCATAAACCCTTAGGATTATGTGTTTATTTGCCAACAATCTCTTATAACCAACCAACCAACTATCCATGAAAGTATTCGGAAACTCTTTAATGTTTCATTTCTAATTTTCGATCAAATATCAAAAGTTAATTGTTTGCTTTAATCTAATCATTTATCTTTCTAAAACTCTCATCTAAAAGATAAACTCCCGGCTTCTATCAGATGAAGATTAAATTCAATTTTAGTTTACTCAAAACCATCAGACGAGAAGAATTAATTAATTAGAATTTTTTTTCCTAACTGAATTCTGAATAATGGGTTCGTCAGGAAATTTATTCTCGTTATGAACGCATGACGAAATAAATTCTTTTAGCTTATTCTTACATATTAGGAAATTAGTCTGCATAGATAAAAAATAAATAAATCTTTCTACGCATACATTATCTAATCTATCCCATTAATATAAATATGTTTCACGATTTTCACAGCATTTTCATTTAAATGGAATAAATCTTTCTTCCACAGGAGAGTGGATGATCGTGTTTTTGTTTCCCATGAGAAACGCTTCTCTAGTCAAAAGATTGAGCATAATTCTACGATAATCTTCTCAATACAATCCATCTTCCTTAAAGTCTAGTTCGCAACATTAAAAATCCATTAAAGCTAATCAATGGTAGAGTCGTTATTTATGAGATGTCCCTGCGAACCAACGAGTTTGTTTTGTTACATATAACTACATCTCGATATTTCTATAATTCAACTTTCATAGACAACAACAAAAGCGCAAGCTTTAACGTGTATGTTAAGTATAAATATGCTAAGCTCGCTACTCATTGATCGAGAAGTAGCATAAACCCATATTTTTATTGATTTATGTTCTAATCGCTTAATTCTACAACAATACCGCTCTCACAACTACCATTGACGCTCAAGTTTAGTATACGAAAATCACGGGATGGGATGAGCAGATGCCGGATATTTCTAAATGAATAAATTATCGCAATAAAATTTCGAGGAGAATTTCAATAATGATCAGCTTTTTGAATAATAGTGTGGGGAGAAGCAATTTAAAAGTATTATCTTCTGAATGTATCATTTGCTATTTTAAAACTCTATTTAGTTATCAGGCACAATTACAAATGTTATTAACAAAGTTGAAAGGAAATCTTTTTAAAGCACTTGGCAATGTCTAGAGAAACGTTTTAAAGTGAATCTTTAAAATAAAATGTTTTAGACTGCAAGCAGAAAAAATATGAAGATGTTCATTCAATAGCCTTAAGTTATTTGAGATAAAAATAAAAATTAAATAGCAAACATTTATCTTAAAGCTTCGTCAAAATACGATGAAAAGAGATTCTTTTCTGTTTCAAGTTGATAACTTACTAAACGTTAGTGATTTCACGGTATGAAATTCTTTCTCTTTTTGAAATTTTATCGCGAAGTTATGCCAATAAGATATTTGGAGCTTTGTACATTATGTAAAGTTTGAAAAACTTAATCAACACCTTAATGAACTCATCGCTTACAACAGTGTTATGTTCTTTTTTTTGGAAAAGCAAACAAAATACTCAGCGATCGTCAAGGCGCGATTAATTTATTCTTCATCAATTATTCAAAAAAGAATCTTTCCAGTCTCCTGGTTTGAGTTTTCAAAGTTTTACAGAATTACAAACACTTTCATTGTCCTATAATGTCTGAAACTTCTGTTTCTATTTATTATTATAAATTGCTCAGTTCGTTGTTTTGGAATAATTAATCACTTATATTTAACGTAGAACAAATTATTTTCATTTTGCTCAAGTAACAAACGAAGCAGTAAGATGAGAATGAACAAGAAGCAAGCATTAAGATGTTATAATTTCATTCATCGTTGCTATAGCGTTGCTTTCGTCGCTGCTGCTTTATTTTTCTTGTGCAAATAATCATTGTCAAACAAGACCTACATGTATGAATGATGTCTCTTGCAGGTTGTCGACATATGTACATACATATGTCTCAAGATAAATCACAATTGGAGCATTACATTACTGCCAAAGTCTTCCACTTCGAACGACTGTACGAAATGAAATATAATTAAGTTTAATGAATTATGTCCTGATGTGAATGTCGGTTAAAGCTTTTTCAACCATCATCTGTGAACTAGAAAAGCTTTGCTAAATTCTTTCTCTACTCATTTTGGAATAGATACATTTAAACTTTTATAAAACTAAAAAAAGAATTTTTTTCTTCATTTCCCTCAAATTACGAGAAGAAAGTCAAACAAAAACATGATAAAGAGAACTGAAGAAAAAGTTCCCCATGAGGTTGCTCCAAAAAGAAAATAACAAACTCTGGTGTTTTTGTTTTATTTATTTTATTGCAAATTCCCCTTTTGATAGCAATAAACTTTATATCGATCGTGTTTGTGATCGCATAAATAGAATCTTAAAGTGGCTGATGCTACTCTCTGCCTGTTTTCAATCTTCATATTTTTTATTATTCGATCATCTCAAAAGATTCAATCGAGATTCAATTGAAATCTTGTTTTTATTCATTTTCACACATGCATGAACTTCAGTGATGCTGTCTGGTACTTCTCACAAGAAGCTTTGACTTTAAAAGAGAAATATTAAGTGATTATTTATTGAGCTTTGACAACACTTGAGCATGAATATTTCAATATGAAGCTTTCGATTATGGGATACGAATTTGTCGGGTTGGCATGAAAGATCGAAGGAAATGAATTTTCCTTAAAGATGAGGTCAGAAAACCATAAGATGTCTTAGGAAATCTAGAGGAAACTATGTAGTTTAACTTCATTGTTATCTTTAACGCTATTAAGATGAGCTTTAAAAATAACTTTTCTCATGCACTGCTTGGAAACTCTGAAGATGAAGAAATAAAATTGAGCCAACATTAATAAGACGATGCGAAAAGAACAGAAAGAGGAAAAGAAGTAAACTTTTGCATATCCGAAAGCAATTTATGAGGCAAAAAGAAAGTTTACCCTGAAAATCAACCATAGGGGAGGAGAACGGGAGTAAAATATGTTTCAGTGGCATAAATTTATGTTGTTGTGGACGTCTGTAAATATTACGATTTATAAAACTTTTTCACAGCTTTTCTTGTTAAGATTGTGTCAACTCGAAGTCCGTTTGAACTTTTTTTCTTTTTTATTTTTTTTGAAACGTCCAACGCTTTGACGCCTTCATAAATTTTCCTACAAAATACAAAATAATTAGAATCCAGCTTGCGAAAATGTGATTTGTTTTCGTATCTCAATTTCCGTTTCGGTCTGCTTTTGTAGTTTATACTTTGTATCTTGATTTATTTCGATCGGAAAACATTTTCATTGAGTGCTAATCTTGCGACCGAGAAAGTTAAGATGACCCCATTGATTTCCTTTTTTCCCCTTTCGACTTTCTTTATTTTACTCTTAAGAGAAATGAGATGGAAACAAACTTTCATTTTTCGTTCTTTTCAAGCTTTTTTTTCGATTCCTTTAAAAGGTTTCCTTGCTCTGTTATTTAAAGCACAAATACATGTATCGATGTAGGAATAGAAACTGTGAAAGAAACGAAAAATAAGAATGATGATGGGTTTATTATGCGAAGCAAATGGTCAAGAATGTTCAAAGAAAGAGCAAAAGGCTGAATTCCTAACAGATCGGAAAAAACACAAGAATCCTTTTAACTTATTTACTTTAATCGTTGCATCAATTGAACTCTTTTTTTTCCTTCCCACTACTTATCTTACTCAATAATGTGGCTTAGGAGCGTAAACGAAGGCAAGAAAAGTTAAAATGATGATGAAACTTTTTTAAACCTTATTTATGAAACATAAATATGAAATTTATTCAAACGTTAAACAAAATCCCATCTTGTTTCAGAAGCAAATATGAATAAACTATCACTTTAACAAAGCACGTCTTGGGAAGAATGTGAAGTCTGTAAAAAAAAGAAAAAAAAGTTTTCTTCTTAATGTCCAATGAATCATACATACAAGGAATATAAATAAAGATTTACAGCTTCATCTTTGCAATAAGATATTATTAGAGCGTGCCTATATCTGTGCTTCTTTTATTTTGTCTTTCCTTCCTAACCATTACTCGAATGTATGAAGAGTTTCTCCTTATACACGATGAGAAATATTTAACACGAGGCAAGGGGAAGTTTCACTAAATTCTTAGTAAATTGCTTAAAGTTTCAAACTTTTGTATAATTAAACTTTTATAAAATCACTCTCATCTTCAAAAGTTTTAAAAGTTATCTAATGGAACCTTACTTTGGTCATTCCAATGAACTTCCCCTTGGTTTATGGAGTAAAGGGAAAGATATCGATCTGGGAGAACGAACATGTTATCGTGTAAATAGATCTTAATATCGTCTTAAGATAGAAATTGAGACTGATAAAGCTTTATTTCATCTCATAAATGCAAAGATTCTTCCGCTTGAAATGATGATGATTAACAGTACCAAATTTATGTGTGAATCGAGCTTCTAAATAATTTATTTAAGCTGTTTGAACTCATTGAATTTTTGCTGACTTCTTTGCAATTTCCATTCAATAAAGTGATGTTACATTTAAGTTTAACAGAATGCTATTCAAAATCAAGTAGATATTGAGAAAAGGATTAATTTGATAATCAAGTGGAATTCAAAAGGAATCATTTTTTATCTCAGATCTTCTTATTTTATTTCATACAACCAACCTGTAGATATTTGCTTGTCAATAGCGAAATTTCTTAAGAGAATTTCACGCTTCCTTTACGACCTGTCTAAATTAAATAAGAAGAAAAATATTTAATTCAAGTTAAATGCTACAAATTTTCGAATTTACGAAGCTGAATCAATTATCTCCTTTTGACTTCGTAATTTCCATAATTTAAAGCTATTTTGTTGAGATCAGCTGTCTTGTATTTAAATTGGATTTTTTTAAATCTCAATTTTTCATTTCTGCTTATCTCTTCGCTTTTCCATTTGCTGAATCTGTCGCTGTTTTCACAGATAAGAAAAATCCTTTCGGAAAAAAGGAAATAGAAATTTTCTTTCGAATTAAGTGTTGGAAAATTCTCTCACTGTCGTTATTTAGTTAACAATTATCAAGTCTCCTTTATTCTTCCTTACCATCCTTCGTTTTAGAAGAAAAATATCCTTATCGATACTCATCTTTCGTCTTTCCTATCACACGATATTCATTCAATGATATTTCTCTTCCCACTCTTTGAAGATTGAATGAACGTAAAAAATATAAATCAAGTTTTATGTCAGTTTCATTCGATTGTCGTTTTCATCGATTATATTTTCTCTATAAACTCTTTAGGAACTTTGCTGCCGTTCTCATTGTAGTTGGTTGATGGAATGGGTTGCCAATTCACAGCACACTTAGCAATAATAAAAGTAAAGTAAATGAAGATTACTGACTAAATTTCGAGATGAAATATTTCTCATTGATTCAAGCGATAGTTTGTTGGTAGCAGCACATGCTTCCTTCTCTATTAAATATTTTTATTTTCCACTCTCTAAAGTACCAAATCGAATGGAAAATGAATCGAATAATCAATTTTCTTTGTTACTTAACATTATTCTAATGATATGAAGAAAGAAAATTGAATGATCCATCAAATGATGTCAAGCTTTGAATTTTCTCTTAAACATCGTTCTGTAGTTGCAAAGCAATTTAATAACAAGAAGAATCAATGAAAAGTATCAAGAGAAAAGTTTAATCTTCTTCAGTTTTTAATTGAAAAACTCACTCACATTTTGATTGATGTCGATCATTCGAACTCAATAATCTTTTCCAATAAAATAATTAAGATATAAAACTGTTGCAGAAAGAACAGAAAAACCCACAATTAAAATTAATTTTTTCTTGAAATTGAAAATTAAACCTGATCAAAAAAAAAACACAAAATAGTTTCAATTGCTTGAAAGTGAAGATTACTTGAGCTTAAGTAATAATAAAAAAGAGCTTTGATCTTTGTCATAGTAACTTCATAAGCCTTAAAAGGAATATTTTCATAGCTTCCATCCAGAGATTACAAAAAAATAATAAATTTTAATTATTGTTGAGCAGTTTAGAGTTTGGGAAAATGTTCGCTATTGTCTAAAGTGTTTTTCTCTTATTTTCTTTCAATGTTTTTACATTGTTTCTATATTAATGGATAATAAAAACAAAAATTTCTGTTTTAATGGCAACTAAACTTGAAAGTTAAGTTTTTTCATTCATATTTTTGTTTAGTTTACTTTTTCCCTTCTTTTGCTTTGTGTTTCGATGCTCTGAAGCGAAACGCTTTCGAATGCCATGAAATTATTAAATTGTGAAGAATATTCACAAAATTCTTGGGAAAATTTGTCATTGAGGAAAAGTTTTAAATTGTTGCTATGAAAATTCCATTGAATATATTAAGAACAATAATTAAAGTGACATTAATCAAAGAAAGCTTTTCGTCAGTTTTTATTGGAACTTAAGGGATTCTTTCTCATTTTCTTTAAGTAGATAATTGTCCAATTACTTGCGGAAATAAGAGGAAAACTTAATTAAACTTTCATTTTCTAAACTTTACTTCTTCTAGGAAAATTTTATTCTTAATTTAATTTTTATTATTTAATGACTCAAAAGTAATAGCAGAAACATTTCAATTTTTTTTAGCTTTCGAGAATATTCTCCACCAACCTTAATTAATTAACAATGACATTTAAAGCAAAATATATTAAATACTGTTGTCAGCTCATAGTATTCATGAGAATCACAATGGTTTTTGTTACGAGTTTCTGTTAATAACTAGGAAGGTAGCCTGCTTCTTTGTAATTATGTCGATTCATGTTCAGGCTTTTTCATCAAGAGTGAACATCGTTATGGTTCTTGTGTGCATTCACTGCATCATTGTCAATGTTATCATTTTTCACAACGATATTCAAAACATTTTTTCCTACTAACTTTAAATATTTGTGAATTGTTCTCTGACGCTTCGGGAAAATTGTTTAAACATCCAAGTTCTAGATTTTCCTTTAAACATTCATGAATAATTTTCTTTGGCTTCAATGTGATTTATAAAATCACTCACCATTTTGTTAAATTCTTTAATAGAAAATTGTAAAACTAAAATCAAGGAAAATGAGTCGTTGAAGAATCACTTTTTCCATTATAATTAACTTCACTGCGCATAGACCGCTTTTACCATTCTCCAAGCGTTCTTGAGTTTATTTTGTCACAAAACTTTTTCCGTTTTGCGTTGTCGGCCCTCAGGGAATTTTCTCATTTCGCTTTGTTGGCTAGTTTCCCCGTCGTGAGACAGTAAATTTCTTTTTCCATAGTTATGGAAGCACATTTTCCGGTTTCTTCCCTCAAGTTAAGTTTGTCTTCCGGAGGCTCTTTGCAGAATCACTTCGAGTTTTAATGTTGAAGATTGTTCAGCTTCGAGAGTTTACACGAGAGTCTATTTGTATATTTTTTGTCAAATATTTGGATAACAATATGATGACATATTTCATCAATTCTATTGAAAGTCTTCAACAAATTACTCGGGAGTGTTTGATAAGATGATGAACTAAATTTTAGCTGTATAAAAACTTTTTATAGTCTATTTAGGTCAATAAAAATTCTTCCTGAACTCTATTGATGTTTTCTTTCATGTCTTTTTAAAAATTCCATCTTGTGAGTTCTTAAAAATAACTAAGCGTCTCAGTATTATTCCAACCTACTTCCTGGAATTATTTTGCAGAAAAAAGTTTAAATTCATAGAAAAAAAATAATTCAAGAACTCTATTTACATAATTTATTCACAATAAAATTTAAAAAGTATTTCTCAAATCCTCATGCTACTTTTAATTATAATCTTAAATAAAACGTTGTCAGAACAATTACTCAAAATCATTGGTTCACGAGGATACTTGTGAGAATTGTTTCTACCGTCTCTAAGGCATGACAATGTCTGGATGGCTACTTCATTTGAAATTTCAATTTACTTTTAAAGGTAATTGAATTTTATACTCATTCAAAAGCGAAGTGTACAAGAGTTACCTAGAAAATCTTATCATCTGTGGCTGGATCTTTTCTTACAACATCGTCTCATCCTTTTAGTTGTCCTAGAAAAGAAGAAGACGAGAAATTATTTTCTTGATTTTTCTTTTTGCTGAAAAAGTTTCTAGTACCGGAGGTCACAAATTTGAGCCTTTTCTGAAGCTTCTTTATTGAGTTTCATATTTTTCGTTACTAGCAAAACAACATTACTTGCCGACAACATGATATCTAAATAGAAGTGAAATCTCCTTGGGGAAGCTGACCAGTTTGAAGACGATACCGATGTAAGATCTAGGAAGAGAGATAAAAAAAAAGTTAACGAGTTTCGGAATCTTCTTCATGTTCTCGTTTGGAGATTTTTCGCGTTGCTTAAAAATAAGAAAATAAAATATCATTAATTTAGAAGTGGAAAGAGGAAACCAAAGAAAAATGATTGCAGCATAACTGAGCAATTACAGAAATTAAATTTATTTGAAAAATATTTTTATTTGTGTTAGAGCAAATTTATTTTATCTATATTTTTAAATAAAAATGTTTCTGCTAGTTAACTACCTATCTAGGTAGGTAGTTTGTGAAACGTGTGAGATCAAAGTGCATTTATTAAATTTATTCTGTGTTTCCATATTTTTGCAATGCCTGCATTTTCAACTCTTTAAATACTGAAAGAGACGTGACAGAGCTGTAGAAAAAATATTTAATAAGCTTAAACTCGGCATTCAACGGTCTCGACGTTGCATTTAACATTCCATAATTCGATATCTCACGTTCTTTCCTTTTGGACTAATCTTCCCCAGTGATATTCCCAGGTGTCCTCGAACGCTTTACAGAATGATGTCTGTGATGAAGGCACTAAAATTTTCATTTCATACAAGTTATGTGCACACTGGGAAACATTTGTAGAGTTTTTATTGTATAACAACAAAAACTTAGATTAGTCTGAAAATTTTTGTGTCGAATAAGATATTTAGCAATAGATAGTAAAAGTGATATCAAAATGTTAATTTAAAATTAAAAACGTGATTCTAAACCAAGGAAGTCTTGTGTAATTAACAAAGAAATAAAGGAAAGCTGAAATTTTTATTCATTTTCAAATGAAAAAACTTTGTAAACAAATCGGAAAATTTTGAAAATCCTTAATTTATTGTCTTTGAACCCTCATTTAAGCATTAGTAATGATTATGATGAATTGTTTCAAATGTAAAGACATTGTCCTGGATTAGAATCTGCATTTTTCGTAATCGAATCATTCTTAGGAAAATATGAAAAAAATTATTTTTGTCCTTAAGTTTATGCTTTCTTTCTTTGAGGTGAAAATTTAGTAATTTTCTTTCCAAGCGTTAGTGAATTGAATAAGCTTATTGATTTACCTGAATCCTGTTACTTCTAAAATTCGTGACTTCAATTCTTAACTAACAGAGCAAAACATTTAATTTCAGTTATCCTTAAATTAAATAAGATGCCAGTGAACGAAACTAAGTCATAAATGTTTCTTGATGCATAAAATATTGAAGTTTTCTGAAGCTCAGTGGAAATTACCGATTAAACAAGCTTGTGTGAAGAGAGAAAAAAAGATTTTTATTTGAACTCCTCGGCAGGACCGACTGTGAAAAATACTCAAGAATATTTATTATGACGTTTGCATTTGCTTTGAAGAGGAGACAAACAAAAAGGTGATTTTTAGCTTTTATTCTCATACTAGAAGTTTAAGAGTGTGGATATATAAAACAATGAATAATTCATTATTAACATATAATCAACATGCACATAATTTCACAATAAATTTATTTCCTTGTTCTTCCTATAACAAAATTCTTTTGTTCTTTCATCATAAAAAGAAAAAACGTAAACTGAAAAGTTTTCGCAATGGCGATTCAATTGTTCAAAAGCATCCTTTACCCGTTACTCGCTACTATTGGATGGCCTGGGTTAATTCTAACTTTTTACGTTTTTGACTTGTAAGTAATCCAATTAAAAACATTCATAAATATGAATTTTAAAACTTATGTTGCATCATCAAAAAAATAATTCCTTGCATTTGTGAGTTTCGTTGGTAGAATTATTAGCTTACTACCTTTATGAGTTTTATTTTTCTTTTGTTACCGTTTAAAGCACTACAATGCTTTCATCATATTTAGAAGAGCACATTTAGGTCATTTCAAGAGAATTTCTGTGTTTATTATTTATGTAAATATCAACAGAAAGCAATCAGCAAAAATTACTCTGCAGCTTGCTATAATAACAAAATAAACTATATTAAGCTATTTTCAGGCGAGAACTTAAGTCATTAGGTTTCGTTTACAGAAGAATGCTTATCCAGCTGTTTACAAACTTGCACTTTAAAATTCTCGTTTTTTTTGTTTGCAAATCCCAGACTAGACAGCTTAAACTTCAATAAAAGTTTTTATCAATCCCTATTCGTCCTTAAAATTCTCGGTTGCAATGTCTCGTTCTATCTTTTGTTATTAACAAGTTTTATGCTATCTTTCATTTCTTACGTATTGTCGTTTAGTAGCTTGAACAGATTGAATGTTGCTAGACTTAAAGACGTGCCTTGAAGTTGGCTGAATGCTTTTATAATGTCGAATACAGATGCTGGGACTTTTGTTGACTGTTTTCGCTCGAAAATCATTAAATGGAATCAATGTTGACAGAGTTTCCTTTATTGTAAACTTTTCATTCAACTCACATCACACTGTTGCATCATAATTTAATAAACTTATCAGACAGAGGTTGTTCTCTTATTTCTTCATTCACTCTGCTGTCATTTGTTCTTATAAATATTGAGCATTGTCAAGGCAGAATAAATGATTATGTTGTATCGTAATCGTAAACCAATTTGTTACAGAATATTGTTCAATGCCCTGAAGTTACTGCTGATTGGCTGGTTTGGTATCTTCATTATTCTGCCCTTGATCTTCAAATTTTCCTATCCACTTCAGCGTGGAATGCTGTTCTTGAACTTCAGTGAGTATTGAAAATTTATTTTCTTATTTATCTCTAATCTTATTCCTACCTTAATTGATGATGCAATGTCAGAAGAGATCTACGACTTTTCCTTTTTTTCCATTTTTCCTTAAATTCAAAACCTTTTGGGTGCTTTGGTCTGGGGATGATAGTAATAGATTTAAATAATTATCCAATTAAAACTTAACCATTTGGAAAGTTGACGCTGAAATATTAAGGCCAAACTTTACTGGTCGTAATTTCAGTGCCCTATAACGAATTCAGCTAAATAAAAGAAATATCTTCACGGTCGGCAATAAAAATTGTCTTTAATCTTTGCTATCTTTAAGCGAAGTGGAGATAACAGAATAAAAACGAAATAGAAAGAGTTTTCTGGTCATTGCCGTTATGCGGTGAAATGGCCATTTAATGCTAGAAGAAGGAAAAAATGAGAAAAATTCTTAAACGAAATGGAAAAGATTTGAAAATAACAGCACGGGAAAAGTCTTGGAACTTTCATTGCCTGACATTTTATCACTGAAGCGCTTAGATAAAACGAAAGTTGTATGTAGAAATTTTCTTCTTATCTACCTAGTTTCGTGTAACTATTATATGTGAGTGTGTGTGCGTGTGTTGTGCTTAAAAAATTAATCTTGTTGCCCCCTATTTTTCTTACTTGTCTTCAGTGTCTATTGACAAGAAACACGTAAAAGGTAAAATGTTTGTCGTTTTAGAAATGAACACTTAGCAAGTAAAACAAAAGAAAAAAAAATTCAATTTCGTAGATTTTTCTGTTTTTGATTGCAAAAGATTTCCTAACAAATTCTTTCAAATTTGATTATGTCACTATTGGCACTTTTTGTCCTTTTTATTTTTTCCTTTCGAAATGAAATTGAAAAGCTCGAAGGTTTCTCTAAGAAGGTCAGAAGGTTTCTTTTTCATTCCTTTGCACGAACCGTAGAAGTGTCAAGAACAAAAAACTTTTCACAAATAAAATTTGGATATTCTTTTTTAAATTTCTCTTTAAGTGGATATTTATTCTAATAGGATTATGATGAGAAATAGTTTCTGTGGATTAAAGAGAGAGAACACAGTAGATTAGTTTGGCGAATGAAAAAAGTTCAAAAAAAGTATTTTTTCCTCTTATTTTTAACGCAAATAAATGCTTCTGAACGTAAAATTAAAAAAGTTTTCAATATTTGCTTTAGAGTCATAGATAAAATATCATTTGATTGCTTTGCCTTCACTTACTCAGAAATTTTCATTTCGTTTGCATGCGCAATTTATTTTTCTGTAGCAGAGAGAGAGTTTAAGTCGTAAATAAGTAAATTTATCTTTGTCCTAAGAAGAAAGAAGGAAATATTTTCATTTCAACTTTAATTATTCGAGAAGTTTTCATCCTGAATTAAACATTTTTCGCTCTGTTTTGAGAATAGGGAATAGCGACAAAATTCTATAGAACGTAAGCAAAACTAATTTTCCGTTGTCTGTTTCTTCATTTTCCGCTATCACAAAAGTTTCCTACCCATCGAATTTGGATTTGACAAAGCCGGAGGCTTTGGGACTATACGCCACAAGGCATTTCCATTTGACTCACGACGACGATGAAAAGAAAGTCACAATTGCGGCATGGCATGTCGTCCCAAATCACATAGCAAAGCGTTTTCATAAGCAATTGCAGCTCAGCCCAGAGACAGTCAAGAATATAACAAATGATATCTATTATAATGCAAATTATCAAGATGATCCGGCTGAGCATAGCTACAAGGTCATCGAGAAGATGATTCACAGCAGCTTTGATGTGAACAATGAACGAGACAAAAACGATTTATTTGAGGAAATCTTGAGGAAGACTAAGGATCCCATTGTACTTTACCTCCATGGAAACACCGGAAGTAGAGCAAATGGGCATCGTGTTGATTTATATAAAATTTTAAGACGCCTCGGGTGCCATGTTATTGCATTCGATTACCGGGGATTTGCTGATAGTAGTGATGAAAGTCCAACAGAGAAAGGTTGCGTTAATGACGCTTTGGCTATGTATCAATACATCAAAAATCTGACAACAACAAGTCCCGTCTTTGTTTACGGTCACTCATTAGGTGATTCGATTAAGCAAAAGCTTTAATGTCCAAAACATCAACTTTGCTTTTATATTTATTCACTAGGCACTGGAATCAGCCTCCATATGGCCTCAATTGTCAATAAAAGTAACATCGACAATCCTAAAGGTGTTATACTTGAAGCGCCATTCAATAACATGAGAGACGAAGTCATCAAACATCCTTTTTCTTGGGTAAGTTTACCTTCTTCACGTAATCACGCTCAATCTTCTATCCCAACTTGTATGAGAATGATGAATCGACAAGACTTTCATCTTGTGAAAGAAAATACAAAAAAGAATCCTTAGCGTGACTTTAATCAAACCTACAGAGTTTTGTGTGTTTTTTTCTTCCTTCTCCGGTATGACAAATACTGATAAATTCTACTTGAACTCTTTTTCCTTTTTTTTTTTTGACAGCTCTTCCGTAATTTGCCTTGGTTTGAAACGACGATCCTAAAGCCAATTTATGAAAATGGCTTTCGATTTGAGTCGGATCAGCGTATATCAGAATTTCGTTCTCCGGTTATGATTCTTCACGCAGAAAATGATCGAGTTATACCATATGAGTTGGGTTATAAACTTTATCGTACGGCTTTAGAGACGAGAGGGAAGTCATGGGGACCAGCTGAATTTCATCGATTCGAAGAAAAGTATGGCCACAAATTTATTGTTAGATCTAAAAACTTTCCCTCAACCATCGATCAATTTATTCGAAGATATAAGAATGAAACTTATTAACTTGCTAAATGAATTAAAGTGACTACATTGTAATTCACTTTCACGTTTGGTGATTGATTATTTATAAATTCTTCCGTACATGTATTTAGATAATTTAGAATTCACCGCAATGTTTCATTAGAAACATCGTTGATTTAAATCGAGACTGAAATCAACTTTTCCATTTTTTTTCTTCAATTTCCTTTTCGTGTTTTATTTTATTTAGTCATTCAAGGCTTTTCGTCTTCCTTCGTTCTCTTTTTTCTTATCTATTCTTCCGTCGAAATAAGCTTTAATTCCCCAAACAATGCTCTCCATAGATAAGATGAAAAAGTTTGAAACAAAAATTACAATGTTAAGTTGTACGAGAAGCGAATAGAATGCCAATAGTTGATAGATATGAGAAAACTTTATGCTTTGTGGTAAAAATTGTTTCAGCATGAATTATCACGAACAATTCTCATTGTTTGTAATTTCATTATAAAAGTAAAAGTTGATAAGAGTTGAGAAAACAACTTAACGCGTTCTTCTGCGCTCTCTCTCTTAGAATAAACTTTATTAAATAGATTCAAATTTCATACCAAACTTCATTGTCAAAAGAAAATTAAATTTAAGTTAATAATGTAATTAAGTGAATTGTGATCAATTACGTGGGTGGTGCGGTTAGTAGAAATGGAACGTTCGAATAAATCAAATCTCTGAATAAAAGTATCACTTATTACGATTTAATTAAATAGGCTAACAGTTTAAGCACCAATTTGAATCCTTTTTTCCGTAAAACAAACCAAAATGCAATATGCAAACATAAATATTTAATGTATTTGTAAATAGATAATAGAATTTAAAAAAGGAAATAAAAATAGCTTTAAATTCAATAAATGAAAACAATACAAAATTAAATTTTTGACAGCTGTTCATGTTGTTAGAAATTGTTTTAATTCAAGTGTTTGTACAATTGAGCTTCGAGTGTTTTGATAGAAAAGAGTTAAACACAATAACTTGAAGCATGACAGCGAATATTCAGTAGGAAATGTAATGATTGAAGGAGACGCCTTTCCATTGCTCCATTAAAATAATTTAATAACTGAGCTTACTTACTGTCTCCATCTCTCTTTCTTTATTTTAGTTTATTTAGGATTTTTTAACCCCAGCCATTAGGTAAGATAAAAGAACAACAAATTCCAACCATTTTCAAGTTAAATGGACTCTAAGTTAAACCTTTTTGTTCTTTTCTTATAAAAATTCTTTTTCAATGGAATTTTGAGATTATATTCCTAAAAAAGTTTAATTTTTTTTTATTTTCAAGGGTTTGGAAGCAAGAGATGAGCGGACTTGATTTACTTAGCCCTTTTTTCTTTGAATTTTTTTAAGGCACTTAGAGAACTTGTTATTTAATTTGACGTAAAAAATGTCACTGAAATTCCGGATACAAGTTTAATAAAGTTTTTGCGAGGCGAGGAAACCGAAAAAGTGAACTGCATATGACATGAGATGACTAATAACTCATACTTTTCCTACACCAGAATTTACGAGTTTCTAGTTTATGCGTTGCTGAGAAACGACCATTGCAAAAATATGTTTTGGATAGATGAAATGCGTCGCTTGATTAAATTCTTCTATTTATGACAGATTTCACAAATTGAATCGGTTATGAAAAGCTCTTAAATTTTATCTAACTAAACCATTCAAAAAAAAAAAGAATAATGAAAGAAAGGAAGCAACATATTTCATTTCACGATGAGACTCTTGAAAATTCACAAGTTCATGATGAAACTTTTTCAGCAGATAGAAACTATTGAAATAGGAAAAGCAAACTTCACCACATTCTCGCTTTTTGTTCCATTGAATTTTGCATTTGGGATGAAATAAATATTCAATTATATTTCGGTTACATTTCGTACGTGAGTCGTGAAGGGAACAAAAATCATATGACATAAAGTTTTAGTCTTTAAGATCTAGGATGACTACCAACTCTTAAGATCTCATGCTTTTCTACCATAAACATACAAAAGCCATGCATAATGCTTCAGCTAACTCCCTTGAGTCCCGTTTATATTTCAGTTGATGAGATTTTCTCCTTAGATAGCTCCATTCCAATTTCCATTGAATTTTATCACAACATTCTCATCCACCTACAACCGATAGATGTCAATCAGGTCTTAAATTTTGTTTTATCCTTTGAAAAAGACCCCAATAGATTCTTGATTGAAACGTGTTGCCATTTTGGGATTCTCTGACATACTGAACATGAAGCAGACATTTCAAAAACATTTTTCCCAACCACTAAGTGCTTACAGCAGAAAGATTTTCTTCTTTTTCTTCTCTCAAATCAACTGAGGTTGAAGCGAGTTATTTGATCTATGTTTCCTTCACTTCCTTTGGTAGTTTTTCTTTTTTTTTTATTCAGAGTGTCGTTAACTTTTCCTGCTCATTTAACTTTAAATCGACCGCACAGACACATCCGTTCAGTATTTTTACTCAGACATAGATGATGCAGTTTACTTTCAGTTAATTGTTTGAATGCTTCAACCATTTGAATAAATTAATTAAAGCCTTTATCTGCAACATTTCATCGGATAACAAGGAAGAATGTGGAACGTTTGTGTGTTAAATGAAAAGGCTTTCAAAGATTTAAAGCTTGGATAAAATAATAATCTTGATTAGCATCATAAACCGTCGTAAAACTTTACCAATGAAGTCATTAAAGTTGACGATAGTCCATGAAATGTCATAAATTCTACAAATGAATATAATTTCGTTTGCGAAAGTCCTCCATTCATAAAATAGCAATGAATGAAGTATCGCGCCAACAACCGCAGCTCGTGCATAAATTTCTAACGAAAAATGCATTCAATTTATCATTTTTATTTCAATCTCCCTCCCACGGCTCATGATTTTTTCCCATCTACAGTAAAAACAGAAAGCCTGCGATGAAAACAGAAATATAAAAATCGTTGCGATGAACGCTAAAAAATTTATGCTTTCCGGTCTTGCGAGTGTTGCGTATGTTGTGCTTTTTCACTGCTCTGACAACTTCTCGATAGGTAAAGTAAATTCTTGTTATTTATCAGTAAAATCAAGGCTTTTCATTTTATCGTCTGAAAGAACATTTCGAGTCATAAAATTAATAGAGTATTGACAATATCAGAGAAAAAGAGAAAATTTTAAACAATCTCAATAAAAATGTAAATTATTTACTTTGACTGGATTACCTCGGAAGTGTAACACAAAAAATGAGTGACTCAACATCTCCTTGATGCTCAGATCTAACACATTTTGTTTTTTTTCTCAAAGAATTCTTTCGTGCGAGTAGAGTCGTTTATTCTTGTTTTATTTTTTCTCCTTTGCGAATGATAAATTCATCTTGCAGTCTGCAAGAAACTGACGACATTTTCAGAATAAAGGAGAAGCTTATTTTATTATATTACGTGACGTAAATGTCGTGATAAAAATGAGAAGGAAAAACAGAAAAGAATGTGTTGCAAATAAATAGAAAAGATTTTCATTCTCTCATGTATTTTATAACACTTTTCAGGAAAAATAAAATTTTCACCTATTTTCACCTATAAACAAGATTTTGACACATCTTGGTGAATCTCGAAATAGTTTTTCTCTCTTTAAAGCTTCAGTTCTGGTGGAAATTTAAATTCATGATTGCTTCGATGTTTTAAATGTTTTTCATTGTATTCAACTCACATAAATCTCGAAATGTTCCACAGCAGTTTGCAAATTAATTTAAATAGAAGGGTTTTGTTAGAAACTACACTTTGAGGATTAACATTCTTTCATTCATTTCATTTATTTAATTTACTCCACCACAAGGGTTTTCCAGAGTTGCAAACTCAGCTAATTCTTCGCTATTGTTTGATTTCTCGCGGAACTTTTTAACATTCAACTTTTCTCAAGCTACAAACAAAAATTAAATTTTGTTAACATTTAACGGCTTCAACATATTTACGTTAGCATCCATAAAAATATAAACAAAATGTGTTGAAGTATTTTAAGACATAATTTTCTTTTCTAACAATGTTTATTAATGTTTTTCTAAGATTTAAAAATGACGAAGTTCTTCAAACATAGCAAAGTAAGCTTTTTATCATTACAGAAATTCTCATTTATTGATTAAAGTGCAGATTTTCTGACAAAAGTCAATTGGATTAGGCAACAAAGTATTCCTTTCAATGACTAATCAATTTTATGGGGATTTGAGTTATCTGAACTAATAATTATAATTAATTATGCTTCATTGTGTTAAGTCATTAGTAGAATTTCAATGTAGATTAGAATTCAATGATATCAATACAATTTATTATGCGAATATATGCATCATTTTGAATGAACTTAACTAGATAATATGAAAGAAAATTAATTTTACAAAATATCAATCGAACTCGACAACTGAAATTCTGTTTGCCTTTTTTCAAATAAAAGTTGAACAGCATGGAGATTAACTTAAATGAAATGGTTTTTCATTCAGCTTGTTTCTCGTATGGTAAATCTGCTGAAAGCTTTTTGAGTTTTAAATGTGGAAAAAGTTCTCTCGTTTTTATTCGAAATGTAAAATTCATTTGACATCACCATATTTAAGAAGTTTAAATGAAATTTTCAATTACAAAATGGTAAATCGATTTCTTCAAATAAATTTCCTCTCATGGATGTTTATGTTCATTTAGTTCTTCATTTTTTTTACAGAGTTTTTCTACTTTCTCTCTTTCACTCGCTGCGACATTTATTTGACAGCTGATTGCTGACAGCAGTGATAAGGTTGAAGTTCAAATATAAACGCTTCGTCTAGTAATTTCCCCACTTTGACATCATCGTCCGTCATGATGATGTTGACAACAAATTTTCCTTGAAGGCTTGTTTAACAATTCACAATGTTGCGTGCGTTGAGAATACTTACATCATTTGTAAAGATTTTTTGTCACTACATGTCACTACATCCTTGAACTGATGTGCTTGCCTTCTCTTCTATGACGTTTAAAAATAGAAAAATCGTGAACAAAAAAATCTTTCATCACAGCGACAGACTTTACATTTTTTTATAGCTCAACGAGGTTCATTTAACTTCATCATAACACGAAACACTTTTTTATTCAATGGATGACTTTCGACGCGATATCGCGTCATCATTAAAGTCACTTTTTATGCTCAAAAGAGCTTCTTCCTATAGATTCGTTTTCATCGTAATCTCTGACCCGAAAATCCATTTTTATTACGACAAATGCGACCAACAAGAAGAGAAAACTGTGATATCGCTTCCATTTCTTTCTCACAAAATAAAAAAAAATCTGCCAAGATTGGTTGTTGTGTAAGAAAGGGAAGAAAAAAAAGCTGAAATATTACTCAACCGCATTAAACACTCATAAAAAATTATGTATTTTCTCAACGTATTTTTTTCTTGCTCCTTTTCTTTTTGTCACTTTAGAAAAATGATGCACGCATTATATTTACAGCAACAATAAAAATATAGCATAAAAAAGTGAAATGTTATCTTGAAAGAAAAGTGAACATGTCAGTAGCATAACAAGTCAAAGAGAAAGGAACAAGAAAGTGAAAACAGCTCTTCATACATTTTACGTCTTGTCTTGTATGTTATTGATAGCAGCAAACGAACGTTGATAGCAATTTTGAAACTTAAAACCTTATTAATATGTGGATCGCAGAATATTTCGTAAACAGGAATATTAATATGACATATATTAAGCTTTTCAGCTCGTTTATTGTCAAAGAATTTAAATATTTCTTTTCCACCAACAGCATCAACAACAAACTTTAATTTTTCATGAATACCAGAAACAACGCTAGAGGGTGAATAAATATCATTTTCCACAACCCGCTCTTTCAGCTAACTTTTTGATTTAATTTCATAACTTTTTCACACATGCTTAAAGAAACACGAGTAAGAAAGCAGAGTGATAAAACGTTGGTCTGAGGTCGTAAAAGAAGACACAACGACACTTTGTTTTTGAATCACAAATCGAGTTAAAATCTTGTTATTTTGATGACAATTCATCACACCACATTTAAGAACCACACAATCCTTATAAACGTTCGACCACAGGCTGTCATGCGAACGTCATTGACACCCAAACAGCAAAACTTTCATCCTTTTGTATGTTTGAAAGGGAAGAAAAGTTTTATTTCTCGTCTTTCTTATTTTCATTACCACATTAGGGTCAGACTTTAGTTTGAGTTGACTCTCCACAATCTCTAACTATAATTCGTTATTTATTACCCCAGACTTTATGGTATTATTTGGCTCCAATCAGAAACATTCAACATAAGGAAGAGAAGCGAGTTGGAAAAGCTTATAGCTTAAGATGTAAAAAGGTAGACCCTTTAATTTTCCAAATGAGCCCACAGGAAGTTTCATAGAAAAAAAGAATATTTCTTTTTTATTGTGGTTGAATGAGCAAAGATTAGAACCTTTTAGCCTCTGAGAATTGATGATATGATACATAAAATGCTATGGTTTAGTGGCGATGAAATAGAACCTTCAACAGAAAAAAAGCATTCACAATGAAGAAGGCATAATAGAGTATGGTAAAAAAGAGAAGAAAAAAATTGAACAATTCCCATAACGAAGCATATTGTTAGAATCACTAGTTTAATGGGTTGTCAGGGATTTACTTTCCTTTCTATCAAAGACTTAGTCATGTTCTCTGTCAGGGTCGACATGATGATGAAATCACCTTGTTAAATTTGAAATGTTCGAAAGGCGAAAACACATTGATGGAGGTTTTTTAAATCAACATAATTGCGAATGGTGGTATGAAAACATTTTAAGATTCCACATCAAATATTATCTCAGTGTTTTCTTTTCAAGAAATTACGTTGAGGTTTTTATCTTGAAACGAGGTGTTTCATAAAAATGTAAAAATGCTCTCATATACCTTTTAGGAAGCATTTGTGAGGCATTTAAGTTTCCAAGTTGCGGTTTTAAACATTTACCAGCACTTTATTTTCTAAAAACACTTACAATGTTAAGAAAGGTTAAATCTTTGAGTTCTTCTGTTGACTACATTGTTAAACTCCCACGCTCATTTTTATCTTTCAAGTGGAATAAAAGATTTGAACTGAAAGCGTTGAAAGTAAGAAAATATCCTTCAATTCGTGGGTAAACATCCTATGATGGTAAATTATTTATGCACTCTGACATTTACCGACTGTTTAATTGATGAATGGCATTTCATGATTTCATTGTGGAGGAAAATGTAAGAAACATTCATACGAATGTCTTCAGGCGTAAACCATTAGTAACCTAACGATGAGTTGTTAAACATGTTTATGAACGGATATGTTTCAAAAATGTTTTAATAACATCAATATTCCAATTTCAAAATAAATAACTCGCAAAAAAAACATTGAATGATGATGAAACTCGTAGTTTCATCGTAATGTGGATGTCGACATGGCCCTTGTATGAATAAAAAGTCACATTCAATCATTAAACATACACAGCAACAGCAAAGCCAATTTATTTCGTTAGCGATGAAATGGATGGTAAAATATGCAGAATATATGAGAAATAATTGATACGAATTATTAATTTCTCTACACAGAAATTTCATCTATTCTGCTAATGATTCGAATATATTTGCTTGTTGCAAATCGTGATGCATGCGATGATATTTGAAACATCCAATTTGTTGATAACTCTTTAAGCATTGGATAAACATGAAAAATTTCGATTCGCACACGAGATTGATTTTTAATCGATACCCAGGGTAATGATTGCCTAAAAGTTACTTAATAATGTTAATTTTTTCAATTATTTCATCCCATTTTTATAGGAATTGTTATCGATTGAGTTTTCAAATTGAATCTTTAATGCCATTGAGATGGTGTCTGCTGCCGTCAAGCCGTCTCAAGAAAAAAGCGAGATTTACAATAAAGTATCATGAACTTTAATCGATTCGATTCCCTTTCTGAGATTGGGATCATGTCTGAATAAAATTATTTGACGATGACCCAATTTCCAGAACAAAAATGATAAGCAGTATTATAAATATGAAAATCAGTATTATGCAAAACTGATTTCCCAATTGAATGGTATATTGTTGACTACAATGTATGTAAAACCCATAATATCTATCTCAATTCAACTCGAGAATTAACCAGAATCAAATGGAATACAACAACAGTCATCCATTTGTGGTAGATTGAGCTTTCGCTTTGCTTAAATTTCTATTGTATCGTTTTCTAGAAATTTATTTGAGCGAGAGAAAAATCATCTCTTGAAAATGTTGACTCGTAAAACATGAATATTTGAAGGGAGAATAAGAGTTCGTAACTTTGTGCAATAAATATTTAATGAACGGTCAACTGAAATCGTGAAATAAAATTTCTTTGTTTTACAAACCAATTTGATGCTACAAAAATAAAACTCAGAAACAATCACAGAGGTTCACTGCAATTGACAATGTTTGTATTCTCAACGATATCATAAAGCTTTCTTTTCTTGGTTGTAAACGGATACATGCTGTTAAATGTTCATGGGCTGTCCATTCTTGTATGTCATCAAAAAACACATCATAAAATATTCTCGTGTCCCTTAATAAGGCGTGAATTGAGAAAAATTACACAAGACATAAAGATGTGAAATTTATTTCCGTACTTAAAGGCAAGATTTCGATATAAAGTCGTAACGATCATAAATAGCATGAAGTGCAAGCTAAATTCCCCAGAGGCAATTTCTCAAAATTTAATAATCTTTGAAATAAACTTCAACATTTATCTATCAAATGAACCTAACTCGAAAGTGCTCCTATGAAAGCTTTCATAAAGTTTTTTCTTGTTTTTCATAACATGAAAACTTTCTTCACCGAGTCAGTGCAATAATTTTACCTTAATGAAAAAAAATTGGAGAAAATGTTGGAAAAATAAATATCGCATAAAATAAATTGTGCTGCTCCTTGCATGATTTATCGCTATCTTGCACAAACATCAAGCCCACCACGTCCCTAATGTAAAAAGTTTTGACATTATTTGAATTTAATATGTGAAAGCCCTGAAAGTGCCATCATTTACTTTTATCGTCGCTATTTTTGAGACCCAAGCTAAGAAAAAGATCTGAAAAAGAATAACAAGTCGAAGCTTAACATACTTCAAATAAGCGATAAGATCTTCTCAGCATTACAATTTCATTGCCTCAATGTTCATGATTTTATGCAAAACTCAACTGATGTCAATTCAACCGACGGAAAAGCGGAAATAAATGGAAATTTAATTCACATTGCAATCCCAACGATTTCCCTCTGCCTTTACATCTCATTTCGCGGATATGAATCAGATATAAGTAAACGAAACGCAACCGAATAGACTCAATTTACATTTTACTGTAGGTATTGAGCATTTTTTGCTTGTTATTTTATTTTGTATATTTTTTGATGAATTCAATTAGATATCCGACACAAATAGATTCAATTTTCTGTTTTACATGAAAGCATCTCATTTAAATTTAAGATTAAAAAATATTGCGAAAGAATTTCATGAAGATTTTTTACGAGTAAAATGAGAAAAGATTTTTAAACTTTCTTAGATATTTAAGAGAGGAAAATATTTTCATTCTGACTAAATAGATATCAAGTTAATGTTAAGTTTGCTATCACGAGAACAATATGTTCAAGTATCATTTAGCAAAAATCTGGAGAAACTTTCAAGCATATCCGTCAGATGATTTGAAATGAAGAATCGCACACATTAAGTTCAACACATCAAGTTTCATGAGGAAGGAAAACAGAAAGCACAGAACTTCAATAAATTGAAGGTTGAGATGAAAATTTCTTCAATCTTTTCACCAACTTTTATGTCGAAACCAATTTTATTGCTATTCTCTTTCAAGATGCTCCACAACGTGCTGCTGTTTTCCAATAAACTTAACAAGGTTTTAAAGTACACTCATGAAGTTAAAGTTGAACAATGTTTGTTATAGTTGTGTGTAAATCATTCAGATTTTAAACTTCTTAGCTCATGATGTAAGAATAACTAAGCATGATTACACGGTTTTCAACTCAAAAGTCATAACAATTCATTTTGAAACAATAAAAAAGAATTTCAACAACAAAAAGAAAAGTTTAATTAAAACTTTCACGTTGACTTTGTTTTCTAGTGATGATTGCTCTTTCAGTTCACTGTTTGTATGAAAAAGGTGTTTCAAACAAAAAGAAACTTGTCATAGTGAAAAGAAACTTGTTGAACCACTAAATCTTCTATAAAAACTCAATTTCAGAAGATGAAATATGTTGTTTTATAGTTTGAATATTTCAACTTCATTTCACATTCAGAACATTAACTTAAAGGAAAATGTCGAAAGAATTTTAATGTCACTAAAACTGAAATGCGTTGACAGAAAGTTGCACATGATGTGAGTGGATCTGAAGTTGAAAAGTTTAATAAAAAATGAAAGTTTGTGTCAAGTTACAATTTATTTTTTTCTTCTTTTTTATGTTTAATGTTCTCTCCATGTTACACAATAGTAATCATAATAAGTTTTCAAAGAATTTGTCTTCATATTGTTGCTATATCGAAATCATCTCTTTTAAATAACTCGAACATATCTTTATGATAAATATCTCTCTGATTCATTCTATCGCCTTTGAGACTTTCATTCCTTTCCCTAACTTCCTTGAAATCATATTCAATACATAAATATTGACTTCTATCAATTATTTATACACAACTCTTTCATTTTAATGTTTTTTCATTTCATTTAATTCACTTTTACGTTCTTACAAAGTTTTTATATCTTCAATAAGCGCGTGGCCTTTTCAAAAGGTTCATGAGACTATTCACAATTGTTGTAATTGAAAAGGTCACATAAATTTAAAGTACACGTAAGGAGCTTCCAGGTCGTGAGAAAACTCTTAAGAAACTTTCTTCTTCTTCTCGTCTTTTTTTTGTTAAAGCTTTCAAAATTATGTGCAGAAGCCTCAAGAACTTTTGACAACGTCCCCGCACAATGACAATTGAAATTTAAATCTCTCTAAACAACTTAATAAATATCTATTTTGATTTTCGATTCAGAAGGAGAATAAAATAGGAAAAGAATGTTTCGGTATTATCACTTTAGTTGTAGATAGTTAAATAGATTTCTTTATTCAAATCCTTTGAGGACAATAAATCGTTACGTTATTTGCTTTCTGTCCCAAAGTTAAAATCGCAAATAAACTTATATGTAGGTATGTATGTATGCATGTTTGCCGATTGTATAGATACTCAGTTTCCTTTTCTTCTAATGAAACGTTACGCATATGAACATTATCTGTTTTGTGAGTTAAAATGGAATTCATTGTTTGTCGTAAAATGTTAATGTTCCTCACTCTCATGTTATAATGATCTCCTGCTAATTTTTTTACAGAACATAGTTAAATTTAAATCTCTTGTGTGAGTTGTGATTTAATGGACAGCGTTTGTTGTGTCCAAACTATTTAATTTTCTCATTTTTTTTGCTCGTTTCCCTCTTTAGGGCGTTGTTTCGACTGATGTTGCTGAATCGGGTGAATGGAACAAAACATGAAAGAAGGGCAAAAACTCCCATTCTGCTCTCATGAAATATTTCTCAAACACATACAGCAGTTATGAGTTGGATATGTACAGTGTTGGGTTGAAAATAAGCAAAGCTCCCAAGTTGAATATGAAAATTTTCATGCCAAACATTTTCACCCTTGAACAATGATTATGTTGTACAGCTGCAGGCGTTTCTCCTGTAGAGTTTTCCAAAGTAAGAAAAAAAAGTTCACCATGTTAAACGTCATACGAATTAAAGATGAAAAGGTTGCATGGGAGAAAGAAAGAAAGAGAAAAATTTGAAAAAAGAATTACTTTTTAGTTTGAACGATCATCAATCACGTTCCGGCAGCGAGAAAGAGTTTTCAAAACAAATCCTTTCTTCAAGCTTCAAATACCACAAAATCCCAATTCACACACTCGCTCACACACGCCATATACATATTTATAAATACAGTCAACTCTTGATAAGGAAAGCTTTTGATAAGAAATTTCATTCGATAGTAAAACAAAAAAATTGTAACTGAGATGAATTTTATAAAAATATTCCCTCAATAAGAAATTTCACTCGATATAACAAATTCTTTCTCATCAAGAGTTGACTGTATCTATAAAAGAAAACATATCCAGGTCATGAAAAAGCTTGCTTGCTTTCTCTCTCGCGTCATCGATAACTCTTTAGGGATTTAATTTTTTTATGAGCCTGAGGGGAATATGTTGTTTGTTGAATTAATTTTCTTAGGGTGGTGGTAGAAGCAAAAGCAAAAGCAGAGTGTTGAGCTGCGTGCTTATTTTTGCTTTATTATTTACACATTCCCACCATCAGTGATGGAGCAACACAAAAAGCAAAAAAGCTTTTTTAAATAACAAAACAACAAACAGTAAAAAAAAAAGTTCAAACACATTAACCTTTCAATTTTCTCTTTAGTTACATATCAACTCGCCCGTAATCGTAATAAAAATGAAAAAGGTTTTTCCTCCAACCTTCCACCTACCCATTAAAATTTGAATATTAACAGTTGAGGATGTCGTATTATCGACGGAGCAGGAATAAGTGCCACTGTGAACTTTTTCAGCATGTATAATCGAGATTCTGCTATTCCGCCAAATGTGTGCGGTGCTGTAAAGTGCAGAAGAGAATGAAAGAAGAAAAGAATAATGAATGATGATTTGAAGAGAAAGAACAAGTACTTAATACAAATTATAATTGACATAGAGAGGGAAATTGGATGTGAACGAAAGAAGTAAAAGTATTTAGTCTCCATAAGAGTATTCATGTATATGAAGGAAGAAAAAAGACGAAAATTTATGAAAAGAAAATCAAAGGAAAATTATCTACAAACCTCAAATTTATTTTAATATCTTTTGGCAAGTCTTTTCCATCCTTTTTCCACTTTATATTGTGCTTTCCATTGTAAGGAATGTGCTTTTCAAAAGTCTTTTTAATTAAATTTGTATCGATAAAGGGAAAAATTGTTGTGGTGGTAGACGAAGATGTTGTCGTCGTCGTGGTGGTTGTTAATGAAGATAGAAATCTGTCATTGTAATTCACAGTTGGTGATGGAATTGTGTTCAGGAATGACAACGCCACTTGACACGTTATATCTACCGAGCTACCTAACTTATAATACCTGTTCGAAAACAAACAAGTTGTGACAAATGAACTGTTCTGAGCGTAACGAGAAAGATTTTTTTAACTGACCTATCACTAACTTCATGTCCCATCTCATCAACTAATCGTATTGCTGGAGCTGCAAAAGTTGTAATCTTGTTTGTGAAAAAGAACAAAAAAAAAGACATTAACAAGCTTTTCATTATTTACCTAACACTGTAAGATTAGTCGCAAATACGCGTGGCGGATGAGTCGAGACCTGGCACATATACAATCCTGCGTCATCAGGAGAGATGGGATTTATCTAAATGGAAAGTGATATGACAACGAGAAGAGAGAAGGAGATTCATGTTGTCTAAAAACAAATAATAAATTATAAACAATTTTTACTCCTCTCACCGATAATCTCCAATTATTTGGATATATGAACATGACTTTAATCCTTGGATCACCTGAATACGTGATGTTTCCAACTGTCAGAAGAGAAACCTTATCCACTGTTCGGCGAACCCACATAACCTGAGTGAGAAATAAAATATTTTCACGCACATAAATCGAAAATATTATTCAATAATTACAGTTTTGTCCTTCAACATTCCCACACGACAATTTAATATGGATTCTGTGCCTTCATGAAATCCAACTTGTAACGTTCCCGAAGTTCCGGAAGTGTTTAATGGATCCTCAAAAAATGGACCGAAATGTCGATCATGATGATATTTTGATTGATATTGTTTATGTCCTATTCGGTGGCGTGAGAAATCAGGTAAAGTTGGAACGATTACTGTCGGTTTTCACACGGAAGAGAATGAAAAAAAAGAAAGATTAATAATCAAGCAATGACATTGCAATCGAGATAATTTCATAAATCATAAAAAAGAAGATTTGTAGAAATTCTTGTTACATCTTTGATCACGAAACATTCCGCTTACATGGTTTCATTGTTGTAAATCTAACACTAAATGATGTATTGCTGCTATTACTACTATCATGACTCGACGGCATATTGTTGGAACTGTCGAGCTTCGTAGTGGAATGAGTTGTTGAAGTTGAGTTAAACGAAACGACTGAAATGTCATTTGGCACAGTGACATGTTGATAGGCCGTGTTCGTTGTTGCAACAAAGAATCGGTTCTGTGGCAAGGGCGTTGCAAATGTTGTTGAAGTTGTTGATGTCATTAATGTCTGTTGGGTGCTTGAAGTCATCATTGTCTCTTCTTCTCCAATTCCGGTAGATTCATTATCTCTCTTCTCTAACTCAAATATTCCTGTAGTGTCAAATGTTTCAGTCGGACTCGCAGACGCTTCCGCTTGCAAGATGTGCAGATCTTTAGCATCTGGAAAATTGATTTTTAATTGAGCATTTGCGATTTTCAATCACACCATTTTCATGTTTGGAAGAAAGTCCATTGATAGTATGAATGACTTTTGTGTTTGACTGAATTAAAAGTCATTCATGCGAATGAACTTCCACTCACCAATTAGAAGCGAATAGAAGACAATAGCCGTTAAAACGGTATTGCTGCAATTAAGAATGTAAAATTCCCTTCGCCGCCTCATTATTACATTCACTGAATCGAGAAATGGTCACATCTTTTCATCTCATCATTTTAAATTCACGACAGATTCTTCTCTCATTACTTGTTTTCTTACGACTTGTCTTAGATGATGTCTTCGGGATGTCGAATGAGGCTCAATTCTAGGTGAAAGAAAATTCTTTACTTAATTCATGTAAAAGTTTTTGAATATGCGCATTGAAGCAAATAAACCGAATCTGATGTTATTAAATTGCTTTAAAAATTTCTTAAAAGACGTATGATGAATTTAATTAAACTTCGTTTTATATGCTTCGATGCTACTACAAAGCCAAAGTTGAAGTCAATAAAAAATTCTCGGTTAGATCGAAAATTTATGCAAATGATGGAAAATAAATACTAAGAAAAAAAATAATGAACTTCCGCATGAACTTTTGCATCATATAAAAAATTTCTTTCCACATGAAACTCAAAATATGTTTTTTAAAATTCTCCTTGAAGCTGTGTCGACGACTTCCAAAACAAAAAGCTATTTTCATTGATGTTTTCATTTCATTCCATATGAGTAAAACAGACAACTTTATTAAGAAATGTTTATAAAATTGAAGATTATTAATATTTGAAAACCTTTTTCATTCCCTTCAGGGGGCTTTTCATTTTTTACTTTCATCAATGAAAATTTAAAACCTTTTGATTCATGTAAAAAAGTTTGCTTTTGTAAGCATAAAAATGCCTGAAGATTTATTTACCTACGTGTAAAATTTGAGCATATTGCTCAGCATAAAATAATGAAAGAAAGGGAAAGAGAGTTTCAAAAGTCAATAACAGCTAAACTGAAGAGAAATCAACTCATCACGTAATCTATAAACAAAAAAAACCCTCCAATAACTTTTCATCAAGAAAGGGAGAAAAACAAGGAAACGAAAATAAATGTTCTTCTTCCTTTTAAACAAAATCGTGATCTACAAGACAATAAGGACCTTGTAACGAATTTTACATAAAACTTTCAAGTCGAATTACTTCGTGGATGCAAGCATAGCAAAAATCTCGGCAAAAATGAATGGGAGAATTCTTGTCGAGCCCTTATTTTCTTAAGTATTTTGTTTTATATTGTTATTTAACATACAAAATTGGATTATTTACATCATTTTGAGAGCCCTTTGGTTGTTACTTATATATATCGGAATATGTATTGTAAATAAAAGATACAGAAAAAGGATAAAAATGAGTCGGCGAAGAAATCTAAATTTCATGAATAATAAAAATGGAAAACTTTAGTAAGTGAATAAAAGATATTGAGCGACCGGAAAGACTTAGAATATCAATCAAAAGAAACCTACACATGATACATGCTTGAAGATTGGGATCAAAAATTATAAAAAACATTCCTTTGTGTTCCTCGTGGCTTAGCTTTTCTCGTCTGGTCCCAGAGAAAAAAAAATCCATTACCAGTTCCTTAGCATGTGACGTCTCAAATCAATAGATCATGAATTAATCATGAAGCATCATTGAATTCATGAAATATTTAAAACAGAAAGCACCTCAAGAAAAGTCATTCGACTTTAATGTTTCTTGCATTAATGTAATAACATTTTGGTTTGCTTTCTATAACGAGTCTCAATTTGCGAACGAACCCGAACAACCTTTTCTGACTTTTTAAAGAAAAAGAATCCCACATTAAATCAAATTTGAAATAAATATTTCCTGCAAGAAAAAATTGCCTTTTTCCATTCTTCCATATTCGCTCATTTCATCTTGCGGTATGGCCTTGTAGATGGAAACCATTGCTGGTGTTTGTACAATATCATGATCGCATCATGACCCATAAAGTTTTTCTCACTCTTTTCCTCGCCCATCTCAATGTCTGATATGTATGTGAAGAAAAAGAAGGAAATGAAGAAGAAGAAAATGATGTGAAATCTCACAAAAGGAAAGAACATTGCGTGAGAAGATGATGAAAAGTCCTAAGCACAACAAACGGCTTTCGAATTTGTCAAGATCTCATTTTTTATAAAAGAATTTCTCTGTTGCTGTTGTGCCTTAAAATGATTCTGCCGCTTTCCAACTTTCACAATAATTTTTCATTTCTCAAAGAAAAGAAAAATATTTGAATTCACTCAACCGTATAACCAGATGATAAAAATAGTCTAAGGAACTAGATATGTGTGTATGTATTATGTCGATGGTTTGTAATGTGCTTGTGAAGGTTGAACGGGGCGGTTTTGAAAAACAGAACTCTTCTTATATAATGTTGGGTAAAGGGAGCACAATTTAAAAGAGCCTTGAGTGAATATGTCAAGTGAAGAGATGAATGTCAAGAGTTATTGGTTGCAAAATATTTTTCTTTCATACCCTTTCACCACTGTTCTGATAAATTGCCTCGAGAGAAAAGTTTAAAAGTTGTGTGAGAAGCCAAGAATTTCCTCCAGCAAATCATCTCTTTTGTCGCACATTCCATGAAAGAAAACGTTGAACCACACGCATCTATCTATCTGTATCGAACTCTAAAAAGGGAACATCGCAAAGCGACATTATTCGACAGATCGATGTCAAATTTATGACTATTTTCTTGAAAGTATCTCAGCTGATTGCATGTCATTTATATGCGAAAGCGAAAGATGAAAATTCATCGTTCAGCATTCAGAGAGATTTTCAAAGATTACATCCAAAGCTGAACGAAGCACATATAAGATGCGATAATTTTTTCACTCTATGATGTCAAAGTTTCCTCTTAGGATTCGATTGGAAGGTTTTCTTCTTCTCCTTTTGGATTTCACACAATGTCACAAGAAAAATATTCTCCAATTCACGAAGGATAACATCCATTGATAAAGAGAAATGAAATTTAAGAAGAAATCAGTATTCGAATGAAGTTTCTTTAAGTGTCTAATGCAATCTGCTTTGATGATTTGAGAAAAGCTTTTGAAAGAAAGTTTCCAATTTTGATAATTTTCATTCTTCAACATAACGAAAATGGTCTTAAAAGTTTGAAAAAGGTTTTATTCTTGAATTATATATAAGCATGTTCGACAAACATTCACGTGACAGGAAACAAAATGTTCTAACATAGAAACAAATAAAAGAAGTAGTCAATGTCTAAGTAAACATGATAAAAGTCGCAAGAGATTTAAAAGAGAAGGAAAAAAAAGAGATTTGACATTTTGAAGTCGCAAATTCAAGATTTTTTTGAACACCTTTAGTCTTGAAACTTCTGTTTTATATTGAGAATGAAGCCATCGGTCCTAACTCATTGAATATATTTCTGGCAGGCAATTTCAAACTCATTATTTATGAGTTGTTGTTCTCCGGTCCTTACCCTTCGTCAAAAAAGTCTTCCTTTCCTTTTTAATAAGAGACAAAATTAATCCCAAGTGCTTTTAATAAGAGTGTTGAGGGAAACTTCAGCATATCATTAAAAATGTAGCTTCGTGCTTTGAATTGAGTCTTAAGGATTCCATCTACTCCCTAAAAAAGCATTAAATGAAAGTTGAAACTTCTTGCTTACATTTCTATATTGATATTTTAGATATTTTCTTTCAAACCCACATTACGCCACCCACGCAAATCCCATATGATTATACTACATATACGTGTACGTTAAATTTCTGACTTCATCACTTGGAATGCGATCTTGAAAATTAGAGATAGCGCCAGTTATAAATAAACTATAATCGAAAGGGAATAAAAACACCCTCAAAGCTATCATTAATGCTTGCTGTGTTGATGGAAGCTAATTATGGAAATTGATATTAATTAATCTTTTCTTTTCCATGATTCGACTTGAAGATTTCGTAGCCTTTGATATTAAATATCAAGGGCGGAAGATTGTTGGCTCGATGATGAAATTGATTCTCATTAAGTCGAAAATAAGTTCATTTTTCCTAAGCAACCTTTAATCCTTTTTCGCTTTTCAGGGTGTAGACTTTGAGGGAACTAACAAAGCTCGAAAGTCTTCGTTAGACTGAAATATGTTCGGAAAAATATTTCAAGATCAAATTTTTCAATTTAAATTTAAGCTCATACTCATTTGATGTTAGCTTTATTTCCTTCTCCTGAGTTAAGGAGGAATAAATAAATATCATAGCTTTGACATTTTATCAGCATTCTAACAACGTTTGACTTAATTACATCATTAACCAAGGAAGAAGGGTTGTTTGTTTATCTTTTCACCTTGTCTTTATTTAAGAAGAATAAAGTCATAATAATTTGTTTTAACTTAATACTCTTCCATGTTTCATCTTAAATTTCTTCGTTAATTATCGCATGAGCATCACGAGAAAGGATGAAAATAATTGTGGATGGCATCTAACGGAATGTAGAATTAAATTTTTGCATGTGATTAAAGATCTTTATGACAGCAGAGCTTTTTATGTTACCATGTAAAACAACTCTTGTTTTACCTCAAATGAAGTGAAGGTCGTATTCTTTATGGTTATTGTATTCAACCCCCTCAATCCCTCTCTCTATCTCTCTCTTTCTACCTTTACTGATTTCTTTTTAGAACAAATTTTACTGAATTTATTCACGTCGATTTTTCTTCTTGCTTTATCTTCTCGTTTTCCCTGCCTCGATGTCTCTAATTATACTAGCGGGGGAAAAGATTTATAGGTTGCTGAACGAACACTTTTAACGGGTCTTTAATTTGTATTGATGGAAGAAGCACATTAAGCAATCTTTAGCGTTTTCTCTTTGTTATGTTATAGCATTGGCATATGCCCTTGTTCTCACGTAAAACATAAAAATGCTTCGTAAGCAAGAAAAAACTTTGTTAGTGATGCTAATTAATACAGAATCATAAACGAAACTCGATAACAATTGATTACGTTCTGTTTGAAGCTTAACTGAATATTTCTGAGTAAGTGTTGATAAAACATTTCCGAGATTTTACAAACAAATATACCTAAGTAAATGAATAAATAAATATAAAAGCTTTCAGTGAAATAAGATGATGGAAATTTTCTCATTCGATTCGTGCTGTTACACCGTTGCCTGATAATTCAATATCACTTGAAGTAGAAGACATTACTCTCGGACCATCATAAAAGTTGGAAACGACCTAACTTCAATTTTGCGTGTCATTCCTTGATTCATTGCTGAATTCTTCCAGCATCAGAGAATAACGACGACAAAAACTGATAATAAAATCTCGCCTTAATTGCCTTTGAATCAATAATTTATGTGCAAACAAAAACATTGCTGGGCAACAAATTAAATGATTTCATTTCATTTTTCTCCTTTTTTTTTCTATATATAGAAGAATCAGAGAAAAGGATTCTTGGGGCTATAAATATTCTAATTAGAAGAAAATATTTTAAATTAAAAAATGAGAACCAATTCATTCATTCAGTTAATGAATTAAATTCCTTCACTCATTAGAAATTCTCCAGAAATGTAAACATAAAAAATTATGAATAGATTAAAGGAAATTGCCAATGTTTAACGGATAATGAATCATGGCAATTAAGTGAAGTAAGGAAAGTTTTTTTTATGGAACCTTAGCCAACCCATTTATTCTCAGTCTTGAACCATCCCATGATCAAATTATTTTATAATTTTTTTATCTGTCATTCTCTAGGTGCATAAGAGGCGTTAAATTTACATTACTCAAATTTTCTTTCGTTTCTGTTTACAACTCTCCAGTTCTTCATTCATATTATAAATGATAAACATAATTCCATATGACACAGACAAATTACTTTTTATTTTATTCTCAGCTTCTGTTGTTGTTTATTTTGTTTAATTTTTTTTATTTTAATTTATGCCACGCTGATAACGAGTTTTGTTTTAATTTATTTCTCTCTGAGCTGGTTGCTATGGGTCGCACATTCACTGTTTCTGTTCTTAATTAATGATAATTTTTAATTCAAAACTTTATCATGTTTATCTTTTCTTTTTCTCCTTTTTTTCTCATTTAACATCTCATGACTTCATTATTGTTATTATTATTCAGTTTTCTGCATACGCAAAGATAAAGCCAACAAAAAACTTTTCTTCCTTGCTTTTCGGCTTTTTTAAGTATAACGTAGATGATGGTAATCCATTCTCGTTACTTTTACTACTTCATTCTCGGAAACTCGTGCGGTGTGCGTAACAAAAAAATGATGTCGTTAATCCATTTCTTGAGGAAACATAAATGACAGTGAGTAATAATTTTCAATTCACTTTGATTGCCCGTAAATCACAAGGAAAACACTAGGAGATGAAAATTGTATTCTTAAGCAAATTTCAACTTTGAATTTATGATCTTTTTTTAGTTTTAAAGCTACCGAATATCCGTCTGGATCGTTCGATGAACATTGTGTTACTGAGGTTGCCCTTCAAAATCTCAACAGATTTTGTGTAAGTCTTCAGAGCGGGGAAAGACTTTCGTTGAGTCGACGCAGTGAAAGTTGTAGAGTCGGCAGCTTTAACATGCTTTAATAATCAATGAAAGTCTGTGCACAGCCCAAATATTTATGTTCTCAACTTTTTAATATTTCTGAAGATTTCTTTTTATTACTTTTTCTTTCGTTGATAACAAATTTCATTCCTTTTCCTTTTCAATATTGAATGCAATTGATTTGACAATATTTGATTCTTCATGAAGTCATGTTGTTGATGGCTTTAAAACTTCATGAAATGATATTTGTAAATTCTTACAGTTGATAGCACGTGCGAGGCAGGAAATGTGCTGCGAATTGCTCCCTAACGTGTACTTGGAGGTTTTCTTTATTTTTACCTGCTTATCTGCCAAGCTAAATTCACGTGAAAATTAAATTCCTTATGCAATCATTGAACAGTTCTATCTGAAACATTTATTCATGAAATCATCCAATAAAACAAGCCAACGCTCGCTTAAAACAATTTGCTGATATATTCAACACATGACATGGTTGTGGCTTCAAAAATATCTACGACATATTTCACGCTCTGCAATAAAAACTCAAGTGGTGCAGCGACAATTTACAGCAGAAAATATCTAACAAACGAAAACATTTTGTTTCAAGATAAAAGAATTCGTAAAATGTTCAAAATGAGCTTCTCTTTTGTTCGAAGAACTCTCACCACAAAGCCTCATTCAAATTTCACCATGAGCAGACGCTGGTTTTTAGGATGCCAACAAGAAAATAAAAGTTAAACTTGTGAAAAGCATTTAACTACCCACAATAATGTGGAGACAACATACAACAATGAGATGAAAGAGCAAACCAAAAACTTTTCTCATGCATTCAAAGCCCTCATTTTCACTTACAGAAATGAAACTTGTGAACTTTGGAAATTATAAAGAAGAAAATTAGGAAAATCATTTTTCTTCTTTTTTTAAATTTCAAAGGAAATTTAAAGTTAAAGTCCGTCCACCCATGAGAAAATAATTGCTTTGATGTGTTGTTCAACTTCATTTCATTTCTCTTTGGATATTTTTCTAAAGTTCAAAATCTTATTTTTACGTTTCATGTGAAATAATGAAATAAATTCACTTGCTACAGCAACTCTTTACGTGTTCAGTTACGGAAGTTGAAGAGATTGCATGGGAAAATCATTTCTGCAACATGTTGATGTTTGTTTATTTAACTTGATTTTTCTGATTGGGTGTGGATAAGGAGGAAAATCTTTTAAATAAAAATTGCGGATTTCGTTCTAAGGTCGCACCATAAAACTAGAACAAATTTGGCATACAAATGAATGAGTTTATTCTTAAATTCAAGGAAACTCTATCAAGGGTGGATGTGACGAAAATTTCGTTTTCCTGAAATTTTCTTCAACGTTATGGAAATATTTGCATAAGTGGAACATTATACTTTCAAAACATAAATGTTTGGTTGCTTTTTGCGAAAGAGATTTTTGTGGTGTTTAAAATTCATTTCAGCACTTTCTGAGTTTCACAATACGACAGATGCATTAAACAATTATAATTAATAAACTATGTTCGAACTTAGAACTTTATGTACTTAAATTCTTTTAGCATTATAAGAGAATTTCCATGAATATTAAGAAACAAAGTTCAAAATTTCATTCTCATTCGTTTAAAATTTAAAAGGAAGAATCAACAGTGGCATGGCATTTGCAAAAGTCGAGTTTCCCTCTCTTCTCAAACACATTTAGATGAAAGTAAAAAAGGCTACTAAGAAAATCCCGACAGATGAACAGCATCAACGATAAGAGAAAGGCTTTGTTTAACGGAAGATTCATGATTGAAGCTGTAAACTTGTGAACTACATTTCCTCCAATCTGACGCTTGCGACAAGCTCTCGCAAATCTGGCTCAGTTGCGATGCTCGTTTGCTTCTAAACGTTGCTTTGCGGTTTTTGATGAAGCTCTCGGATTACAAATGATTACATAAATTTTCCATTTGCGTAACACAATATTTTCCCGCTTAAAACATTTTTCACTCTATTTTCGACTGCTTTATTCATGAATAGAGTGTAGAAACATTTATAGTAGGTGAAATGTGATATAATTATAGTTCTAGAGCTATCTTTAATGATAATTATTCGAATTTCAGATTCATGATAGAAAGGACATGCAATAAAATCACCCCGGAATGAACTGAGCTCCTGAAAACGCTTCGAACTTTGAGCTGATCACAAAGTTTGCGACATTTTATATGCTTGAATAAGTCGAGCAGCTAAATTATTTTTAGTTACAAAAAATAACCCTCCATGTCACAGCCAATTTACGAAACGCGGCCGGTTTCAATTACAATAAATTAAGTATTTTTCCCAACAGTCAAATTATTTGCGAGTTGAGGAAATAAAATTAAGGCATTATTTTTGCGGCTCAACGAATTCATGGACAAGGCAATTGAACCCATCTACTCACCCATTGTTGCTATGGCAAAATTGAAGGACAAAAATGCAAAAAAGCATTTCGATATGAACAGGAATTTTGGTGAGTTGAAGAGAAAATATAATTCAAGAAACAAATCGAGTTTTGAAAACATTCGTTTACCAGCTTTGAAACAACTTTAAGGAAATCTTTTGTTTATATTGAGTTTAAATTCCAATTAAAACAATGTTTTAGATGAATTGTTGCAAAATTTTTAATTTTATTGTTATTATTCAAATGATTTGAATCAGATTAAGAAATTCAAAATTTCAAGATTTTTAGGAAATAAGAGATCTAAATATTTTCTCAACATAAAATGAGTACCTAATTTAATTAAATTTAGACAATTATAAAAATCAACTCAAATTTTTATAACATGAAGAAGTCTAGAAAGTCGGGAATAACATCGTATGACGGTGTTTACTCCCAAGTGTGATGACGTGATCCTTGAGCAAGTCAAGTCAATTACCTTGATAGCATAAAAGTTTCTTGTACAAGCTTTCTCAAGTCAATTGTGTACTTGTTCGATTCGAATCTATTGTAGTCTTAGCCATGTTTATGATGTACTCAGTCATCATTTCCGACTTTGGTACGTTCGCGCGGATTTGACCTCCCATACAAAGTGTACCCGAGAAATTTGTCACTCCCTGATAATTTGTCACTCCCTAATTTTGCGATGACAGCGCCGCCAATGATTAAGTAGGAAAAATATTTTCACAAACTTTACAGAAGATGTCACTTTTGAATTGTCTTCATTTAAAAAATTGCCTTGAACAAAGTAAAAAAAGGAAAAAGTATAAAAATAACAATTTTAATTGACACTTCTTTGTCCTAAACTTTATGTGATAAGGGATTAGATGTAATTCAAGTAATTTTGCCAGCTGCTCAAGCTCAACAAGCGAATGATTTTCCATTTTATAAAATTTATATGCAAAGGGTTCAAGTAATCAGACAGAAAAAATATTAAATTGTAATTCTACTCCGTAAATCTACTACCTACCTACGAATATCATCGTTGAATGAGAATGAATGCATGCAAAGTCGCTTTAAGGCACAATATTTCCATTTTATGCCATTTAACGTCTCTTTCTTCTTTACACTTTATCATTGCGCTGATGGGTTGGAGTTTTTTAATCCTAATGTAGAACGAGTTGAGCTTTCTTTTTTCAGTGTTCATTATGAACAATGAAAATTCACTAGCATAAGCTTCCACTTTTCATTTGCTTTCAGTCTGTTCCATTATTACATACTTTTCAGTTCAAGCATATTTGAGAGAAAAGAAGAAACAGATCTGATTTTAGCAAAAAGTCATTTCGAAACAAAACGAAACAAAAAATCTCGGATGTGATGCGGCATTAAATTGATCTTGTTAACATAACACAAGAAAAGTGTCGTTTTTCGTTTTCATCAGAAGTTCATTGTTAGAAAACAAAAGCCAAGCGATACTTGAAAAGTTCTCTTGAACTGTCGTGTTTACGACACAAGCAAAGCTTTGGTAAAAAGCTAGATTTCCCCCAAGGCTCGTTTTTGAATAAGAAAATATTTGTTAAGCTCAAACAGATTACATTCGCGTAATAAAATAAATACGGAAAGTTAAGCTTAGTTTCCCTTTTGAGAAAACACCTTGATAAAATATTCTTTAAACAAACGTCAGGCACGAGTGACTTTATCGTCGTTGTGATGATGAAATGAAGAAATTCATTCGTTTTCATCTTTCATTTCTTCGCTTTGTGATTATTAAGTATACGACCTTTCTTACTCTTCGTCTCTCCGTGAAATTTTATGCGATATGGTCCGAGAAAAGATTTGGAAATATCAGTAAACAGCAGCAGAAGCCAACGAGAATAATGTTTACGAATATTATTTACACCAAAACGGTTCTTTAGAGTTTGTTAGAGGACCCACAACTTTTTTTCCGTCCCTTCCTATAAAACAGTACAGAGAAAGGAAGAAAGTTGCGGTAAATTTTCATTGAACTTAATAAAGCTAGTGTCAACCCTTCTCAAACGACTTCACTTGTTTCCTTTTCACATCTTTCCTCGTGTCTCTTCTCCTTCCTTTCATTTTTTTCTGAAATCACGAAACATTTTTCAGCTGGATAAAAAGAAAAAGAAACGAACGATTTTCGTTACAATATTTCTTATCCCACGAGGGGAAATTCATACTTTTTATTGCACATAAACGCTTAACAAGAAAATCAAACATTATTTGAAATTTAAATTGGGTTTCGTTGCTTCGTTTCGACAGCTTCGCTGCGAAGAAGTCACAAAAGTAAAGAAAAAGGGCACAAAACATTTTTTTCGCTTGAAGCTCGTAATTCAATTGCCAATGACTGCGCGAATTGAAATTCGAGGAGTGAAGAAATGCTTTTAATTTCTTCCTATTTAAATTCATATTAAGATTTTACTTACACACTTTCTTGAATGTGCCTTTTTTTTTAAATAAGGAAATAAAAATTGATGGGACTTGTTAGAAATTCATTTCCCATTTATCAGCAATATATTGGATTTTCCCTTCCCCACCCACACACTTGAAGTCTTGAATCAACCAAGTAACAGTAAGTTAAACATTTAAATGCAGTGTTGATGTTGACAGCTGCCTCTTATCTTCTGGGTCACAGCATCTAACTGTACAACATATTTACTGTCAACATTTTTGTATTCACAAGAAAATTATTATACTGAGGAGAATAAAAATAACTTCATAATGTTGTGAATATAATCATAAATTTTACCATAAGTCGTAAAAACATAAAAAATCTTTTTGGTTTTGTGAAAATCTCTTTTGGATGATGGTGATGATGGATAAACAGAAATTGGATCAAAAATCAAATATTTATGTGATTACTGATGTGAAGAATGTTCTGTCATTAAATAAAATAATGTTTTATTGATCATGTAATTGAAACTCTTATTATTTCTTCGGCATTGATATCTTTTTATTATAAAAACGTATCAAAACTCATATTTGCCAAAGCTAACGTAACATCAACATGAATAATCTTAAGGCAATATTCAATCATTGATTTATCTGACTTTAATGTACTCTCCGAAGTTCGAGCATAACTTTCCTTCTTCATTCACTCTCTCGTTACAGTCTACAGCATCAGAAATTTTCCGATGTGTTTTTCATGAGAATAGCCTCGATTCTGTGTTTTTCATATCGTAATTTCATTTTCTAAATAGAATCAATCAAAATAAATAAAGAATGAATCAGCATAAAGTGGTTCGTGCATGCACATGAGAGCGTTTGACTTGCCAAAATAAGCTTCACAACTGAATCAGGAAACACAAATGCTTCTTCTTCCATATTTACACACGAAAAATAGAAATAACGTGATGGAAGAAAAAATCTGAGCGAAAGGAATACAAAACCTGATTGTTATTCATCCTTTTCCCTAGTCTCGCTTATTCAAGATTTTCTTTATTTTCCTCTCGTTCGTTTTTGGTTTTCTGATGTCGAAAATATCAGTTTGACTGTATCGACATTGAGAGAGTTCCAATTTTGTTTTAAAGAACCGTTCATGTTGCAATTGATTGCATATCGATGTTAAGTACTTCAGTCGTGATTCCATAATATTCGAAAGGCAGATTTAATGTAAGAATGAACGGAATTCTACTTGAATAAATTTAGGAAAATGATTTCGGTTGCACATGGCATATGATTTCGTTTCTCGGAATTAATAAGCTCGAATGATTTATTGCTAGACTAGAAATTTAAATTAAACAGAAGTAGAAACTCAAGAAAAGTTTCTGTTTGTGTCAATTCTAAACATGAAATTTTGTTGAAACTTTTCCTGCAAATTCATAAAGTGAATAAATTATCGTTACACAAATTAAATATCTAACTTGATATTATTTCGACGGAAAGAAAACAAAACTCGATTTTAATTATGAACATATTTATGTCTTCCACAGCAAAGAATTAATATTCGAGATTGGTTTTGTGTTTAATAAAACTCGAAAATTTATTCAACAAACTCATTCATTACAAAGCTCTGCAAAGCAACAAAAGTTGTTTAAGGTAAGACTAGTTAAACGTCTTTATGACAGAGGATTTCATTCAAAAGCTGTGTGAATTAATTTCATAACAAAAGCATTGAAAATTTGATCACTCACTTGAGAAAAGCAGAGACTCTGCTTGATTTAAAGTTTACAGAAATGTTTCTGAACTAACATTCAACAAATTAAAACTTTTCTTTTTTACTTTAATTTTATTAAACTTTTCACAATAAATTTGAGAACGATTGGGTGATTGATTTGATGGAAAATTTAGCACACTTTTTACTTTCTCGTTCATCAATTTGATTCTGCAGGTCTTCAATCAATTGGATCTTCAAGCTGAGTTGTTTCTGTAAGTCATCGATAGTCATTTTCATATTCTCAATGACTTCTTCTTGCTTTTCCATTTTACACATCATTTCTTCGTAGGCAGAATATTTAATCATCTCCTGGGGAATTTCTTCCAAATGATCACCAATCTGCTTCACAATCTTGATTGTCATGATATCTGACATCTGTTCATCTGAACTTCCACTAAGCAAACTGCTGTTCGTGTTGCTTTTGATTTGTTTGATTTTAATCATGAGTCGAAAAAGAATTTCATCGATGTAATTTGTTTCTGCTTTAGCAAGCTTTTCAATATCATCCGGCTTCAAATAAAACTGCAACTTTTTTAACACTTTTCGATTTAACACTTCCCAGTTTTTCTTTTTTTCTGTCACCGCAAAACATCCATTGTAATTGTGAATATCAACAAGGCAGGGAAATTCAATTTTTAAAATTTCTGCCAGTAGCACTGCATCGGAAAAGTCACGATTTAATTTCTTGCAACAACGCGACAGTTCGAAGCTGTCCACCCACTTCAGCAAAGCTTCGGACTCAAATGAATTTAACTTCGAATCTGGTTTCTGTCGTAGAACTTCCATTTATTCCTTTTATTGCGGTTGCGAGGGATAAGCGAAAAGAAAAATAATATAAAAATAATATTATTGGGATGAGTCTGACGGTTTAATGACAAATTTTCTTTCAACGTGAAAGTGAGAAGAGAAATGAGAAGAATTACAGCTAATTGCCTACTGCGAGTCAGAAATAAATTCTGTTGGAAAATTTAATTTACAAGAGTTTTGTTTACCTTCCGTCAGACGCTAAGATTGTAATTCATTGCTTAAATCTGACTTCAAACGAAAATCCTCGCCTGTTTGCTGATAATAATTATTTTTGAACAAAAACATTCGCACGGTGGAATTAATTAAATCATTTCTCTGCTTTTTCCGCTTCCGTTTCAAATTTGAAGATTAATGTTGTGACGGTAAATAAATTTAATTGCATGACGAATCATGATGAGACTGAAAAACTTTCTTTAGCAAATCCCCCAACCCAACCCGACGAAAAAGAAAGACGAAAAAAATTCGTTAACTCAAATAATAAACAAATTGAAAGCTAAACTTTCATCCTAAGCTCGGAATTAGTTAATGAAATGTAAGACGAGACAAAAAGTGAGATGAGAGCTTTTCTTTAACGAGTATAAAATAATTTTAAGCTTTACTGAGCTTTTGTTTTGATGTTACACTTTTTATGAATTAAAAGAGATAATTAAAACGAGTCATTATTACATTTGGAGAATTAAGTTCTGCTATTTTCATGAGACATTAAAAAGCAGAATAAATAAAACATTTATTTTCATTTGTGACATATTTTTATTCATAATTTCAGTTTAAACAAACACTTAACTAACATTTTTCATTTATCTTCTATTATCCATTTTTGAAAGAATTTCTTCCAATTCTAAAAAAATATTCAATGCTTCAAAAACGGCAATCGTCGGTTTTTTTTGGATATTCTCACTGATTTCATTTTATTTATTCTTCCAAAAAATCAAAACAAAACAAACGTCTCAATGCAAGCAAATGAGGAATAGAAAAGTTTTCCAGATGTTTAAAAGTCACCGTTCGTTAAAAATTCATTGTGCACAATTCTCTTTTCAATCATACTCGTGGAAAATTCAACAGAGAAGGAAAAGTAAAAAGAAAAACGAAAATTTTTTGAGAAATTCTTGGAAAAAAGGTTGAAGTTTGATTTCTCGATGGATTAAATGTTTTCTGCTTAATGGTTCAACGATTGCAATTATTAATAATTTATTTCTTCCTTTTAGCACTCGTTCAAAGTTTCTCTGAAAGCTCCAAAGCAATCTTTCAATTTTGCAGATCGTGTTGAATGATTTCAACATATCGCAAGATTCACAAACAACTTTAACCGATAAACGATATCTGAGTCGTAAACTTTGACATTGTTCTTAGAATCGATTGGTCTTTTGAAGAAATGAAATAAGAAAAAGAAATCCAGTGAGCTTTATTCAGGAAAAGTTTTCACAATTTGTTTTTCCTTTTGTGAGCTTTTCGATTACGCATTGAAAGATTTTTTGCTGTTTTTATTCATCTTTCTCATTCAGAATCACACAAAATATTTATTTTTCATCAACTTCAACTATCACTATTAGATTTCATTTTCAAACAAAAATTGATAGCAGCAAATTTCTTGTGATTTCTTCTCATGAAGTTATCTGACACTCATGGGAATTTTAACTGCTTCTTATATTGTTGATATTATTCTATCGTAGTTGTGACATTTATAAAAAGGTTGGAGATGAAAATAGAAAAAAGTGTCTGTGGACTTTACTTTATGTAAATATTTGCGAGTAGATTACAATCGCAACACACTTAAATGTTGACGTTTTGTCACCGATGTAGTGCTGTGGAAATATAAACTGAAAGTGTGACGAGAATTGTGGCCGGAGTCAAAAGGACGCATGTCGAAGTTTGCATTAATGCTGGATTTTCGCCTGGAAAATGAACGAGAAGGGAAAAAAGTTTATTTAAATGGCAATTAAAAGGTAATTAGAACGTAAGTGAGAAGATTAAATTTTCTGCATGAAGCCACAATAGAAACGCAAACTTTTTGCTCACCAATTAAGACATGAACCATCACTGTTGCTTGGGCGATATCCCCTAGCGCTGGGAACGACAAAAAAATAGCAAAATGAGATATTTTTTTTGTCCTCTGCAAAGAATTTTATTTTCCGTTCGTTATCGAGAAAATTTTCTCCGACAGAAAAGGAAGAAACCGAATTGATGAGGCAACAAACTTACCGCATGAATAATTTCCCGAATCATGGCGATTAGCGTTCGCAATGTACAATCTACTCATTGCTCCTGACGGAAGCATATCTGTCTTGACACTATAAATAAAGAAGAAAGTCGTAAGATGTTTACGAAATGATTTTCGTTTTTTCAAGGCAAATATTTACCTTATACCACCGCGGCTTGTGTCATAATTTAACATCCTTAAGCCATGTTTCCAAGTAACATAACTTGTTGGTTGTGGTACTTTGCTGACAACACATTTCAGCTCTATCGTACTGCCAGTTTTATAAAATTTATCGGGTGTCGTTAAACCTCGTTCATCAACAATTTCAACTCGTGGCACTGTTTGTGAATAATTGATGAGAGAGAATATTTCACTATTTAAATGAATTATTTAAAGTCAACATGAAGGAAAGCGAAACTGAAAAGTATTTAAGTTCGTCGTTATAATAAACCATGAAACTAAGTATTTATGGTCTACATTTCAACTAAATCTACCATCAGAAAGTTTTAATTCCCATGACACAAGAAGATCTCAAGAGGATTTAAGAGACGACTCAGAAAGTTGTTTTTCCTAGGAGTTGGGACAATGTCGTGAATAGCAACAATACTAAGTTGTATTCTTCAACTTATAGACAGAACTTTTGTTGTGTTTCATCAGGAAAAATTAACTTTAAGTAAATTTACAGAAACATTTTCTCGAGAGGGTAGAAAAAGCAGGAAATGTAATTGAAAATCATTTGAAAACAACTTCCGAATCAATTCTTAGAAAGGTTGGATGGAAGAAATTGAAATTTTCTTTCGTTGATGTTGTTGGTTGGCTTAATTATGTTTCCCATCCATTTCTCTTGATAATCATTTTACTTACCAACCACAATTAGATACACGATAAAAACTAAAGTTGGACTTGTATTTATTTGACATTCAAACTGTCCCTCGTCTCTTTCGTTAGCATATTGAACGTGCAATTGCCAGTCATTTGGTGGTTTAAATTTGAGTGAATAACGTGAATCACTGCTGTATAATGAGTCACCGAATGTAATCAAATGCAGTTGATCGCCTTTACGTCTCACCCATGATACCTGGTTATAAATAAATAAATAAAAAGTTCATGTCGGAAAGTGCTTTGTTGAGTCATGCGATCAAGCAGAAAATAAATTTTTCGACTTACAATTTTCTCTCCTAAATTTTGTACACGACAATGTAGATACACATCACTACCCAATTGCGTTGTTTCGTTGACTTGTGTTTGATCCTCTTCAAAGAATGGTGAGGGTTCTTGGTGTATCGTTGTTTGTTCGATTTCTTCCTCCAATTCGTCATCTAGCAATTCAGTATCGGATGATATGCTGTGCCAAAACTTTGGTACTTGAAACTCGAGAGTGTGGGTCTGTTTAGGAACTGAATTTCATAGAAGAAAAGAAAGAAAATCGTAAACAGGAAATCAAATAATATCCATCTTCACTCCACAATCAGTTGGGATGAATTTTGTTTTGAAGCCTTGCCAATTCTTAGCTTTATTCTATACTCAATGGAAGTTAAATGTCGAGATTCTTGTTATTTACAAAAAAAGGCAAAATAAAAAGGAGAAGATTATCATAAAATGTGTTTACATCATTGCCTTTGCGTCATTTTTCATTAAAAAAAGTCTTTGAACACTGAAAAGTCAAATAAAGCTTTTTTACTGTCCTACAAATGAAATTTTCGGCCTTTTCTTGCCTATCACTTATTCATGTTTGTCTGACCGTTTGACAAGACACAATGGAAAAGAAATCTTGTTACTTAGATGGAAGATTCAGAAATCGGTCCATTAACATCACCACATACATTCGGATGCCCTCAGTTTGAGACTCAAGGTCAAAGCTTTCACTTGTAAGCTGCCATCACTGAGATAACAACTTTTCAGTTTCTCAAAGGACTCTTTGAAAGATTTCTAAGAATAAAGCTGTTTATTTATCTAGAAGCATTTTCGTTTTAGAGTTGATTTTTGTGAGAGACAAACTGACACGCTGAGATAAATTTCTTCAATTAATTTTGTTTGCTTCGTTTCGCATTGGAAAGGAATGAAAGAAAAAATGTCACAAGAGTAAAGAAGTTAAGGAATGATATTGATTGGTAGCCATTTAATGTTTTACTTTAAGTATCAAATTCTCGGAAGTATTTCTGAGTAAGAAGCATTAAAATGTAGTTTATCGAAGACAATTTCGTGGAAGCTTCGGAAAAACAAAATCATTTGAACCAAATTAAACTCACAGAAAGCTTTACCAAGAAATGAAATCAATTTAAATATTAAAAATTAAAATTAAAGCTTTTCAGATTTCTGTTTATGGTAGAGAAAGCTTTCCATGGTTTTGTATTAATTTTCGTCTTCTATTTATCAAAGAAAACGTATTAATGAGGATCAACAAAGACGTGAATCTGGGTTAATGAGATCTTAAGATATATTTAGAGTGTTGAGTGAAGGAAATAAAAAGGAATCTCGATTTAATATAAAGACAACAAGTCGAGTCGATGATACAATCTTACATGTCGTTTGAGAGCATTCTTTTCTGTTTACAAACAGGATGAGCCACCCCAAAATAATCCATTGTGCTGTAACCCTCATAACTTCATCGTTACATAATTTTTTGTATGGATAATTCACTTAAACGTGGATAATCCACATTGTCGTCATCACTTTTTTGCTCCGTTTTCTCACTTTACCCACTCAGCAGGTTTTCACTTTTTATTCAATTTGTGCTAATTGATTTATTCACTTTTCTTTTTCAGAATGTCACATCAAGACAGGTATTTGCATTGTTTAAACTTTAAATAGAGCAATAGAAAAATAAATTTAATTCTTTTTTTCTCTTAAGTTTCTCACGTAAAATATGTCACTGTAATTTGTGTCACTTTAAACAATTTATGATAATTTATTGTGTCTACGTCTACATGATTGTAACACCTTTCAAATCTGTTTTAAACTCCTTTCTATTACGTATAGATTTTCTTTACATTTCTTTTTCTCTCTCCTTTCTTTTTCACAAATTGTGACGTTGAAACTGTTATAAGAACATTTATTTTTACTGCTGTCTTATGAGAAAAGATTCCTGCTTAAAGGCGGATTTTGGGATTCAAGAAAATAATTTCGACATAATACGTCGTTCATAAATTTTCCTTTTTTCTTGAATGCTTTTCTAATCCTCAATATGGTGCATCATAACAATATATCGTTTAATCCGATGTTTATGGTTCCATCACCTTTAATGTAAGTAGATTTAAGTAAATTTCAGCAATCTTTTAACACATCAAATAACTTCAATTACACTTCATCAAGTTTAAAGATTTTGAACCTTTTTTTTCTTCGCCTCCCCTTCAAACATGTTCCAAGTTGTAGTTTATGTCATTAAAAGGTTCTTCATGATCGATCACTTTAACTTTCATTCAAGAAAACAACTCGATAAATTTTCTTTTTTGTCTTTCCTGGCGACACGATATGACAAAAAAATAAACCAAATGCATTTACTGCTTGCCAAAACTTGTCAATATTTTTTTTAACAAGATTACGGATGACTAAGGAGAAGTTTTAGTTTCCAAATAGAGAAAAACATTTTTATAAGCACTGAAAATATTCACAACCGGTCAGGTAAAAATTTTCGTTCAGACTGATTTTGGAAGAAAAAGTTCGACACGACAAGGATTTTTGCCTTTTCATTGGAAAACTTGGAAAGTTGTTGTGGAATTTTCCATTGAAATTTCCACTCAGTTAAAGGATAAAAGCTGAAAATCATCAACTTTCAGTCCGAAATGTTATCTTGCTTCACGATATTCATTAAAAGGTGAACATCCTTTTTAATCGTAGCCCAATTCTTAATTGCACAAAGATCGAAAACAGAATCATCTCACTCAGAATATCTCCTAATTATTCTCCAAAGGCTTATCTTTTTAGGCAATCCCATAAAACCATTAAAATCAATTTCCTTTCAAGGAAAACTTTCAAAACTTCCACCGAAAAAACCTTTTTTTCTTTTTATTCTCTTCGCTTGTTTTACAAATTTTAAAAAATTAAAAAGTTCTTTTTGTTGAGAATCAAATAATAAAAAAGAACAAAAGCGCGAGTTTTTTAAATTTTTTGAATATTCGTGAGGAAGTTTTAAGGTGCCATGAATCGGAACGAAGCAGAGCATCTGAAAAACTTTTTCAATTAGCAAAAGCGAAATTGAGAGCGCGCTATAAAATCGAAGCTCTCGTGAATTTCTCTTCTGTCACTTTTTCTTCCTTTTTCAACGAAACATCCCACGAAAATAAACACAAATTGATGTAATAAACCTTTTTATCATGTGTTCAGTTCAACCCATTCAGCTTATTTTCGAAGCATCACATTGCAAGCTTCTATGAGTTTCTTAACGACGAGGGAGAATCATAAAAATATTTTTGGGGTTCAAATGGGTCAGGAAGAAGATTTCATCACAATTCACAGCTCAGAACAGCTCGGGGTTCATTGTATTCATTGTAACACTAGCTCGAGAAGCACTGAAATAAAAGAAAATTGTCACGATAAACATTTTTTTATCATTTAGTTAATGTTTGAAGGCCCACAGCACAAAAATTAACCACAACTTCAGATATTTCTCTAGCGAAGTTTGTAGTCAACAATAATATTTTATCATTCATGTCGCTGTTATCAATATTCGAGCATGCATGGAAAATATTCAAAAGCCGTAAATTAGTTTTATGACATGAAACTGTTTAAAAAGAGAAAAATTATAGAACAAATGAACATTTTTACGAAGCTATCTCATGTCAAGCTTTCAACTTTTTTTTTTCTTCTGACTTCATGTTCCTTCCGTGAAGTTCATTATCATGAAAATTTTCACACAAACATTCCACTAATTCTCCTTTGGAAAGCTTGCAATTGTAAAAGTTGTGACAATGCATAAGCTATTTGACCCGGCGATGTGAGTTGATGTTTTAAATAAAGGCACGTTTGTAAAATGAGATAAAAGTATGAAGACTGTCACCAAAATAAACGGAAAGCAAGAGAAAATCATGCCATGTCACGAATAGCTTTTGAGTTTTCATAGTCAACTTTCACATAGGAAGGAATTTCAAGTATTTTTCACACGCAAATCATTTACAACTCGGTGAACAATCTCAGCCTGAAACCCCAACATCAAGACAATGTTATGCTCTTCTTTCATCAAAAAGAGAATGAAAGAAAAAAACGAGGAAGAAGATCATAGGATTTTATTGATTTCTGATGAAAACGTGTCATGAACATTACGTTTATGAATATAGAAAAACCTACTTCTATACAATCTCATTTAGGGTAAAAAATTATACGACACATTCAAACTTTTGTGTCTGTTGGGGAAACTTCCGTATTAGATTCACACAAGCTTTCCGAAAGCAGACTTTTTTGTGTGATGATTGCAAGCTTTTTTATTTTATTTTATTTTTTTGTCACACGGTTTTTATGGTGATTAATTTGCAAACTTTTTGAGTTGAGCTTTATATGTATGTGAGAGGGTTTCAGGAACAGAACTTTTAAATAAATTGTAAGTTATGTTAAAAGTGAATGTTAGGAATTTTTCACATATGAAACTTAATGTTCAATAGCTGGAAATGTTGAGAAATTTGCCATAAAATTTCATGTTTCTTTCACATTACTTTACGGAATTTAAATTAAGTCATCGTAGAGTGAATAAGATTCTTCTTTGTTGTTCTTGTTCCTGAGGTATTTTGAAGATTCCATCATTCTTGAATGCTTATTGAAGGAGAAGAATTCAGAATTTATACAAAAAAGTTAAGGAAAAGGAAGGATGACAGATGATTATGTTTGTAATACACTTGACACAATATCCTTAAAACCCTTCAGAAATTGTTGTGTTTTTTCAGAATGTTACACAATTGATGCGACGATGAATCCATGTGACAAATTGTCCTGAATTTCTCTCAAAATATGAAATAATTTTAAACTTTTTTCTGCATAAATCATATCAAAAATGTTTGGTTTTTCGTCCCAAAAACAAGAACATCTCCAACAAAAATCAATAGAAAGAAGAACTTTTTTTGTATCTAAATACTTATATTTGTCAAGCAGATGCTGGAATGTCTTTTATCCGGATGAAAGTTTACTTGTTTTTAAAAGTATTTTATGTTCCCTTTTTACCTCAACAAAACGTCATACTTAAAAGCTTATAAACATTTGTTGACAAACCTTGTTTTACTGTTTAAAAGTATCATCAAATAATATTATTAGGATGACAAAATTGTCAGCCCCTCTATGATACGTAGAGAGGATGACAAAATCGTCGGCCCCTCTATGATAGAGTTGGGCGATCCAAATTTTCAAAATTTTTTAAAAGTCAACTCTAACTCAATCATTAAATCAATAAAACAAAACATTTAGACCATGAGTTGACATAATTTCGCAAAATTTAATTGACATAATTCCCACGCTTTTTAAGATTTCTTTATTTGCTGAGCATTCGCACGAAATCATTTCATAATCAAAGCTTTAAATCTTCGGTTTAAGAAAAGATTTGCGATTTCTCTGCAGTCACGCTTGCCTCACATCTGGTTGGAAGCATAATCAATACAAGCAAGATGAGGTTTTCTTTTTAANATCATATCAAAAATGTTTGGTTTTTCGTCCCAAAAACAAAAACATCTCCAACAAAAATCAATAGAAAGAAACTGCGCAGCATTTGGCGATAAAAACTGTCGATAAAAAANAGAATAACCCAAATTTATAGAATAACCCAAATTTAGGTTAATTTTTTCCATTAACCCAAATTTAGGTTAATGGAAAAAAAATAACCTCAATTTAGGCTATGAAAAAATAACCCAAATTTAGGTTATTGGAAAAAAATAACCTCAATTTAGGCTATGAAAAAATAACCCAAATTTATGTTATTTTTTCATTAACCCAAATTTAGGTTATTTTTTCCTTTAACACAAATTTAGGTTTTTTTCCCATTAATCTAAATTTGGGTTAATGGAAAAAATTAACCTAAATTTGGGTTATTTTTTCATAGCCTAAATTGAGGTTATTTTTTTTCCATTAACCTAAATTTGGGTTAATGGAAAAAATTAACCTAAATTTGGGTTATTCTATAAATTTGGGTTATTCTATAAATTTTGGTTAATGAAATTTGGGTTATTCTGAAAAGTCAATGTTTTTTATAAGGTGAAGGAAAAATTTGGGTAATTGTGTAAATTTGGGTTATTCTGTAAATTTGGGTTATTTTGAAAAGTCATTGTTTTTTATAAGGTGAAGGACAAATTTGGGTTATTCTGTAAATTTGGGTTATTCTGTAAATTTTGGTTAATGAAATTTGGGTTATTCTGAAAAGTCAATGTTTTTTATAAGGTGAAGGAAAAATTTGGGTTATTGTGTATATTTGGGTTATTCTGTAAAATTTGGTTTATTTTGTAAATTTGGGTTATTCTGTGAAATTTGGGTTATTCTGAAAAATTGGGTTAGTTAAATTTAGGTTATTTATTAAATTTGGGTTAATTACACATGCATAAACATACACATGCATATCGTGAAAAATTGGGTTAGTAAAATTGGGTTATTTTGGAATGCGAATCGCAATCACTCGCGATGGTCGCTCCACCTGGATTTTGAATTGACAATTAAGTTTTTATCGACAGTTTTTATCGCTAACTTATTTCGAGCTAGAAAGAAGAACTTTTTTTGTATCTGAATACTTATATTTGTCAAGCAGATGCTGGAATGTCTTTTATCCGGATGAAAGTTTACTTGTTTTTAAAAGTATTTTATGTTCCCTTTTTACCTCAACAAAACGTCATACTTAAAAGCTTATAAACATTTGTTGACAAACCTTGTTTTACTGTTTAAAAGTATCATCAAATAATATTATTAGGATGACAAAATTGTCGGCCCCTCTATTATACGTAGAGAGGATGACAAAATCGTCGGCCCCTCTATGATAGAGTTGGGCGATCCAAATTTTCAAAATTTTTTAAAAGTCAACTCTAACTCAATCATTAAATCAATAAAACAAAACATTTAGCCCAAGAGTTGACATAATTTCGCAACATTTAATTGACATAATTCCCACGCTTTTTAAGATTTCTTTATTTGCTGAGCATTCGCACGAAATCATTTCATAATCAAAGCTTTAAATCTTCGGTTTAAGAAAAGATTTGCGATTTCTCTGCAGTCACGCTTGCCTCACATCTGGTTGGAAGCATAATCAATACAAGCAAGATGAGGTTTTCTTTTTAAATTTTACTCTGTTTCAATCACCGCAGTATGAATTATCGATTTGGAATTTTTATACTCAATATAACAGCCAAACACTGCTGATATTGTGCTCATGTTCATTGTGCTGGAGACATTGGAATAAAATTACAAAAATTTGGTTCCTCATCCAACTACAACTACAGACATTTTCACAAAACGACTCTTCTTGCTGTGCGACAGATGTTTTTCGACATAATCAAATTTTAAAATCAATTCACGACAAAGCTTTGTAAAGCGAACTTCTCTGTAGGAAACCAAATATTATCTGAATCCTAAGCGATGTTCGGGTTGCTCATGTTTCTCCTTTTTCCTTTTTTTTTTCTTTTTGTTGTACTCAACATTGAATAGAAGTTTTAACACAATTTCTTTAGTCAAGTGAAATGACTTGCTTTTCAAGCTGTACAAAGAATCGTGGATTTAAAATATAAAATTCTTTTATAAATTGTTAGAAGACCGAAAGCTTCCATCATGTTTAATAAAAGGAAGAGAAGCCTTTTTAACTAGATTCAAATACTTATTAGACATCCAAGGAAGACTTTCTTGTTGAACATGTACAGAAGGAAAACTTATAACAAACTGTGATAATTTGTAACGACTAGCTCAGCTCATCTCCTTCTCGTTCGTTGTGAAGTGTCAGCAGGAATGTTTCCCATTTATTACTACAAATGAAATGATTCATTGCAGTAAACTATACAGAATGCTACTCGCAGAAAGCATATTTAACAAAGAAATTTGCATATTATTTTTGTTTCAATTCATCTGTCTAATGATGTTGATTCATGTCATGAATATCAAAACAAAAATTTCGTGTCCAAAATTTTTTACAATTTCCGAATAGAGAAAAATGTTTTCGATTGTATTAAAAGTTTCGATTTTAGAACAAATAAAATTTATGTTGTGTGTAAAGTATTGTGTTTTATATCGGTTGTCTGAACACTTTTAATTATGTTGATTTTTCAATGGACAAACCAATGAATGGTGGAAGTATTTCATGTTATTAACAATAAAACAAACTAATTAAAATTCTACAATTCATGTACACGATAATCTCAATAAAATGAGAATTTTTCATAAAGTTTTTTAACATAAAAAAATTAAAGTCATTAAAAAAAGTCAACGATTAAAATTTAATTTCCATTTCTGTTAAA